AATGTTATAATTTCTACAGCGTTCATATATATGTATATATGTATATATATGTATATATATATATATATATATATATACATATATAAAGCTGATTCTTGAAATCCACGTTGGTGCTGGTTCTTTTCTATCTTCTGTTTTTAAAGTCTTGAGTCTGAATGATAAAATCTCCCACGTTTACGCTGAACGGATGTTTCAAACCTCCAGCTAATCCCGAATTTAAGCTAGAGCGTGTGTTTTGTGTCGTTTTGCCTTCTGTGTGATTCAGGGTTCGTTAGAGGAAACCTTTTATTTTGTTAAGTTCGCAGACTGGTGCAAGACGAAAAGAAAATAAATCTATAGAGGAACTCACTACTGAAATATCATCAGATTTGTAAACTATTTTTATAGCGTCGAGAGATACACATTATTTAGAGCGTACAAATATTTTACCGCTTTATGGGTTTATTATTTTTATACTGTGTGGGAGAAGCTTTCTACCATTTCAGTGGGTTAGTGGCTTTTAGTCAATATTTTGCGAAATGATTCAAGCATTACTGCCTCTTTCTCTGATTTGTCTTCGTTTTTTAATTTGGGCTACAAAAAGTCACGTTTTTTCGCCGATTAATGCGATTGTGGTGGATAAAATGCAATGTAATGAAATGAAAATAAACTTGACGCCCTCTCATTGTTCTGTTATGTAAGAGACACTGTGTTGTGTTTTTGACGTGGCTTGATCGTTTTCATTTTGTGTATATTAAAATAAATGCCAAAAAGATGTGTGTTTTTAGAATATTTGCTGTGATGATCAGCCGTAATTATTCAGATACGACCATTAAAAGATGCACCAAAGCCTTCTCCAATGTCGGATCGGCAGAACCTAAATCGTTTTCCACCATCGCTTTACATAGTACATGAACTGTTACTTTTCGAATGCTTGCCTGTATGTTGAGATATATTGTTTTTTTATATATATATAAATATATATAAAATGTTATTAATATATGTATTTATGCAAGTCTGTGTGATGCTTTTTGTATGTGTGTCCTTTGATTAAAACTTTTGCTTAACTCTAGTGTGAGCATGTGTTCATTTAGGCCTCGTACACGTTCAATAATCTTCTGAATGTATATTGTATTTAAAGTAGTACTGTACACTACTTTGATAACATGGTGTTTTGTGAAACACTGCAGGCTTGCAGGGGTCCACAAAGCCAGCAGTTGGAAAGTTCTGTGTGAATCTGTTGTGTTTAATCATTATTATAGTTGCTTGAGAAAGCCTTTTCTTGTTCCGTCTTCTTCTGAGACTAATTTCTATATGCATCTCCTCCTAGACCGATCATACTACAACCACCAAACTAGCTCCAAACCTCCAAACTTTACTCAATTAAGTTGCTATATCTTTTCCAACTGATCCGACTTACAGTTTTCCAAAAACTGACCTGGAAATTTCGGAAAAGTGCCACTGACTTAACATTGGACCAAACGTTATGACCTCATAACTTTCCGCCAGACTGTCATACAGACAAGGTTGGGCTCATTTAACTCAGACTACCAATCTGCCAATCACTGATGAGCTTTTAACTTACTAGCCACACCCTAGCAACCACTTATGGCACCTTAGCAACTGTCCCATAGACTTCCATTGTAAAAAAAAACTGCTATTGACTTTACATTGAACAGCCATCATAAGAGCTGAATGGAGTGAGGACCTAATTAAAAATGCTGGACTCTGCAGTTTTCGTGTTATAACAGGTAAGTTCACGCTATGCTGAATCATACACATTACTCTTCCAGCTGCAACCCATCTCTGGGAAACACCCATACACATTCATTCAAGCACATACACTACGGACAATTTAGCCTACAAAAATTCACCTGTACCGCATGTCTTTGGACTGTAGGGAGAAACAGGAGCACCCAGAGGAAACCCACGCGAACGCAGGCAGAACATGCAAACTCCACACAGAAAAGCCGACTGACCCAGCCGAGGCTTGAACCGGCCACCTTCTTGCTGTGAGGCGACAGCACTACCTACTGCGCCGCTGCGTTCCCCAGTAATTTTATATAAAGAATTATAATGTTGTGTATATGTATTTATTATATTTTAATTTCGTCAGGTCTCCTTTGGATAGTTGAGAATTAGCAAGTCTTTAAAACACTTAAATGCATTTGGTTGTAATTGTGATGACGTCAAATAAATAAATCAATAAAAAAAATTTAAAGACAAAAACTGTGTAGTTATTTAGGAAAATGCTAAGTAGGAACACCTGAAAACTGAATTACATACTGAATGTCTTTATGGATTGATAATGGCCTAAATTAGTGTATCTGTATTGCAGAAAACTTTAAATAGAGTAATGCATTAGATCTTAAAATAAAACAATTAAGACTGACGTCACCTCTCTTTTTGTAGTATATCCTGACTTTACCGGTTTACCCGCATTAAGCCAACATTAAGCAGCAAATGTTATGTTACTAACGTTACTGTTAAAGCCAGTCTATGACAAAAAACTCATTCATGTGTAATCTATGTAATGTCCTGCAGTGGGCGCTCTGTGGCTCCTGAAAACGAGCCTTCTTTGAAGCTGTAGGATAGTTTTTCTTTCTGTAAATATGACGTGAGACTTGCTGATTTTTATTTATTTAAATTTTTTTTTTTTTTTGTAGGGGGGTTAATATTTCGGGGAGAAATCTTGCTAACAATAATCGTCAATCAATTGATCCTGTAACCGTAATCAATGGATCATGATATCCTTTCAGCGCGAAGAGAAGTAGCGCATGCCACGTGATAACTAAAAATGGTAAATTTAGAGTAATAATGAATTGGTGATGGATATTTACCTTAACAGTCATACTGAGAAACTATTAGCTAACTGAAAAAATTGTAAATTATATATTATATATATATATATATATATATATATATATATATATATATATATATATATATATATATATATATATATATATATATATATATATATAATTATTATTATTATTATTGACTTCAATAACAAACATACAAAATCCGATCTTACACAAAAAAGACAGTAATAGTAACAATGATAATAATGTAACAGATCAGGTAAAATAATATTATAAACACATATAAAAAAGTAAAAAAAGAGAAACCAAAGAGAGAGAAAAAGACAAATTAAATAGAGATACATAAATAACACACAGGAAAGAAGGACTTGTGTATCCATGATATTTCCATAATAATTATTATAATAATCCAAGAATGTATCACTTTTCCTGTTTTTAACCAGTTTATGAGATTTAATAAAAACATTAATTTTAATTAAAACATGTGAAAAGAAGGCTGCAAATTCAACATTTTTTGTTTGTGAATAAAAAAATTTCCATACAAAATAAAGAAGTTATTAATGTAGTTTTCTGATATATTGATTTTACCTTTATAGTAACAAATAACATCTTGTAGTTGAAAGGGGCTGGAAAAAGCAATGTAATTATAAAGATATAAGCAATTACAAAAGTTATTTGTGTTTTCACAGTGAAAAAAAAACATGTGAATCAGCGTTTCGTCTTCAGTTTTATTAAATGAGCATGGACTATTAATCTCCAAATACTTTGTCAAAGGATATATTTTATGAAGAACTTTGAGATTAACCTCTTTTGTTTTATTGGGAGTGCAGTTCTTGAGGTAATAATCAAGCTTTTTTCCAGTCTATTAGGTCAATTAAGAATGGCCAGTAAAATTTGCCCTTAAGAACATTATACTTTTTATTTTGGAAAATTTAGAGAATATATTTATTATTAGCATACTTTTTTTAATCAAATACACTAAATTAAATGGAAGACCTCCAATTTTTGTTTAAAAAAAAAAAAAAAAAAAATATATATATATATATATATATATATATATATATATATATATATATATATATATATATATATATATATATATAATTTGGAATAAAATAACATATAGATTTAGGGCCATTTAAGCATCTTTTATTCTAATTTATTTAAAAAGTGTTTACTATGTCCTCAAAGTCTTACACTTCAAGTCCACCATCTTTTAGAACAGTTTTTTTTTAAGTTTATGGGATTTATTATTTCAAATAAAGTTTAGAAATATTTTGGTAACTTCTTTAGCTGTAGGGATACTAACAGAAAGGGAAGGGTAAACCAAACATGATAAACCTTCTGCTTTTGGAACCCTCCCATAAAGGGTAAAAATACCCTGCTGAAAAAAATGCTTAAACCAGCTGATAGGTTTTAGCTGGTCAACCAGACTGGTTTTAGAGAGGTTTTGGCCATTCCAAGCTGGTTTCCAGCCATTTCCAGCTTGGTCTTAGCTAGTCAGGCTGGGAGATGACTAGCTTAAACCAGCCTAGCCAGGCTAGGAGCCCAGCTAAAACCAGCTATGTCCAACTTAAACCAGGCTGGTCAAGCTGGTTTTAGCTGGTCATTTTCCAGCCTGACCATCTAAGACCAGGCTGGAAATGGCTGGAAACCAGCCTGAAAATGGCCAAAACCCCTCTAAAACCAGCCAACCAGCTTAGGCTGGTTTAGGCATTTTTTTACCAGGGTATGAGAAAAGTTAAGCTGTTGCCTAGCAGCTAAATATTTTGTTGTATAAATACTCAAATACTTTACAGTCTCTTTTACTACAATACCATTTAATGAGAAGTCTCTGGTTTCATGAGTCATCATAAATTCACATTTGGACGAATTTAATTTCAATCCAGAAGCATATGAAAATTCTTCAATTATACTTACAACCTTGGACATTTATCTTTTAAAAATACGGCAGGGTCATTGGCCAACTGGGAGATTTTAATTAATTGATTAATTAATTTTTAAATCTCACACCGCGCTAAATAGAAAACCTTTTAAAAGTGAACTGGAAATAAAACACAACTAGTATTATTCTGCTTAATCGTCCTCGACCAATCACGAGCTTGTTTGCATCCCTTAACCCCGCCCCTTTCTGCTCTGCATGGATTCCGCTCTGTCATAAGTGTCGTTGCGCTGTTTTGTTTTGGCACCAGAGCTGTCAGTGATCCGGAGGCATCATGGCAGGGATGGAGCTCGCACCGATGAGACCATGGGACGATTTTTACCCGGGTGTCGACCGATTCTCCAAACCCGATGTGTCGGATTTAAGCAAATGGAATAACAGAGTGATCAGCAATCTGCTTTATTTTCAGACAAATTACTTTGCTGCCGCCATCGTCGTGTTTCTGATTGTCGGGTTAGTAAAGTTATTGCTACGTTTACATAATGATGTAGATTTGGTCTGTAAACAAGTGATGCGTTTATTGTTAAACATCCCTCGGTCCTTTTTGCGTAAATGTCGCACCCAGCTTAACTGCATTATTTAAGATGAGAGGCTTTTGTAGTTAATGAGTTTAAACACATATATATATTTGCTTGTTATCAATAAGACATGCGAAATATGTCTTGTCCCTTTGCGGAATGTGTTTTAAGGTGGACCCACCCTGCCCTGCCTGGACGTTTATAATCCTGTCAGCCTCACAGGCCTTTTGTTTTCCACAGTGTGGAATCAGTGAGTCACATTTAACTCAACAGACCGTTTTATTTCAGGCCAAACTGGACCAGTGTTAAGCATAAAGCAGTAACTGGTCCACGAAAATGCGTTGTTGCTTTTACTTAAAGGCCGAAGACTTTCGCTTCTGAAACACTTCCTGCCATCTTTGCACAGTTAAAATAAAGAGCATCTGTTATGCAAAAAAAAGACCTTTATAAAGTGTGTAAACATCGTTGTGTGACAACATTGTGTGAACATATCCTGTCTCTAATGGTAAATTTGAATTAATTAAATTTTTTATAATCACACTTGATGAAAGAACACTTTGATTGACATTCTGGAGGGATAAAGTCCCACCAAATGTTAATGATCTCCCCTTCATTAACATAGACAGCCCTTAGTGAGAAGCAGCCGTCCACCATTAGGTTTTCACAATGTACTTGCTTTGAAATTAAAGCGACAGTCACTAAAATGGTACAATTTTTCAAAGCCTAAAAGGGGCAGTTTGATAGAGTTGTGTGGGGTATTTTGAGGTAAAACCTCAAATACATAACATATTATATTTTACATCTTGTAAAAAGGGGCATAACAGGTCTCCTTTAAAGCTGATGTGTGCCTGCTCCAAATGTTGCAGAAATACAGTTGAAGTCAGAATTATTAGCCCCCCTTTAATTTTTTTCTTCTCTTTTTTTTTTTTTATAAATATTTCCCAAATGATGTTTAACAGAGCAAGAAAATGTCCACAATATGTGTCATAATATTTTTTCTTCTTATTTGTTTTACTTCAGCTAGAGTAAACGCAGTTTTTAATTTTTTAATCACCATTTTAAGGTCAAAATCATTAGCCCCTTGAATGTTTTGTGTTACAACAATAGTGATCAAATCATGTTATTCGTTCATTGATATCCATTTAATTGACAGTGTGTTTTCTTTTTAAATGCTCTGCAGTTTTCTGAACCCGGTGGGCATGTTTCTGGGTGGCGCGGTGGTGGCTCTGGTCTTCATGGGCTCGGTGTGGGCCGGAGAGAATAAAACCATCATCAAGAACTTTAAGAAGAAAAACCCCAGCCTGTTTGTGGTGGCTGTGATGGGAATCAGCTACTTCCTGTTGTCTCTGTGTGGAGGAGTGATGGTGTTTCTCTTTGGTATCACCTTCCCCATGCTCTGTGAGTACTCGTCTTATTACTGGCTCATCTCTGTCCATGTTTGCTGGCAGTTTTCTTGACCTTTACCCCAAACAAAGACCCTACTTTGATCATAAGTGCTATGTTTTAAAACGCAAATCATAAATGCACAAATCTAATTTGTACATTCAAAACGCAAATCATTAATGCACAAATACATTCCGTTGTTTCAAAATGGGCGAGGCAGTGGCGCAGTGGGTAGTGCTGTCGCCTCACAGCAAGAAGGTCACTGGGTTGCTGGTTCGAGCCTCGGCTCAGTTGGCGTTTCTGTGTGGAGTTTGCATGTTTTCCCTGCGTTCGCGTGGGCTTCCGCCGAGGTGCTCTGGTTTCCCCCACAGTCCAAAGACTTGCGGTACAGGCGAATTTGGTAGGCTAAATTGTCCGTAGTGTATTAGTGTGTGTGTGGAAGGGCATCCGCTGTGTAAAAACTTGCTGGATAAGTTGGCGGTTAATTTCGCTGTGGCGACCCCGGATTAAAAAGGGACTAAGCCGACAAGAAAATGAATGAATGAATGAATGTTTCAAAAATCATAAATGCACAAATTCAATTCGTAAATTAAAAACGCAAATCGAAAATGCACAAATACAATTCGTAATATCAAAATGTAAATCGAAAATGCACAAATATAATTCGTAAATTCAATATGCAGATCATAAATACACAAATACGATTCGTTATTTCAAAATGCAAATCAAAAATGCATGAATCCAATTAGTAATTTATAAATGTAAATCAAAAATGCACAAATATAATTCGTAAATTCAATATGCAGATCATAAATGCACAAATACAATTCAGTATTTCAAAACACAAATCGAAAATGCACAAATACGATTCGCAATTTCAAAATGTAAATCGAAAATGCACAAATACAATTCGTAAATTCAAAGTGCAGATCATAAATGCACAAATACAATTCAGTATTTCAAAACGCAAAGAATAAATGCACAAATACAATTTGTAATTTCAAAACGCAAATTGAAAATGCACAAATGTAATTCGTAATTTCAAAATGTAAATCGAAAATGCACAAATACAATTCATTATTTCAAACCGCAAGTCAAAAATGCACAAATCCATTTCGTAAATTAAGCACAAATCATAAATGCACAAATACAATTCGTAAAAATGACATCCCACTTCATTTAGGGAAGTATATGCTTTTTACTTGCGTATTTACGAATTGTTTTATTTTTGTGACTGATCTGACTCCATTTGTAATAAAACATAAAAGTATAAAAAATTACGATTTTCTAGGCCAATTTTGCTTGAAGCTATACTCTCATTCTGGCTGCACCACTCATTAGGAGTATCAAGCGCACACATTTACACACACACACACAGAGTTCTTGTGAAATGTAGGCAAAGATCTAGTAGTTTGTTTTGTATGTTGCTATGGCAGCACAAACCATCATTACCTCATTATGGTATTTTCAGTTTTAGTAGCTGCTGACAGTAGCGGTTAAGTTTCTTGGCAGCATCACTGAACTAAAAATGTAATGGGATGTACTGCATCTTATTATGGGTGTCATTTTAAACAGCTTCCAGCATAGCACAATCATATAATATATAAATAATGGCAACGCAGTGGCGCAGTAGGTAGTGCTGTCGCCTCACGGCAAGAAGGTCGCTGGTTCCAGCCTTGGCTGGGTCAGTTGGCATTTCTGTGTGGAGTTTGCATGTTCTCCCTGCATTCGTGTGGGTTTCCTCCGGGTGCTCCGGTTTCCCCCACAAGTCCAAAGACATGCGGTACAGGTGAATTGGGTAAGCTAAATTGCCTGTTGTGAATGTGTGTGTGAATGTAAATGAGTGTGTATGGATTTTTTCCAGAGATGGGTTGCAGCTGGAAGGGCATCCGCTGCGTAAAACATATGCTGCATAAGTTGGCGGTAGGGTTGGGTCGATAGACGATGACACCGTCTATCACCGATGGCCAATAGACAACACGATGCTTAGCCAGCATCGTCGATCCTCCGCCCTGCCCCCGTCGCAAACCCGTTCGCGAAAAATACACACTCGCATTTTAGAACGAAAATGACCCACATCCACACCGTGTTTTACCTAGCATTTCTGAACAGCCCTAAGTCCACTGAAAACGCACATCACGTGACCACACACACACACACTGTCATGCGCTTCTTTGAGCTCGAGAGAGCAGTGCACGTCGGACAGTTTATCAAGTTTGTACCGCTGTATCGCGTCTCATTATAATCGTTAAACATGATATTCAGACATCCCAAGTCTCCCGGAAGTTCCCGGACTCTCTATGCATTTGCAGGACTCATATAGGGTATATGCCGAAGCATGCCAATAGGACTTTTAATTTGCCAGTAACCTGGGTTAATCGTTTCCGGCGAACTGTATACCATTGCAAAATCGGAGCGTTTAAGGTCTGTTTTCTTTAAAAATCAGCGATCTCCACTGGCTGAGTGATATCCGATATAAAGTGGGACTCATTGTAGAGGAAGCCCTGCATGAAATTACATTTTCCCCGCCATGTCTTTATAATATGAGCATTTATTTTACCGCAGTATATTCAATGGAGCTTCTGCGCTAGCCTGCCGATTCTGACGGGCGCGTGCCAGCAAACGGCTTTTTGTCTTGTTTTACGCTTGAGCAACTAAATGGATGCCAAAGTCTGTTTAACTGATTGTATTTGAATTGCATTACAACATCGATGCTTTAAAAGGAACCATATAAAATGGAAAAAAATCACGATAACAGGTCACCGGAAGTGTATCAGCATGGGAAACACATTAGCTCGGCATATACCCCATTGCCCGCCAACATGTAATAATTTTCCGGAAAACGCGCGTCTCCCTCATGGTCCTCAAATAAGTCGCGCGCCCTTCTCACCCCCAGATCCCTCCTGGCTCTTTAGACACGTCACGCGCACTCTGTCAAACCCCCCCCTCCCACTTTACATAATGACGATACCATCGCTGTGTTTCGACCAACCGGTAATCGGTAATCGACCAACCCTAGTTGGTGGTTCTGTCCGCTGTGGTGATAAAGGAATAAATAAAGCGACTACGCTGAAGGAAAATGAATGAATCACCTGAAATTTCTATTTTAGAAATAGTTTCTATCTGACTCCACGTTGCAGATGCTGCGATGTGAATATTGTGAATTGCTACAGTATGTTGATGCTGTAACAATAGGTGACACAGCCCTACGCTCTAATTTGTAATATTTGATCTTGTGTCCGCAGTGATCCTGATCCACGCTTCCCTGAGACTGCGCAGCGTGAAGAACAAGCTGGAGAACAAAATCGAGGGCATTGGCCTGAAGAAGACGCCCATGGGGGTCATCCTGGACCTGCTGGACCAACAAGAGGAGAAAATAAACAAAATCCAAGATTTCCTGGAGAGTAAGATTAAAGATTGAGCGTCGAGCACATCAGTGTCAAACACATCCCACCACTGTTTGCTCTTTGTTTTATTTTGACAACCAAATGCCAAACTGGGAACATCTTTTAAATACCAAAGTATGACAATGTCCCGAAAGCGTGTTACACGATAAGATGTCGAATCACTAAAATAGGATTGGATCGTTTGTTTCGGAGCATCAATCAGTCTGTTATCTTATCCTGACGTGCTACACTCATGGATCTTGTGTTTGCAGTTTCCTTTGTGTATGTTTTCTTTTATACATAAATAAATATGCATCAATGTGTATAGATATGCTTGATGTATGTCTATAGACAGAGTCACTGAAGGCACTTTGAAATATTTATCGTCATAAAAACGATAACTTATTTTTCCCCAACGGCAAAAGGTATTGTTATTCTCCAATTGCACATTTATACTAGAAAAGTGTTGGAAAATGCTGGGATATGAGCTGGTGTGATTTGCAGAGAAGTGCTAAATTGCATGTTTTTATTTTTTTTGGCTAGCAGAACCGCTGCAGTGAAACAAACGTTCACTTTCTTGTGATTATTAATGCACAATTATCGTTTGCTTGCTGGTTTGAAGAGAACTAATAAACGTGGACAAAATATTTACATTCACGGTCTTTACTTTTGAATGAATGAAGAGTTGAACTGATGTACAGCTTAAGTCTGGGACTGATACACCTATTATCATACCTGCCAACACTCGCTTTTTTCGGGAGTCTCCTGTATTTTAGAACAATTTCCCCCAACCATCCCGTTTTGTTATTTATCCCGGAAAACTCCGGTAATTCCCTCACAGTCCAAAACACTTGCAATACAGGTAAATTAGGTAGGCTGAATTTTCCATAGTGTATGTGTGTGAATGAGTGTGTATGGATGTTTGCCAGAGATGTGTTGTGGCTGAAAAGACATCCTCTGCGTAAAACCGTGCTAGATAAGTTGGCGGTTCATTCCGCTGTGGCGATCCCAGATTAATAAAGGGACCAAGCCGAAAAGAAAATGAATGAATGTACTTCCATTACTTTCTTTTAAAATGTGTAATGTGTTAATCGACAAAAGAAAATGTTTTAATTAATTTTTGTTTTGTTTATGGCCATCATTCAGGCACGGCACTGCGTAAATATGAAGATTATAAATATTACCACGGTTAATTTAATCTGTTAATCTCGTAATTTTAAAATATTTTAATCTGTCACTCAAATTAGTAAACTAACGTTACGGTACACAATAAACGCTCGTTTATTAATTCGTCTGTCAGTAGTTTGCGCAAGAAATTTTGAAATGAAGGACTCTTGTTTTAAAATGTGTGTCCTCGATGTAAGAGAGTTTCCGGTTCAGCGCAGAACAAAAAGCCTGTTGTGGCTGTTTTCATCCGCTGTAGGTAATCGGCGGTTCGGCTGCTGAGTGCGAATTTAATCAACATGCCTCGGGTTTATATCGGCAGGCTGAGTTATCATGTCCGCGAGAAGGACATCCAGCGGTTCTTCAGCGGCTACGGGAAGCTGCTGGAGGTGGACCTGAAGAACGGGTGAGTTCATTCGGCGACAGACCCCAGACACGCGTGCAGCGAGAGCTCGGCACCTTTAAAACAAATGACTGGCTTTTTTTTTTAAATATGTACTTATTAACTATGTGGTTATATAGTAAAATGTTCAGCTGGAATGCTTTAATGGAGAGCTAAAGTTGGCAAGTGCTGCAAAAGTGCTGGACCCGGAGTCGCCACGTTTGCATCGCTGAAGCGCCTCTTCTTGTCGGCCTACAAACACCAACAGCTCCGGGGAGAAAATGAGCGCCAGTGGGCGGAGTCTGGAGGCCTGCAACTTTAATAAAACCGCGTTTACAAATTCTCTCATTAATTCTTTGCGTGGAGTTTAGATAATTATTAAAAATTCTAAAGTAAAATTCCCCCTTTTGACAAACGAAAGTCACATGCGAGGCCTCGTATGTTTGCATTCCTGTAGCGTTAGCGTTTAGTATTCTCAATGCCATGCAAACTTGTATATTTATTACCTTTACATCTAAGAGATTTGAAGGCGTGAGACTAATTTTAAGCAAAGTCCAACTACTAGATTTGGAGTTTGGAGATGCTAGCTATGCAACGTGCTAACATGCTAGCAAGAAGCTAAAACGTGATAGACAACGTAACCGACAACCAGCAAATATTAACAACAGCCTTGCGAGTTTCTGTCTGAAGGACAGCATGAGCTTAAACATACAGCTTGTAGGCGACATGAGCTGCCAAAATATTGCTTTACCGGTAAATATTTATTTATAAAGATACAATTTGGCATAAGAGTGGGTCTAAATTAACCTAAAGTTGTGACTTACAGAATAACAGAACAAGTCTAGTTGCTGATATTTAGATTTTATGCAGTAGCCTTACATTAATCGAGTTTTAAATGAAGAAATAGCCTAAATAATCGAGTTTTCCTCCTTTATGTAAACGCATCAAATCATTTTAATTTGTAAATCTTAGGGATTGATGAGATATTGTCCTTTGCAATATAATAATGGTAATAAAAGCAATGTCCTGCTATCAGTATAAGTGACATGCGATTAATTGTGCGCATTTATCTATAAAGCAGGCTCTGGAATCATCTGTGGACCTCCATCAAGCGTTCCGCTGGAGCAGTGTTCACTACACACATCTGAACCTCACTTCCAAGCTATGCAATATTTTGCTTGCAGTTAGTCAAATCTTAATCACTCTGTGATATTGACAGCTGTTTGTGCAGCTTCTCTGTGATCTACAGCCTTTTGTAGTAAATGCTTTTAAGTTAAACATTAGCAACATGTGCAAATATCACAATGACATTTGTACCAGGAACTCGCTTCATTTAAAGGGCCATGAAACCCCCTCGTTTCAGCAGGGTGTTTTCACACCTCTACTTTGGAAAAAGTCAGAAAAGTGGGCGTGTCCAGCTCTGTTTAGGGGGGAGTGTCAGAGGAAGAAAAGAGGCTTGGTGTGGGAGTATCTATTTAGGCACGCTGAATTTCAGAGTCAAAACACACAACCACAGCAGACAAAGTGACTGTGTTTACATGGACATCTGTAGTCGAATTATTTGCCAAATTATTAAATGGTGTACTTTAACTGCAGTTTGGCTCTTTCATTCAGGGAATTCATTCATGTCCCTCCCGACAAACGAGATATTTGATTCGAGGAACTGCTCTAAGCGTGTATTTTTCATGCAATGTTTGATACCGCACGGCGAATGAAAGAAAAAAAAAACTCCGCATTTCCCGGAAACTTAGATGCACTCGGCAGGTAGCGTCAGAAAACCGCGTGTGTTATTCCGGTCACAAAATCCAACACGAGGTTATAGTTTGGTTGTAACTGTTAGTGCTAACTTGTTTACACTGGTGCAATAGTTTGTTTGATACAAATAAAATACGAACTGAATAAACAAAGAGCACTGGTCGCTCACTTACCAAATCTGTAGAGACAGGACAATCACCAGCAACTAGAGCCGCGTCTTTATTTAGAGGAGACTAAAGCGAATCCGGATCTCAGCGTTTGCAGATGAGAACAGCTCTCAGGTAAACAATGTTCCTCCTTAGACACGCAAGTTTTTGTTGTCGAGCGTCGCGTACACTGTTAACCCACACGTGACTCCAGCTGCGCTCTCACAGAGAGAAAATGAAAACGAAACTTAACTGCAGAAAACTATAAAAGCAACACTTCACGCTTGTTTTGCCAACACAACGTGGCGTCTCTGTCGTCTACACTCTGACAGTAATGAATATTAATGAAGTTGCACAATAGAGCGCGCTGATTGGTTTGAACCAAGCTTTACTCATGCATTAATGCATCACACTGTAAGACGTAATAAGACTCACTCTGGCACAGGCGTCCAGTCTGCACGCTGGAATACATGCTATTATGTCATAACCGTGACGCAGCTTCAAAAATTCGTTTCAAGCCGGAAGTACGAATTTGCTTGAAATAACGCAAAAACAACCAATTTACACTTTTTAGTGAAATATAGGTGTCCTAATAGTGTTTTTAGCAGTGTGGGACACATATACGACTGTCAACAGCTCAAAAAATGTGTTTTGGTGTTTCGAATTTAAGTCCTTTTTAGAAATGCCTCAGAGTAAAATAGGGCTGCATGATTCTGGCTCAAATAAGAATTAGATTTATTTTTTAAAAGTCTCATGAAATTAAATGAAAGTTGTATAGATGTTAGTATCTGTGTTAGTTTTTTTAGGATCTCTCTTAGCTAGTGTCATTTACAAATAAAAGATATAAAATCGGTATATACATGTAAAGCCTGTAGTTTGCTCACTTACGCCTGAATGGATCAACAGCTTTATTAGAGATGCACCTATACCTTTTTTTGGAATCGATACCAAAATTCTGAGTGTCGACCGATACAGATCCAATCCCGATACTGTGCTGTTTTTTTAACAATACGGTTTCTTTAGTTCTGGTGATAAACTCAAATAATATATCTTAGTAAAATAACAGACCTATAGACCTAGGGTCCGTTCTTCGTACGTGGATTACTCAGTTAGCTGTATTTGGATATTGACGATTTGACACGATCCAGGATCGTTTCGTTCTTCAAAGCTGATCCGAGAGTTGTTGTCATAGCAACAGTTCTGCTAGGTCAAACCTGATCGGGAGCAGGCTCAATTTATATAAACAGGATTAGATCGGCTCAGTTCAAGCAAAGATAATACAGAAAGTATGTTCCCAATTCTGATATTTTCTTACAGTAGTAGTTATATAGTTATATCCTCCCTGTTGTTACAACTATTAGTGCAACTGCATCAAGTATAAAACCCTTCACAGCTCTCGGCTGTATAGTCTGTTAGCTTTGCCTTTGAGCCTCATGGATGCTGTTTTTCCAGGTATGGCTTTGTGGAGTTTGAAGACACCCGTGACGCGGACGATGCAGTGTATGAGCTGAACGGTAAAGAGCTGTGTGGCGAGAGGGTGATGGTGGAGCACGCCCGGGGTCCACGCAGAGACCGTGACAGCTATGGAGGAGGAGGCGGCGGTGGTGGTGGTGGAGGAGGAGGAGGAGGTTATTATGGTGGTGGAGGAGGTGGAGGAGGAGGAGGCGGCGGTGGTGGAGGACGCAGTAAGTGTTCAGTCATGTAGTACTGTCTTAGCAGAAAACACTTTACTTGATCAATTTAGCAAGTTTCCTTTATTTTGTCATTCAAAACATCACAGGAGATGTAATGTGGAATAAAATTACCTTGCACTCAGCAAGAAAATATCTAGTACTATAAATGCATAAAAAATACATCTTAGCAGCAGAAAAATGATCTTTCAGAAATATTAAAATACACAATGTAAGCCAATTAAAAACACGTTATTACATCCTACACATCAGAAATGTGTACAAGTAGTTTAACTTAATTCTAACTGCAGTTTTATTCTATCATTATATCAGTTATTCTGTTACTTGTTTCCTTCTGTCCTGCTTGTGGAGTGCTGCTGACCTGCAGAGTTTACCTCCAACACACTCTCGATCTGAACGCTGATTATCTTCAGATTAGGAGCTGAGCTCTGTGGGACAGCAGCCCTTCAGGAGCACGACTGGACACCTCTATTCTCAGAGGATATCTGGAAAATAAGCATGGAACACAACATATTACCCATTTTTAAATTCTTCTAGGTTTATTGCTGCTTACAAGTGACTTCAGTGTCATTAATTTAAACCTAAACGTTTTTTAATTTGACATTTGTACTGTCATGAAGGCAACATCTACTTGTGCTGCTGAGAATGCAAAGATTTGTGTCATTTATTTTATTTTGGGAGGTAAAGAAACCCAAACCACAGCTTTCTGGATTCATTCTGTAATGCTAATGAAGTGTCGTATGTGAATTTAAGCCTTAAGGCCTGTCCCATCTATTTTTACCCTTATTTATTTATTATCAAAGATTGTAGTTGATTTTTTTTTTTTGTATTTGAATTACTAGCTATTTAAAACATTTTGTTCATAAGATTTGTATGCATGTGCAGTTATTATTGTTTACATTTAATTATTGAATACATTAAGTATAAAAGTTTCCTTTTCACCATATACTATTTCTTTATAGAGATTGGGAGCTTGCATCACGGCACGTTGCATTGTGTGTAGCTATGTTGCTATATTTAGGACACCTGAGAAATAAATTGCAGATATGTATTAATACTTTTCGAATCTAGATTGGATTATAAAAATATAATATAATTATAAAATCCATCAAAAATGGCTAAAACAACATACTGTAGCTACAGTTGAAACCAGAAGTTTACATACACTGTATTAAAAGGCACATAACCATTTAAAAAAAAAAAAAAGTCAGATGTTAATGTGACTAAACTTTTTCTCTTTGATGTCAAGGTTTTGGAAGTTTCTGATTGGCTAATTGACAACATTTGAGTTAATTGGAGGCACAACTGTAGAATAGTATTTAAGGAAAACCTCAAACACACTGCTTCCTTGTGTGACAACATGGGAAAATCATCAAGCCAGAATCAACAACAAAGCCAGATTACAATTTGCTAAATCACACTGGGATAAAGACTTATTTTTGGAGACATGTCATGTGGTCTGATGGAACCAAGATTGAACTGTTTGGCCATAATGACCAGTGTTACATTTGGAAGACAAAGTGGAAAGCTTACAAGCCTAGGAACACCATCCCAACTGTGAAGTATGGGGGCGGCAGCATCATGTTGTGGGGCTGTTTTGTTGCAGGAGGGACTGGTCCACTTCACAGCATAGATGGCATCATGAAGAAAGAACATTATGTAGAAATACTGTCGCAACATCTCAAGACATCAGCCAGGAAATTAAAACTTGGCCTCAAATGGGTCTTCTAAACAGACCATGACCCTAAGCATGCTGCCAAATTAGTTAAAATGTGCTTTAAAGACAACAGAGTAAATGTTTTGGAGTGGCCATCACAAAGCCCTGATCTCAATCCTATAGAAAAAAAAAATCTTGTGTGGGCAAGACAGCCTACAAATCTGACTCAGTTACACCAATTCTGTCAGGAGGAATGGGCCAAAATTCCTGCAAACTATTGTAGTTTGTGAGAAGCTTGTGGAAGGATACCCAAAACACTTGACCAAAGTTATCCAGTTTAAAAGCAAAGCTAAAAGTATAACAAGGAAATGCATGTGAACTTATGACTTTCAAGAAAATAATAAATTCTCTAAAAAAAAAAATTCTCGTTATGTTGCCATTTAGCAAATGTAAATTATTTAGGTAATCCTAACGGACTTAAAATAGTAAAAGTTTAGTATGATTTACCCTCAGACTTTTTTGAATGGTTATGTTCGTTTTGTTTAGTGTATGTAAAATCCTGGTTTCAACTGTACATCTCTTACAGTTAAAAGATGATTTATTATGGCATCACCCTGACTAATGTTAAATGCTTAAAACATTAAAACAAGCTTCTTTGAAATGTGTATAGTGGACAGTGCTCATCTGTAAAATTCATATTTATGCGGTCTCAATCGTACAATCAAGTTATAAACACCTTTTTCACATTAGTTTTCCTGCCATGTTTAAGTAGCATGTGCTTGGATGTTAATCTAGTTATCAATAATCAAGAATTTTGCTCATTTCAACAATCTTAAAGGGATAATTCACCCAAAAATGCAATTTGTCATCATTTACTCGCCCTTTACTTGTTTCAAACCATTGAGTTTTTTCTGATATTTTGAAGAATGCTGGTAAACTGCATTAACTTCCATAGTATTTGTTTTTTTTTCTATGGAAGTTAGTGGTTTTAGGTTTTCAGCTTTCCTCAAAATATCTGTTTTTGTCCTCATCAGAAGAAACTCGAAGTCTGGATTAAACTGAGGAAGAGTAAATGCAGAGGAAACCTTCATTTTTTGGAGAGAACTAGCCCTTTAAGTCAAATAGCATAACCATAACCTGTATATAAACGATTACTACTCGCTCTGTACTGTAGCTCCAGTGTTCTTCAGTCCCACCAGTGCACTGCGCTGTGACAGCAGCTTCCCATTCTCTATTCCCTATTCTGAGTTCTAGCCCAGTGGAAAGTAAGCATCAACGTCCATGTCTAAGTTATGAACTACTTCAGATTTGATTTTCACAATAACAAAGTCCTTGATTGTTTCAATTTGAAAGAGTCCAGTGGGGGCTGAGGCTGAGTCCAAGTGTCGTTGTGGCTAAGATGACTACCTGACCGGTTTGGCCTTGGCCTCTTCACCTTACAATGTGTGTGTGACCTTTGCCCCTTGATGCTTTGGCTGACCTAACCGGAAGCCAAGATGACCACAGCCTTTTGCCAATAGACCAGGGGTGATGGTGAGGAATGCCACTAGTTATTGCTATGTTGTCCATATGGAAAAGCCTCTAGCCAAGATGTAATAGAAATGTCTGAAATGGAGACATTGGGGTTTGCACTAGCAATTTCTGTGTGGGCAAGTCAGGATGTTCATGCCAAGGTTTTGATTAAATATTTAAATGTATCAGATTAATTTTGCCCTAAAAGACCTGAGATTTGATCGTCTGGTCAGCCTTTATTGTGTGTCTTATCAGATTCTCTTTTATCCAAATAGTAATGCCTTTCTGGGAGGCAGCAAAGTGCTCTTGAGTCTCAACAGGTTGGCAATAAGCAACAGAGGGCAAATATGACCTGTATTTCCTAATAGACTCATTATTAATTCAGTGGCGTCCATCTTTCTTTGGTTTGTCTCTTATAAAAGGTTGTCTTATGTTCCCTCCCCTTGTGTACTGAAGGTGGTTACAGCAGCAGGAGTCGCACCGGTAGGGACAAGTACGGTCCTCCTGTTCGCACTGAGTATCGGCTCATTGTGGAGAATCTGTCTAGTCGCTGCAGCTGGCAAGACCTAAAGGTAATGGTGGTAAAATGGCACACAACAACCCTGTCAGCTCTGCATCCCAGCATGTTTTCCATTTCACACAGTAGCCCTAATGTTTAATGCAGAAGCTGATTGGTCTGATTTTAGGACACTTTTTATTACTTCAGTGGTCTCAAGTGATTAATAGAACAAAAACTAACTGTTTAGTGTAAAAATCATTTTAGATATCAATTCTGGGATCTTCAAAATGCATACATTTTCTCTTCACAGCAGTTCAGAATAGATTCAAGAGAAAATGTATGCATTTTGAAAATCCCAGAATCGATATCCGTACAGCCATACTCTGCCTCAGGTTCTTGACAAATACCTCTTAATCCTAAAACAATCATTGACAAAATTGGTGAGTTTCAAGCGCATTCTTAGTGAGCATGTTTAAAAACTAGCCCTGAGCATCGTCTGCTCTTTAAGAACAGACCCAGGGCGCCGTCTGCCATTTTAAAAACCAGCCAAGAGCGCAGTCTGCTGTTTAAAAACTGGCCCAGAGCACCATCTGCTGTTTAAGAACCGGCCCAGAGCACATGTGCTGTTTAAAAACTAGCCCAGAGCACCATCTGCTGTTTAAAAACCGAACCCGAGCGCCGTCTGCAGTTTAAATACTAGCCCAGAGCACCATCTGCTGTTTAAAAACCGAACCCGAGCGCCGTCTGCAGTTTAAATACTAGCCCAGAGCACCATCTGCTGTTTAAAAACCGAACCAGAGCGCCGTCTGCAGTTTAAAAACTAGCCCAGAGCACCATCTGCTGTTTAAGAACCGGCCCAGAGCACATGTGCTGTTTAAAAACTAGCCCAGAGCACCATCTGCTGTTTAAAAACCGAACCCGAGCGCCGTCTGCAGTTTAAATACTAGCCCAGAGCACCATCTGCTGTTTAAAAACCGAACCAGAGCGCCGTCTGCAGTTTAAAAACTAGCCCAGAGCACCATCTGCTGTTTAAAAACCAGCCCAGAGCGCCGCCTGCTGTTTAGGAGAACCAGCCCAGAGCGCCGCCTGCTGTTTAGGAGAACCAGCCCAGAGCGCCGCCTGCTGTTTAGGAGAACCAGCCCAGAGCGCCGCCTGCCATTTAAAAACGGTCCCAGAGCGCCATCTGCAGTTTAAGAACGGTCCCAGAGCGCCATCTGCAGTTTAAGAACGGTCCCAGAGCGCCATCTGCAGTTTAAAAACCAGCCCAGAGCGCCGCCTGCTGTTTAAAAACCAGCCCAGAGCGCCGCCTGCTGTTTAAAAACCAGCCCAGAGCGCCGCCTGCTGTTTAAAAACCAGCCCAGAGCGCCGCCTGCCGTTCAAGAACGGTCCCAGAGCGCCGTCTGCCGTTCAAGAACGGTCCCAGAGCGGTCCTAGTCTAGAATGCCATAATCTGCTGTTAAACTTGCCTAGAGCGCCACCTGCTGTTAAAAAACGTTTAGAATAGATTTAAGCATACCCATACAGTTTTTTAAAAATATCAGGATTAATTACTCAAAATATTTTTTGCCATTTAACAATGTGTAAATTCAATGTTTATGTGGCTTGGTTTTGATTGCTGAAAGTCTTTTAACAGCTAACAACAATGCTGAAGTTTGATGTGGTATTTGAATGATTAGCTGTTGTGCATGAAGCTGAAGTTTGGGTTCTCTTTGCAGGATTTTATGCGACAGGCAGGTGAGGTGACCTATGCGGATGCCCATAAGGAGCGTGCAAATGAGGGCGTCATTGAGTTTCGCTCTTACTCTGATATGCGGAGAGCTCTGGAGAAACTGGATGGCACTGACATTAATGGCAGGAAGATTCGTCTGGTTGAAGATAAGCCACGAAGACGACGCTCCTACTCTGGCAGTCGCTCCCGGTGAGACTTTGCAATTTTTGCTTCTGGTAAATCTCGGGGATCAGTTTCCGCAATTGACAGCAAGAACACACATAGAAGGCTTGTCCAATTAACACGCAGCATATGAATGTGTTCAAAAGAATTAAAAACACCAAAATGGGATGTATTTATACCGCATTTTGAAAGTGAAAGCACCTCATATTCACCGATTATAAAGTTCAGTATTTATTACACGACGTTCTCTTCTTTACATTTACATTATAAACACATTTAGCTCTGTGCATATCGACTTCAGTTCCGATAATAACCGATAATCATTGTATTTATTTATTTATTCTGTTTAATTGATTTATTTATTTTAGCCCCTTAACTGAAAGACGTGATTTTATTTGTGTGTGCGTAGTGTAAACAGTGGGCGGTTTAAATGTAAAAAAAAAAAAAAAAAAAAAGAAGGTAAAATTAAACACAAACTTTTTGTCTTTCAAACATTTATTTTTTCTATTTTAATATCTCGCTGTTAGCTAGTCTTTCAACAAATAACAATGTAAGAATGATAATTATAACGATGATAATAACGGGGAGGGAAACCCCTGTGTTTGAATAATATTTTGCTCAAACTGAGTCTTGAGTTAAAGTAACCATTTATGGGATAATACCTGTTATATATTATACTGTCATTCCTCCTAAAAATACAGAGATTTGATTTTTTTTTTGGCCCATATCGCCCAGCCTTAGCCTGTAGTGTTTTTTTTTTTCACTTAAATTTGGGGTGTTTCTCCAAATCCAGACCTCCATGGGTTAATCAATATGATTTCCATTTAATTTTTTTTTTTCTGTTGTTTTTGTTGTTTTTTTTGTCAGCACATTCAACTATGTAAAGAACATTTTCTTTGATTTCAGATGTAGGATGTTATTTTAGTGTTCCCTTTATTGTTTTGAGCAGTGTATTTAGTCATTTCAGTTACCTATTGTGTCCTTTTACTGATGTTTTAGATGATGTTTTTAGAAAAGTAACTTTAAAAACAATTGTAATTAGCAATTAATTAGTTTTTGCCAATTAACTTGCCCAACAAGAAGTAAAACAAAACTATTAAAACTAAACAAAAAAACGATTTATTTGCACTTTTTTTTTTCACCAGGTCTCGTAGCCGTCGTCGTTCACGCAGCAGGAGTCGCCGTAGCAGCCGTTCCCGTAGCAATTCAAGATCTCGCTCAAGGTAATTGTTGAAAGAGAATTAAAACTGATCGAATCTTATTGTCTTCTGGAGCTTGTCTTTCATGGTCCTTCTTTTGGTCTTTTGCAGGTCCCGCTCTCGCCGTCACCGTTCCCGCTCCAGGTCAGGCCGCAGGTCTCGTTCCAAGTCAGGACACAAGTCTCGCTCCAAATCTCCATCCAGCAAGTCTCGCTCTCGCAACCGCAAATCTCATTCCCGCTCTCGCTCCCGCACGCACAAATCACGCAGTCGGTCAACTAGTCGCAAGTCTCGCTCCCGCTCCGATGATCGCAAGTCCCGCTCCAAGAGCACTTCTAAGGTGAAGTCAGACCGCGGCCGCTCCAAGGAAAAGTCAGTCAGCAAGAAATCCAGGAGCAGGTCTGCTTCGCCTATGGAGAATGGAGATGGGGAGCGTCCCAAATCTGCTTCCCGCTCTCCATCACCTCAGGCTGAACAGAGCAAGTACAAGTCTCCAGACAGGCACTCACGCTCCCGCTCGAAGTCTGCCTCGCGCTCTAAATCCCGCTCCCGTTCCAGATCTGCGTCCCAAGACTAGTGTAGAGAAGTTACTTTTTTTTCCCCCCATTATTTTATCCTCCCCACCACCTAATTAGATGTACATTTGTCCAGGATAGTTTTCTAATGGCTATGGTGTCCAGATCCAGGCATTTCGTTTTTGCTTTTTAATTCCGTGTCTTCTATAGAGAGAATCATAGCTTCGATATTTTATACACACACACACACAGACACACACACAGACACCAATGGCATGGAAAGATCATCTGATTAAATGTAGTGCGCTGCATGTCAATCTTTTTTAAACTGTGATCCTCTGTGCTGTGTGGGCTGGATTAAAGGCCTCTTGGTATTGAAACGACTGACCACTGCGTCTTGTGGCTTCTACAGTGCTGTCTGTCATCTAAAGAAACAAGGCTTCCTTTTCTTCATGTAATTAGCCAATTGAAAACTCTGTTTTTGTTTTATTAAATTTCACAACCTATTTCTCTGTTGTTGCTTGGTTTTTTTCAAATCTGCATGTTTTCTGTTTGTAATCAACTCAAACATGAAGACAGGGTGGTAGAGTAGGGGAGAGTAGCTCCCCTTTTTAAAATGACAGCTAGTCGTGTTGTGTTTGATCACAGCTCTGCCAATGAGAGTGGTTGAGCTCAAGTGCATTATTGAAAAGCAAATGAGAAGTTTCTTGAAGGGGGCGGGGCATGTCAGATGCTAAAGATTATTTCATTGGTGAAACTGAGGTGTGTGAGTGAAAAAATGGTTTTGATTCATTTTTTCTTATAAAGAAAATCTGGGTATACCTAGCCATAGTTGAATAGTAAGAGTTCAGTATAGGAAATGGCAGTACCGTGATAACGGTCGGAGAACATTATATTTAACTGTTTGAGTGACTCACAGCTCACCTGCAGCATTTGCCTGTACTTTAGGTTATTCATCCATTAATCATTTTAACCTGAAGCTCTTTAATTTTGGGCAGAATTGCAAAAGAAATGTAACTTCTTATTTTTTTCCAATTCCTGTGATTTATATACAGTTGAAGTCAGAATAATTAGCCCCCCTGTTTATTTTTTTATATTTCCCCAATTTCTGTTTAAAAGAGATTTTCATAATAGTTTTAATAACTCATCTCTAATAACTGATTTATTTTATCTTTGCCATGATGACTGTAATTAATATTTGACTAGATATTTTTCAAGACACTTCTATACAGCTTAAATTGACATTTAAATGCTTAACTAGGTTAACTAGGCAGGTTATGGTAATTAGGCAAATTTTTGTATTACGATGGTTTGTTCTGTAGACTATTGAAAAAAAAAATAGCCTGAAGGGGCAAATTTTTTTTTACCCTAAATGGCTTTTCAAAAATGAAATACTGTTTTAATCCTAGCCAAAATTAAGGACTTTCTCCAGAAGAAAAATATTATCGGACACTGTGAAGATTTCCTTGCTCTGTTAAACAGCATTTGGGAAATATTTAAAAAATAATAAAAAGGGGGGCAAATAATTCTGAATTCAACTGTGTATGTGTGTGTGTGTGTATATATATATATATATATATATATATATATATATATATATATATATATATATAAGCCCTTTAACATTAACACCTGCCAACCAGCCAAATGCGGGTAGGTTTTAGCTGAGGCTAGTTAGACAGCCACCCCCACTAGCCACGTTGGCTGGTTAAAAATAATTTTTAAATTGCCAGTGCTGGCTCATCACTAATCAATTGAATTTTAGTTAATGTATAGTTTTATGTATAAAACGTATGTTTAGTTTTAATATACAGCTATAATTTTTTTGACCCATTATGTAAATATTGTGGTGAGGAAATCATTAGTTTGGTGTAGCCAGAGGATAAAATTAGTAAATCTTTAGTGTTGAGCCCTGAAAAGTCATGTGAAATACAACTAATTGCAATGATCATACACAACCCTCAAATAAAAGTTAAAAGAATGAGGAGGCATCTGGACACAACACACCATTTAAATCAAGAAATTTAAGCATGCCAAAGTCTGTTTAATTTATGTAAATTATTTTTCCCAACAATAAAAATGTGGCTAATGAAAATGGCGAATGACTTGTAATGCTGGAAAACTAATAGCCGTAGTAGCACACACACACACACACACACATTTTTTAAATGCTAAATTCAAATACAATGGCATTCATTCATACATTTCGGCTTAGTCCCTTTATTAATCCGGGGCAGGCCACAGCGGAATGAACCGCCAACTTATCTAGCATTTATTTTACACAGCGGATGCCCTTCCAGCTGCAACCCATCTTTGGGAAATATCCATTCACCCTCACACTACGGACATTTTAGCCCACCCAATTCATCTGTACCGCGTGTCTTTGGACTTGTGGGGGAAACCGGAGCCCCCGGAGGAAACCCACACCAACACGAGGAGAACATGCAAACTCCACACAGAAATGCCAACTGACCCAGCCGAGGCTCGAACCAGCGACCTTCTTGCTGTGAGGCGAACGTGCTACCCAAGGCTCAACAGAAAATAATATAGAAAAATACAAAAATCATCCAAACTAAAGTAAAATTAAGAGTGAAAATGAAAAAATAAATAAGAAATCAATATAAAACAGATACCGGAAGTTACATGAGACAAATAAATCAAACATTTTTTGTTTTCATTTTAGCCAGGCCATGCGAAAAGAATAAAATATTTGGCTAATACAATTATAACATTTATCAAATCGTGCAAAGCAGAACAATCTTCAGTAATTCCATATAGTACATCTTGTAATGTGAAGTCAAACCTTCAGCATCCAGTTAGAATTTTCCTGCCTAGGTTGCAGGATGGAAAGTTGCGCGTCTTTTAGGATGCGACAGTCACGTGATTCCTCGTCATACATTTGCGCAGGGCTCAAAGCTAGCAAGAAGAGGCTGTAGACACATTTCTTCTGATTTAAAAAAGCTTTTTAAACTGCTGTTTATCGATGCTCTGGAAGGTGTGATACACAGAGAGTCTGTACCGGGAGAGTCGACAGACGGGCTGACTGATATACATACAAAGTGTCTGCGTACTGGAGGTCAGTACATGTAAACATCCTTTACATTAAAGTGCCGTAGCTTTTGCTCCTGCAGTGTTGTCCATTCTTACATATAATTATTAGAGAACTTTGTGTTTGATTCTTGTCATTAATTCTGTCATTGGTGTATTTATTTCTAGGTTTTGCAGGTAAACAGTCATGACTGGTGAGTATTAAATACAATACACTTCTGCATGATAGTTTAACACGATAGGTGTTTTGCATCATTATCCACACATATTTTAATATTGTCTAACTTTGTGTTTGGATGCAGTCGATGAGTTAATAATAATAATCGACATATAACTTGTTTATAACAGTTTTCTTATTGGTTTGAAAATTAATTAAGATTTATATTATTATTATTATTACTACCATTATTGCTATATTTAACCTTTATTTTACCAGGACACATTGAGATTAAAAATCTATTTTACAAGAGTGTCCTGGCCAAGATTAGGCAGTATACATGTCACATGGGTCTAACAGACGGCAAACAAAAAACAATTAACAGTTAACATGAATAACACATTGACAAACAAACTGTTCAAAACGTCCACAAGCCTGTGTTTCAATTTCTAATTCATTTATACTTTTTTTAAGCATTTTGTGAAATCAATTTAAACTACAACTTTGTTTGTAGATAATTCCATGCTAAAGGTGCTGCGTATTTAAAGGGGCATGAAACCCCCATCTATCAGCAGGGTGTTTTCACACCTCTACTTTGGAAAAAGTCAGGAAAGTGGGCGTGTCCAGCTCTTTTTAGGGGGGAGTGTCGGAGGAGGGAAAAAGGCATGGTCTGTAAAAACTTGCATAAAAATGGAAGTGTCGGTTTGGGCAGGATGAAATAGAACATCACAAGATTAAAATGTGTGGCAAACACTATTACCTGCAAACTCCATCCCTCAAGCCTTATGCTGCGTTTACATCAGATGCGGAACGTGCGTCAATCGCGAGTAATTTACATGTTAAGTCAATGCAAACGCGCGAATAGACATCCTGCGGCGTGATACGCAGCAAAGCTGTGTGTGTGATGCAAGCATTTTTGTCGGGAGAGCAGCACGAGAATTGGAGAATGGCGGATGTTGTCTTGTATCAGGAGTTCGTTCGCATTCAGACCCTTCGCTGTACTGCTGTGTTTGCCTAAATCCTCCAGATTACCAGCAGGACTAATGGTTAAAATAGACAGGTCAGGAGACCTGCTGCACTGAGTCTGCATTCAGATCTATAATAGACCCGGGGATTGAGGGAGAAGTCCTCATTTATAGTGTTTACATGAACACGATTATCTTTATAATGATATAAATTGTGGTTGTCTGTATATGAAATTACGAATAATAAATGTAGCAGGGCATTAAATTACTGTTTATTTCTTTGCATTTTAACTTTGTAAACTATAAACTCATGCGTCTCCTCACGGTTTGTCTCAATTTGTGAGCTAACTGACAACAACAGTTGTTCGCTCCACTTCTCCCCTGCTGGCCACGCCCACTCCTGCCCTATGCTCGCGGAGCTCCACGCCCATTAATCATGCATCTTTTGAAAAAATTCTGAAGTAGACTTTAACCGAAAGTGGGGGGTGTCATGGCCCTTTAACGAGCGTTTCGCGCGAAGTTCGAAAATCTGAACTTCAGCGGACATTTGCGCCGCGTTAACCAATCAGGAGCTTGCTCTTGTGGGGCCGTGATTGTGACGTAGAACCTGTTGTCGGTGTTCCGAGGGAAATCCTCCAGCCTTCACCGACAACAGTTCATCAAACTCGGCTTGGCTCAGTCAGAAGCACCGCTGAAAGCCTCCGTCATCCAGGTTCAATTTCTGGAGGAGTTTATGAGCTCGCAGAGCTGGATGCACCTCTGAAAGCATGTAGTGGACTCAGACACGACCCTAAACGTATCGACGCTGTTTTTCAGTCTTCATAAAGCACATAAACACAGTTATTTTCTTCATAAAATCCATGTTAGCCATTTAGCTATGAAGCTAGAGTCTTCGGGCAGACAGAAGCCCTGCCCATCACGCGAATCCGCGTCTGTTCTGAAGTGAATTTGACACGCGAATGAAGCGAGTAAACTCAAATGTTGACGCGGCTATTTACGCGCGAATAGCGCAATTTATCCGCGCGTTCCGCGTCTGGTGTGAACACAGCATTACAGTGAACGGCTCGGACCCATAGGCATTCAATTTGTTACATGAATTTTGAATAGCAATGCACATGAAATATCATGAACGACTGGTCATGAAAGTTTGGTACAACACCCAAACAAAATCTGACTGTAAGAAAGAGACCAAAACTTAAAAAGATACTTCATCCAATAACTGAACTTTTATTTATTTGTACCATTTTTGGGCGAACTATCCCAATAAATCCATGCTCCAAAGTATTCAACAATTTAAGTTAAAATGTAATATTGTGTTTATTAAAACAGCACAATGGATTTAAATGTGAAAAAGTGCATACATCATATATTAACGTAATTTACTGTGGTTGTTAGATGCTGGAAAAGAATACAAATGCACCTTGAAAGTGCTTCAAAAGTGCTGGAATTTGAAGCTGTAAAAGGTGTAAAAACCCTGATACCAGAATTGCATAATGTTTTGAAGTTTTCATTTGGTGTGGTGGGAGGTAGAGGGGCTCCTGGTTTTCGGAGCTGGGATTGAGGATAATATGATTGAAGTTGAGGGCTCTAACATCTTGTTGGAAGAAGCTGTTAGCCGAGCGTCCATATTGATGATGACTTTAAGCATGGATAGCACTTTTGTTAACAATCATGATTGCTTTAATTGTTTGTTTTTTCAGACCGAAGATTTGTGTTTGTCAATGAAGAAGAGCTGTTCGGCATGATGAAGGACATCGACTGCCTGTACTGTAGGATTCCAGTTATTGGATCTAAACATCACCTCAAAAAGAGACACCTCAGATTCGCCATCCATTATAAAGACTCTGACATTGGTAATTGAACAGTAAAGAACTCTACACTAGTTGTTTTACACTGAAATGATGTTTTCCACCTATTTAATCAGCTCTAACGCGGTCTGTATTCTCATACAGGAAAGTTCTCGATCCCCTGTTACTGCTCTGATGGAGGTCATGGCAGGAGTCACTGGCATTGCCCAATGTGCAAAAAAATATTACAGAGGACAAAGGATTTCAGAATCCACATCCACAACCATGGTTTGTTTTTTAACTGTTTGGGAGTGTGTGGGTCAGTGACACGCATCAAAACACGGCCTGCTTTTTAAAAAGTTTTTACTTGGAGTTTTTGACTTCTTTCTAGTCCAAATATCTAAAAATTCTTAAATCAACAAGCATTTTCTAGACGAGCAAAAAAAATATTGTTTTCTGAAATAATAAGTCAAAATTAAGACTTTAATTTTTACTTTGAAATATGACAAGTAATGTATTTTTTTGCTTTGAATTAGGATTATGTTGCTAACTTTATTGGCAAATTGGCTTGTTTTTTAATTTTCTTAAGGGTTTTTTTGCCTTTTATTATCGGGATAGTGGAGGTTACACACAGGAAAGCAATGGGAGGAAGAGGGGAAGGATTGGCAAAGGACCTCGAGTCGGGAATCAAACTCAGGTCACCGTGAGCACCACAGTGCTATATGTCGGCACTCTTAACCACTAGGCTATTGGTGCCAATGCAAATTGGCTTATTTTAAGGAAAGAAATACAGTTTTGACATCATTTCTAATATGAAGAAATGTTTTGTGTCTTAATTTAAGAATTTTTAGATATTTAAAATAGAAACAAAAGCAAAACCTTTTGAGTTGATTTGCAGAACCAATGCCCAAAAATGTCAGTCAGTGTGAGTCAACTCCATTTCTCTCACTTAATTCTAGATCAACATCCTGTCAGGAACAGTGTTGTGAGAGTTACTTTAAAAATGTATCAATTACCAATTAGATCAATTAAATTGTATGTAAATAGTTGCTTTGTCTGAAAAGTAACTTACCTGCGCTCTAATTTAATTACTTGACTAAATACTCCCCCCCCCCAAAAAAAAAATAGAATAGTGTTGATTTAGCTCATTTCCAATAAGTAATTTGAACAAACTTTATTTGAGTGTATATGCACTTGACTCTAATCTTTCAATTATTAGTAATCTATGTCTGATCTGTTTCATGCAATTGCAGGTGTTAAGATGACCGACAAATCCACAGGTGAGAGATGATGTTTAATCATTCATTCATTCATTCATTCATTCATTCATTCATTCATTCATTCATTCATTCATTCATTCATTCATTCGTTCATTCAGTCATTCATTCATTTTTTGTTTGGCTTAGTCCCTTTATTAATGTGGGGTCACTGCAGCAGAATGAATCGCCAACTTATCCAGCATGTTTTACACAGCGGATGCCCTTCCAGCTGCAACCCATCTCTGGGAAACATACACTCTCATTCACACACAGACATTTTAGCCTACCCAAATCACCTGTACTGTCTTTGGACTGTGGGGGAAACCGAGGGGGAACATCCAAACTCCACATAGAAACGACAACTGACCCAGCCGAGGCACGAACCAGCGTCCTTCTTGCTGTGAGGCGACAGCACTACCTATTGTGCCACCGCGTCGCCCCATGTTTAATCATTTTTCAGTAATAATCAAATCATTGACTGTTCACAAAACAAGTCAGTCAGTGATTTAAAGGAATAGTGCACCAGAAAAGAAATGAATCTTTCCTCTTAATTTACTTGTCCTCAGGTCATCCAAGATGTAGGTGACTTTTAGTTTCTAAAATGCAACACTAAAGAAGATTGTGGTTCTTGGTGATTCACATAATGCATGCACTTTTTGAGATTTAGTAGCGCTGTTATGTCCTGTTATGCTCACACAAGCGTGGAAGAAGCGTCAAGCACAAGTGACTTACATGTTAAGTTAATGAAAAGCTGCGAATAGACATCCTGTGGCGCGATACGTGCGAATGGCGCAGCGCGAATAACGCGAATTGAGCGTTTTGCTCATTTCGCACAAATCACTCGAGTTCGAAAATCTAAACTTCAGCAGACATTCGCGCCGCATTAACCAATCAGGAACTTGCTCTTGTGGGGGCGTGATTATGGCATAGCACCTGTTGTTGGTGTCCCAGGGGGAAATCCTCCTGCACACACCGACAACAGTTCATCAAACCGGGCTTGGCTCAGTCAGAAGCACCGCTGAAAGCCTCCATCATCCATGTTAAGTTTCTGGAGGAGTTTATGAGCTCACAGAGCTGGATGCACCTCTGAAAGGATCTAGTGGACTCAGACATTGCTCCAAAGGTATCAACGCTGTTTTTCAGCCTTCATAAAGTACATAAACACAGTTATTTTCTCAATTACATCCAAGTTAGCCATTTAGCAACGAAGCTACAGTCACCGGGCAGACAGAAGCCCTGCCCATCACGCGAATCCGCGTCTGTTCTGAAGTGAATTTGAATGAAGCGAGTAAACTCAACTGTTTAAACGTCTTATTACACGCGAAAATCGGGATTTATCTGCGCGTTATGCATCTGGTGTTAACACAGCATTAGCTTTTCACTGACAGGCCAAATTTAGCCTCATTTTAGCCTAGGTGTCATCTTTTAAACACAAAAAAGTTTGCTGGGTGTATTCCCAATTTTACCTAAATGTTTTGTCCCCTTCCAGCTGAGCTAGAACCTACGGCAGTTCTCCTGCAGACTCTACAAAGCAATAACAACAACAACAGCAGCCACAACAATAACGAAGACACGACTTCAAGCGGTAAGCTAACATGCCAGAAGTGCGGAGTCTACTTCACCACCGCGTCGAATTTGCGACGGCACGAGAGGCTGCAGCACGACCAAGACCAGCAGCCCATGTTATGCATAGATGCCAAAAAAGCCATCTACGTGACGCCCAAGGATCTGCACGGCCCCAGAGTGCCCATTCACATCCGCAAGTCCTTCGCCCTGCAGATTCTGCTGTGTGAGCTGGAGGAATGCTGGGACTTCATGAAGACGCAGGCCCAGAACGGGAATCCAGGGAAAGAGTGCCGTCACCTGGTCAGGACGAACCATGCGCGGGCTTACACCATGCCTCCACCACTGTGTGTGATCTCTCTGGAGGAAATGACCCACAAAAACCTCCTGTCCAAAGCGGAGGGCGAAGAGTGCCAGCAAATGAACTCCAAAGCATGTTCAGAGGGAGTCGACTGCGTCTACCCTATTCTCTGGGGGGAGCAAGACCTTCTATTAGAGCGCTGCATCTATTTTTCTGTGCACACGGGGCTCAAGGACAAATGGTGTCAGTTTGGAAGGACGCGCGTCTCATTTGACATCAGATCCAAAGTCTGGAAGTGCCAGTGTGAAGGTGGCGGAGACCACAGCTGTGTTCACAAGTGTCTGTCCATGTGGTGGCTGTTTCAGGAGCGTCCCGAGCTGCTGGAGAATACCATCGAAATCACCGTCGAGAGAGTGGACTTGATTGAGGAGGTGGTCATGAATGCAGAAGATGCGAATAAAATGTCTACAGAGGTCGATGAGCTCTGCTAGGTTCACCCTTAAGAAGTACAGGCTCATTTTCTGTGATTAAAACACTGGGCGTACTGTTGATATTGTCGTGGAATTTGTTAAAGGCGCAGTATGTGGTTTTGGCCACTAGAGGGCACGTGTTCACAACAAACAAAAGTGTGTTTTAGGCAAGGCAAGTTTATTTATATAGCACATTTCATACACAGTGGCAATTCAAAGTGCTTTACATAAACAAGAATAAGAGAAACAAGTAAAATAAAAATAAAAACAAATAATAAAAATCCAGCTTAAACCAGCCTGAAAGTGGCCAAAACCCCTCTAAAACCAGCCTGGTTAACCAGCTAAAACCAGCCAACCATCCTAGGCTGGTTTAAGCTGGATTTTTCAGGCCAATTTAAATGCAAAGATGACATTGTTATGACAACTTAATAAACAAATACATCACAATCTTGTTTTTGTCTGTCGTGACAACTTAACAATACTAAGACGTCATGAATCTGTCATAAACATGATTATCATGAAGACATTATAAATGTCATGAATTTTATAACGGCGTCGTTAATATTTTTTGACCTCGACTACAGTGGTACAAGCTGAATTTGTCATTAAATTGGGTCCCACTTTATATTAAGTGTCCTTAACTACTATGTACTTACCTCAAAAAAAAAATAAATACAATGTACTGACTGTGTTTATAATGTATTTGAGAACACTTGTGGTGCTTTTGAGTTGGGATAGAGGTTGGGTTATGAACAGGTTTGGTGGCATGGGTAGGTTTAAGAATGGGTTAAGGTGTAAGGGATGGTCAAAAGTTAATTACAGATGTAATTACATACATATATTTAATCAAGCTTAAGTACACAGTAAATACATGTATTTACATGATAAGTACATTGTAGCAAACTAATAATTCCTGTGTAAGTACATATTAGTTAAGACCACTTAATATAAAGTGGGACCTTAAAGTGTTATTAAATATTAATAAAGCTGTTTAAAATGATTTGACAGAATAATGACACTTTTAATGAGACAATTTAATGATAAACAGTTTGAAACGTTTATCAGTTTTCCACTGAAAACGTGATTGGAAGAATATTCATGACAAAATTATAATGCCTCATGGCATGTTTAGGATTATTTTCTACTCGTTTTAGCACTTGTTTATGACTGTTTAGGACTATTATTAACACTGGATATGACGTATTAATGTCAAGTGTTCATAACAAACAATGTTATCTTTACATTTGAAATGCCACAACTAAGCAAATTACACTTATTGGCAGTTGTTATAAGCATGCATAAAATCCCATTCACATTCATGTGTGTCATGTCATTGTTATTATAAAGGTTTAGCAGTCTTTTGAACACCCCTTTAAGTGTTACCAAATGATGTGGTAATATTATAGCGTAGTAACTGCATACTACTGTATATTTATGTTTGAGACCTTTTTTTTTTTTTTGGTTTATTGATTACCATTTGGGCGACACAGTGGTTAGCACAGTCGTCTCACAGCAACAAGGTGGCTGATTCGAGTCCCGGCTGGGTCAGTTGGCATTTCTGTATGGAGTTTGCATGTTCTCCCCGTGTTGGCATGGGTTTCCTCTGCGTGCTCTGGTTTTCCCCACAGTACATAGACATGCTGTCAGGGGAGCCTGCACAGTTTAGCTCCAACTTCCTTTAACACGCCTGCCTGGAAGTTTCTACCTAGAAAGAGCTTGATTAGCTGGTTCAGGTGTGTTTAATTGGGGTTGGATCTAAAATATGCTGGACATCGTCCCTCCAGGACCGAGTTTGGACACCCTGGTGAACTGCATAAACTAAATTGGCCATAGTGTATGAGTGTGCATGGTTGTACCCAGTACTGGGTTGCAGCTGGAAGGACATACGCTGTGTAAAACATATGCTGGATAAGTTGGTGGTTCATTCCGTTGTGGTGATCCCTGATTAATAAAGGGACCAAGCTATAGGAAACATTTGTATAACCAGATTTACTTACTTTAAGCTGAATTTAACCTGATTGCTTACTGTAGCAAAATGATGAGGAATTTGTGCTTACCGATGTGTTATTTCAAGTGAAACGTGGTTGATTTTAGTAAAGTAATTCAACCATAAAGACGTTTATTTATTTACTCAGTCATTTGCATTCACTCACTGCTGAAACAACCCGCTTTCATTCATTAATGACAGCTAAATATTATTAACGTTTCGTTTGCACTTGAAAACATGATGCTTTACCAAACAATCCACACAGATGCAGAAGACACAAGAGAAACTATAATCTGTGGCAAAATTTGTTATTCATTTAACAAAAAGAATAAGAACATACGTCTACTATTCCAAAAAGAACAGGCTAGTAAACCATTGGTTATTTTCTATTGGTCTAAGTTTACTCAAAATATTGATTGGAGGAAGGTTTGGGTATTAACTAATAAATACTATAACTATAAATAATAACTATTAACTAATAAAAAATCTAATTACAAATAAAATCAAAGAAATCTCATTTAAGATACCACACAAATTTTACCCTGTTAAGCATTTTCAACCAGATTTATTAAAGATATGGATGTCAATTGTTCGTTCTGTTCATCATACTCAGAAACAGTATCTCATATTTTCTGGCATTGTCCATACACAAAACAGTTATGGGGGAAGGTATCTAAATTTATAAATGATAAAGTGCTGTCAAAATGTATTTTACTGTATGAATATGTTATTTTTGGTTTCTTGAAATATGATAAGAAGTTGGAAAGTGAAGCTTATGTGATTAATCTTCTGATCATACTTACCAAGTTTCATATCCATCCACCTCTGTTTTTAGCGGTACTTAAAGAACTAAATATTTATATAAATACCATTGAGAATACAAACAAAAAAAAAAGCTGTTAAAACTGTATATTTGTTAGACACTTTTAAGTTATTGTGAGTTAGCTAGGCCTAGCATTATTTATTTGTAGTATTTTTTTTCTTTTTTGTTGTATTATTTTGTTTTACTTATTGAGTTCTTGTAGCTCTTCATTGTTTATATGCTTTTTATTTTTGTATATCTCTGGCATTGTTCTGTATGTATCGTTCTTGCTATAATAATAATAAAAAAACCAAGAGAAACTGTAAACGCAGCACACTTTCAAACATCAGGGGACTCTGCGCTTAGAACTCGCGCATGCGCAGATCTTATTCCTTCCGAGCAGGACCAGCACTGGTGAGAATAAATTCATTATCTGATCGCCTTCACATTACGCACAATTCATGTCATGCCATTATGACATGATCGATATAAATAGGTTTTACGTCGCGAGCTTTTTTTGATATTCATGACGACGCTCGTTTTACCGTATTTTTTCCTTTACACAATTATTAAATAAACCCGATATAATTAGCAATTAAGCTGAGGTTGCCAGGAAATTAAAGCATATGTGTTAACGTCGTCCGTCGAGACAAGACAGCTTCTGTCTGTTCCTTCCAAACTCATCGGAATCTGACGACGATAATAAAGCAGGCTTTCAGTCAAAGCGCAGTCAAATAATGAATGGTTCGCCTATTTTACACTTTACTGCACAAGAACATGGACTTCCGCCATTTTGCACTGCTTCTATAAAGACAATTCTGGCGAGAAGAGAGGATGTGCTGGAATTGAAGCTTTTTGAACTGGGACTGATCATACATCACCTCCACCATCAGTTTAAACGTTAGGTAGCCTATAATCAAGCATCACCACTATCAGTTCATGCATTATGTATGTATAATCATCACCATCAGTGTAGGAAATCATCTTCACCACCATTATGAGTGTCCATGCATCTCACTCAAGTTCATCATCAGTTATCTGTCATTGTGGGTTGATTCTCTCTTTCACTTTTGCAAAGGAATGACAGAAAGTAGCCTACTAAATAACCATTTCCCCCTTTAATCATCGAATACACCACAGCATTGTAACTACTGCTACTAATTAGTATTATTTTATGTTGTAAACGAACCCCACGCCATTATAAGTAAACAAACATGTTTTCTGTCAAGAAATCCCTGCTGTAAAATCCAGCTTAAACAAGCCTAGGTTGGTTGGCTGGTTTTAGCTGGTCGACCAGGCTGGTTTTAGAGGGGTTTTGGCCACTTCCAGCCTGGTCTTAGCTGGTCAGGCTGGGAGATGACCAGCTAAAACCAGCTTGACCAGCCTAGCCAAGCTGGAAGTCCAGCCAAAACCAGCTATATCCAGCTTAAACCAGGTTGGTCAAGCTGGTTTTAGCTGGATTTGGCTGGTCAAATTTCCAGCCAGACCAGCTAAGACTAGGCTGGAAATGGCTAGAAACCAGCCTTGAAATGGCCAAAATCCCTCTAAAACCAGGCTGGTCAACCAGCTAAAACCAGCCAACCAGCCTAGGCTGGTTTAAGCTTGATTTTTCAGCAGGAATAAAAGTCCTAATTCCCAAAAAATACTTCTGTGGAAATGTTATAAAACAACATGACATGGTAGTTTATAGTAAATACTATAGTATTTTAAGTCATACTGTGGTAAAGTGTACTGTATATTTCTTACATCTTGTTATTAATGATTGCTCCATCATACTGTAGTATTAACAATAGTGAGCTGACGTACTGTAATAAATACTTTAGTTTTCACTTCAGGAAACTGCAGTGTATTGCATGGAAAATGTAGGACACGATGAATATTTTAATCCTCAAGTTTTATATGAGAACTGTGTCCTCAATCAGGTGGAAAGCATTGAAAACGATCCAACTCATTTTTTGTTTCCACATTACGAACTGCTTCCCTCTGGTAGAAGATATAGAGTCCACAAGTGTAGGTTAAACCGCTATCAGAAATCCTGTTTGTACCTGTTTCAGTGGGTTTACTTAATAAGAGTCTTTTTAATTAGCATTATAGATTTTGTTTTTTTATTGCTTGTTTTAGTGAATGTCTGCAGCAATATGGTGATGCCCATAACAAATCTGTCAAGGACAATGAAGTTTTACTACTACTACTACTACTACTATTACTACTATTGTAGTATAAGTTACCCTATAGTCGTATAAAACTACAACATTGGGTTAATTGATAATATTACTAAAGTTTTATTACCATAGCAATAATTACCACAACAGTACTTCCCTAAATGGTTAAAAAAACACCATAGTATTTACTAGGGTGATACCATTAATTAATCTTAAGTATCACAATTAAGTAGTATTGCGATAGTGTAATTCATAACTCAAATTATAAAGAAAATTGTCAGAAATACTATATTTTTTGTCATAATATAAATGTCTTAAGTCTTAAATGTAATTCATAATTCCCTTAGTGCCAAATAGTATTAATTGCACGTCACTTCACCTAAAATGTATGCATTCTTTTTGTTTATTTTGCAACAACAAATACATTAAAATAAGGATACAAATTATACCCAATACAACCTGTTACTAAGGAGCATTTTCCCAACAAAATTAGGCTATATGAAGTGGTCAAAAATTGTTTCGTGTTCATCTATTTTCATTCATTCATTCATTTTCTTGTCGGCTTAGTCCCTTTATTAACCTTCTTGCTGTGAGGCGAACATGCTACCCACTCCTCCACTGCGTCATCCCATATATTTTCATCTATTTAGTAATTCAGAACTTTACTTTGTGAGTCGTTCTTTTAAAGAGATTGCCGCGGTTGTTGTAGCCACTAAATCATATTAACAGAAACAGAAATGAACCGAGATGTCCGTTCGATCTGAAGCGTCAGAAAACGTGCAATAGGCTACCATAAAAGGCAGGAATTCTATGCAGTTTTGCAACATTAAAAGTTTCTACAGACTATTAAATATATTGTTGCACAAACGTGAGAGCATCTTAGTGACTTTTTCACATGCAGCATTATCTATTGTAGATAAATTATTAATGACGATACTACCGTTTACAATCTACAGTGGCACCGCCAGTATTTTGGAGCCATAGTATCTCGATACCACCATAGTACATACCTCCCTACAGAAAAATCCAGTTTAAACCAGCCGGTTTGGCTGGTTTTAGCTGGTCGGCCAGGCTGGTTTTAGAGGGGTTTTGGCCATTTCCAGACTGGTTTCCAGCCATTTCCAGCCTGGTCTTAGCTGGTCAGGCTGGGAGATGACCAGCTAAAACCAGCTATGTCCAGCTTAAACCAGGCTGGTCAAGCTGATTTTAGCTGGATTTAGCTGGAAATTTCCCAGCCCGACCAGCTAAGACCAGGCTGGAAATGGCTGGAAACCAGTCTGGAAATGGCCAAAACCTCTCTAAAACCAGGCTGGTCAACTAACTAAAACAGCCAACCGGCCTAGACTGGTTTAAGCTGGATTTTTCAGCAAGGCTGTCAACATTGCGATGTGAAAATAAGGTATTTACCCACTATAATAAAGGATAAATCCCCAAATTACTAAATATGTTCTTTTGGAGCTGTTTCATTGTAAATAAACAGTTAAATGGTCAGTAAAATGTTTTATTACTTTTTATTTACAAATGAAAAAATGAATAGTATATATTAGCAGAAAATAAATTAGCAAACAGTTCAGATAATTTAAATGAATAGCTATTATAAAGAAATTGAATCAAGTTATCAAATCTTAATCTTTTCTTCACTGTATAATGTAAACAATCTGATTAAAGAGCAGCGAATGAATCTCTCATTTATTTAGAATTTTAGTTTGTTTACATCAAATAACAGAGGTGACACTTTAAAAATGCACAGATATGACATTATAATGAAAGCATTCGATTGCTTTTCTAACTTTTTATGCTCATTTAGGATAAATATAGTTGTCTTTGAAAAAAAACCACCAAGATCGACATCTTTAAATGTTGTTATTATTAATTATGTGTTAATGTTTGTTCAAACACGCACCCAAAACCCAGACTTTCGCTCCATTTTAAATCACGTGTACAGAATCAGTTTGGGAAACAGCATCTTTTTATTACTATGGACTATGGAGCACGTCAGCTGACAGTTACGCACCGCTATATGACTGCTTGGAGGATCGCATGGGAGGAGTGACAGGTCCTGTATTAAAAAAAAAAGGGGAATCCTGCCATTTTTATATTTATTTCAAAGTGTTTTCATGCCTAAATAAAGCGAAAGCAATAGAACAGACTCACATTTAAGAGCAAGAGGCGGCCCCTGGTGGTTCGGTGGTATGGGTTGCGTATAGGGAGGATTGGCTCTTTAATGTTTAATTCCACCCTTCAGAGAAAGACTAAAAATACAAGAGGAAATACGGAAAAATACCTTTAACGCATGATAGTAGGATAGAACTGTAAAATACGGGAGAATCCTGAGAAAAACGGGAGGTTTAACAGATGTGGCGTAGTACCGGTGAACCTTGCAACCCTAGTATTTACTATGAAGTGTGTACATTCTTACAAGAAGCATTTTTATATAGTGTCCCTGCTGAAAAATCCAGCTTAAACCAGCCAAGGCTGGTTGGCTGGTTTTAGCTGGTCAACCAGGCTGGTTTTAGAGGGGTTTTGGCCACCTCCAGGCTGGTTTCCAGCCATTTCCAGCCTGGTCTTAGCTGGTCAGGCTGGGAGATGACCAACTAAAACCAGCTTGACCAGCCTAGCAGGCTGGGAGCCCAGCCAAAACCAGCTATGTCCAGCTTAAACCAGGCTGGTCAAGCTGGTTTTAGCTGGATTTAGCTGGTCATTTTCCAGCCTGACCAGCTAAGACCAGGCTGGAAATGGCTGGAAACCAGCCTGGAAGTGGCCAAAACCCCTCTAAAACCAGCCTGGTCGACCAGCTAAAACCAGCCAACCAGCCTAGGCTGGTTTAAGCTGGATTTTTTAGCAGGGGTGACTGAAGAACAAGAATAATTTGTATCATTTTTTTTAAACCAACAACAGCAGTAAAGAAACTGAATCTTTTATGAGTTTGTTGCGGAATAATGACCTGCTTCTGTATATCTGTATGTCCCTGATTTCTCTGTTAGTGGTACTGAGCACAGTCTTGCTATGAGTGCCAAAGTCGACCTGGATGTCCTTCCACACAATGCCGACGGCCCGTCTGAAAGCAGCGTCTCTCACGCTCCCATCGACAGCTCCGCTCACCGGCTGAAACCCCAGGACACCACCACTATCATTTTCCCTGGTACGTATATTTGAATAAAGAGTTGATGAATGTTATGATCATCTAAACCTAATTTCTGGAAGGCCGCAGCTCTGCTTTTGCTCCAACCCTAATCAAACACAGCTGATCCAACTAATCAAGGTGTTCAAGACTACTAGGCTGCATCCGAAACCGCCTACTACTCAGTACGTACTGCATTTGAATTAATTCGTACTAGTCGGCCATTAGACAAATATGATCTATATAGTATAAATGTGAGAAGTAGGAATTGGGATGTACTACATCTGCCATTTTGTCACTCCCATTCATGAATTCTCTCGCGGGGCATCATGGGATAGTGTAGCGTGTATGCACACTTCAGAATCTCGCCGGAAGTAGGTCATCCGGGTACTTCTCACATACTAATTTTCGAGTTCTATGAATTCGGTCATATTACTCGACTCGCATACTGATTTTAGCGTACTATAGTATGGAAGTGAAGTCTAGAGACTATTTGGCAGGTGTGAGTTGGAGGTGGTTGGAGATAAACTATGCAGAGCTGTGGCCCTCCAGGAACTGAGTTTGAGACCACTGCCTTAAAGGGACACTCCACTTTAAAAAAAAAAAGTTATATTATTATTTAAACCATGGCATTTTAACTATACTGCCATAATTAATTTGTAGTTATTTTTATGTTTTGTTTTGTATAGTACCCCACTGCATTATTAGTTAACAAACACGTTTCTTTCAGCTTCAAATTCCTAAAATTTGACGAATACTTTTGTGGAAGTGATGTAAAAAACCTCACCTCATTTTTTTCAGGTGCTTATATTTGAATAGAGAGTCCTTAAACTTTGTGATTATCCAAACCTCAAGGGGACACTCCACTCGTTGTATTCTTTATTGTATTTTTGGGTTAAAAGGTTTTACTAGTTTTGAATGCCATGTCTAGCCGGAGCACTTTTAGCTTAGCTTAGCATAGATCATTGAATCAGATTAGACCATTAGCATCTCGTGCTTCATTATAATGCTTTTGATACTTTTTCTAGTAAAATAATTAAACTTCTGTAGTTACATCATGTACTAAGACAAACAAAATACGAAAAAAATTAATAATTTGTATTTTATAAGCTGATATGGCAAGTGTCACGTTTGTTGAAGAGACGGGAACAAAAGGTGTTGGATCCAAGTGCAGTTTTATTTACAAGATCATGCATTGAACGGAAAAATAAGGTGTCCGACGTTCAAAAAAATAACAAAACATCCAATGTTCAAAGTTTAGGGCTTTCGAAAATCATGATCACAGTATATACATGTCCATGCCTAATATCCGACAGCCAGAAAGTGATTATTTTTTTATAAATTGTTAAATTTTTGTTATTTGTTATGCAGCAAGCCCAGAGATTGTTGTGTACACTATGATTCTATATAAAATTAACTTTAATGTGTGATAGGAATAAAACGTGATCATAAACGAATGATTTCTCCACTCAAATGAATGGCAGCTTGGACCCGGCAACAGTATTACATACGTCTCAAACACGTCACCACTTAACAAGCGGATATACCCACCATAATAAGGGATAAATCCTCAAATTACTAAATATGTTCTTCTGGAGCTGTTTTATTGTAAATAAACAGTTAAATGGTCAGTAATATGTTTTATTATTTTTATTTACAAATGAAACAAATAAATAGTATATATTAACAGAAAATAAATTAGCAAACAGTTCAGATAATTTAAATGAATAGCTGTTATAAAGAAATTGAATCAAGTTATCAAATCTCAATCTTTTCTTCACTGTATAATGTAAACATTCTGATTAAAGAGCAGCGAATGAATCTCTTAGTTATTTAGAATTTTAGTTTGTTTACATTAAATAACAGAGGTGACACTTTGAAAATGCACAGATATGACATTATAATGAAAGCAAAACAAGGTGCAAAACAAGGTGTCCGGCGTTCAAAAAATAACAAAACATCCAATGTTCAAAGTAACAACTAAACAAACCCAGAAACTAATGCCAGAATCACTTAAGAAGGCAAACTCACTTAAGAAGACTTACTAGGAATGCAGACAATATAGACAAACGACGCAGTAACAAACCGTGGGTAAAATGGTTGTATAAATAGTCCAGGAAATCAACAGGAACAGCTGTGAATGGCCAATCAGTGTAAGTGATACCGGGTGTAATGAGCGTGGTATGTATGGACTTGTAGTTCTTAAGCCACTGTAGTTCGCTGAGTGTGCTGCCGAACTACAGTGGCATCCGGTGGGCATAGACAGTCATGACAGCGAGGAACCATACACTCATTCTGGCGTAATAATCAAGGGACTTTGCTGCCGTCCCATCCGAGAGGGAGTCTGGGGTTCTCTCCTAAGACTGCTGCCCTCGCAACCTGGGTCTGGAAAAGCAGATGAAATTGAATGTTTGATTAACTTACATGGATTATTTAATCACTTTAAGAGTAATAACGTGTGCTTGTGACATAATTGTTTGATTACATAAACAATCTACTTTAAGTGGTTAATGATTTTAAATGTAGACTAAATTACATTGGTGTACAGGGTTGAGGGATTGAGTAAGAACTAAATTCACATGCTCTCTTTATGACAACAAGCTTTTATTTTCTATAGCTTCTGCTCATCCATTGCCAAAAGTGGAGCTGCCTCAAAATGCAATCAAGGCGATTAAAGGCAGTGAACTGGAGGCCACATCACTTCCTGCTCAGGTCGGAGGCACCATCGTCCATGTTCTGGGCTGGAAGGAGGGAATGGCAATCCTGCCTGGAAGCAATCTGAAGGTGAGCAAAGTCTGTGCTTCATTCTACCGATCAGCGTCTTTATTAGCACCAGTGTCTGAAGTCATCTTGTAGGGCATTTCACAGCAGCCTTTCTTAGAGATACCCTGAAGGATCAGCATCTCATCATCCCAGTGGAATGGAGTTCCTTTCATTTACATTTTATTTTTGTCTTTCTTTTCCTTTACATTTCTTTCCTTTCTTTTTTCTTTATTTTATTAATGTATTATTATTATATATTTTTTATTCAACTAAACTTCAATTGAATTGAACAGTAAATGCTTTTATTTTATAACTTAAAAATACCCATTTTTATAGCAAATGCCCACTAAGTGTTATTATTTTATTTTTTTTGCAGTTGTGTGTTAGCGATACTGGTGCGCTGGAAGTGATCAGTGAAGGTAAAATAGGCCCTACTAACCTGCCCACTGAAGGAGCACAGATGAAACCAGCTAATATGGAGTTCAAACAAGCTGAAAAATCAGGTAATTGTTTGTGAAATACTGTTGGATTATCAGACTTTTCACACTTTAAAAAATTAATTCAACCTTGCGTTGTTTAAATCTAATCGACACACTGCCTCTGAAACCATTATAACAGGGTTCGATGTTTTCCATTTTTCGCATCTGAAAAGGCAATCTGAGAGTTCAGAGCCACCGTACAAGCGAAAAGCTAAATACAGAATGTCGTCATTTGACCTACAGATAACTTTATGACAAACACTGTGCATAAAGACAGAATGTGGCGGACAGTTGAGAACCCGTGACTGAATTCAATGACTGGTGCACATCTGCCCTGCTGCAGTTTGGTGTGTGTGTGTGTGTGTGTGTGTCCATACATTTGACGTATTGCCCATATACATTATAATAGAAAGCATGGTCCGGTTTCGGTCCATTGCTTCAACACGTCAATGTGGCCAACATCAGTGTGCAAAGACCTTCAGGGTGTACCCACACTAGGCACGGTTGGGTTAGGGTTATTGTAATTTAACATGTACTTGCAAAGTAGCCAGTTAAACGTCTGTTGAAGGAGCAGTATCAACAGATATTAAGCAGACAGTCTACTAATACTTAGTCAAATGGACCATCAAAATAAAGTGTTACCATGAATCGATATGAAACAGTCTCTTAAAAGTGATGGCGCATCTTCAGTTTCTTACTCAGGTGCGCTTTGCACTCACACTAAAAGCATAGTACGCCAAAGCCCAAACAAACCGCTCTTTGGGTTCTTTGGCACACCTCTTTCAACCAACCGAACCACGCCTGGGCCAGATTTCGAGCAATCTCAGTTGTCAAACAAACAGGGAAATGCGCCTGGGCATGGTTCGGATAGCCTAGTGTTAGTTCACCCTTATTCTAGAGTTGGCTTAAAAGTTGCTTTGAAGAGTACACAAAAAATAATTATTCAATAATTGGCTTAGAATTGGCTTTTGAGAGTATACAAAATAGAATTATTTGAAAGTTGGCTTAAAACTGTCTTTGAAAAGTATTCAATGTAGAATTATTTAAAAGTTTGCTTGGCGACGCGGTGGCGCAGTGGGTAGCTCTGTCGCCTCACAGCAAGAACGTCGCTGGTTTGAGCCTCGGCTGGGTCAGTTGGCGTTTCTGTGTGGAGTTTGCATCTTCTCCCTGCATTCGCGTGGGTTTCCTCCGAGTGCTCCGGTTTCCCCCACAGTCCAAACACATGCGCTATAGATGAATTGGGTAGGCTAAATTGCCTGTAGTGTATGATTGTGAATGTGTGTATGGGTGTTTCCCAGAGATGGGTTGCAGCTGGAAGGGCATCCGCTGTGTAATACATGTGCTGAATAAGTTGGTGGTTCATTCCGCTGTGGCGACCCCAGATTAATAAAGGGAATAAGCCGAAAAGAAAGTGAATGAAGGATAAAAGTTGGCTTATAATTGTCTTTAAAGATTATACAAGATAGAATTATTCAGGAGTTGGCTTAGAATTGGCTTCGACAAGTTTACAAAATAGAATTACTTAAAGAGTTGGTTTAAAATAGGCTTTTGAGAGTATACAAAATAGAATTATTCAAAAGTTGGCTTAAAATAGTCTTTGAAGAGTATACAGAATGGTATTATTTAAGTGTGGGCTTAGAATTGGCTTTAAATAGCTCTACAAAATAAAGTTATTTAAGAGTTGGCTCAAAATTGGCTTTGAAGAACTCTACAAAATAGAATTATTTAAGAGTTGGCTTAAAATTGGCTTTTGAGAGTATACAAAATGGAGTTATTTAAGAGTTGGCTTAAAGTTAGCACTGAAGATTACACAAAATAGAATTATTTTAAAGTTGGCTTAACATTGTCTTTGAAGGGTATGCAAATAAAATTATTTAAGTTTTGTCTTAAAATTGGCTTTTGAGAGTATATAAAATAGAGTTATTTAAGAGTTGGCTTAAAGTTAGCAATGACAAATTCATTCATTCATTCATTCATTTTCTTGTCGGCTTAGTCCCTTTATTAATCCGGGGTCGCCACAGCGGAATGAACCACCAACTTATCCAGCAAGTTTTTACGCAGCGGATGCCCTTCCAGCCGCAACCCATCTCTGGGAAACATCCACACACACACTTACACACTCAGTCTGAGCTCTGAGGGGTACGTTAAGTCTCCGGCAGGCGAGAATCTAGCCGGAACTGGCCCGAGTGTGTTTTGCTATCTGGGTGGTTAGGCGTGTATCAGCAAACTAATAAAGCCCGAAAAAAGCCCTGACCTTAGCGAATATACAGTGTTCCACCAGGATCATGTATGTCAGAAACTATAGTTTACTGCTGAACTCATTTTGTCATGGTAAAATAACACAGAAATCGAATAATAACACTTCAGTCTCCTGCCGAAGCTCAGACGCGCTGCTTTGAGTAACTGTCAATCACAGCTGTCAATCACGATGACACGCCCAGCATTAAATTACTGCTAAAAACAAACTGTTTACAAAAATGAAGATCTGCACCTATTTCAGCACAATAACCAGTGCCTTTATCGACCAGAACCATCTTTCGGGACATTTTATTGCAAGTGTAATACATTTTTTTTATTTGGGCTCAAGTCTCCTACATTAACACGGAGGAGGCGGGCTTTATGACTTGTACTGCAGCCAGCCCCCAGGGGGCGATCTAACGGCTGAGACCTTCACTCAAACGCAGGCTTGCGGCACACTTGCTTTGGACTGTGGGGGAAACCGGAGCACCCGGAGGAAACCCACGCGAAGGCAGGGAGAACATGCAAACTCCACACAGAAACGCCAACTGAGCCGAGGTTCGAACCAGCGACCCAGCGACCTTCTTGCTGTGAGGCGACAGCACTACCTACTGCTCCACTGCAATGAAAAATATACAGAATAAAATTATTTAAGTGTTGTCTTAAAATTGTCTAAAAAGTATACAAAATAGAGTTATTTAAGAGTTAAATTAAAATTGTCCTTAAAGAGTTTACAAAATAGAATTATTTAAGAGTTAAATTAAAATTGTCTTTGAAGAGTATGCAAATAAAATTATGTAAGTGTTGTCTTAAATTTGTCTTTGAAGAGTATGCAAAATTGAATTATTTTTATTTTTAAGTGTAATTTTTTTTATTTAAACAATGAATATATTCAAGCATTTTTTGTTATGCTCTATGCACAAGTAGATTCTTGGCCCTGTAACATTAAAATCAGAGCAGCTGTCAGTAGTTGTCTGTCCAATGGCAGCGTCACATCAGTGTGTTCTGACCACAGACGTCTCAGCCGGTGGCAATGGCAGACCTGCAGCATTTCTGGAGGCCGACAGACTGCACAGAGCTCGTATAGAGGTGCAGGACAGTCCCGTTCACAGCAGGTGCGGCCAAAACATGCACATGACGGAGCTACGGGGAGAGCCGATGTCGGAAATGTAAATTCACTACACTGTTCTACTCATAGATTATACATGTGCACTGCAAAAAACACTGTTCTTACTTGGAGTTTCTGTCTTGTTTCTAGTCCAAATATCTAAAAGTTTTTTAAATCAACAAACATTTTTTAGACAAGCCAAAAATACTGTCTACAGTATCGCGTGGCATTGCTTTTATTTAAATCATGGTTTAAACCACGGAGGGTCAAACATTCTGCACCTTTAATAATTTTTAGATATGTGGACTATAATCAAAGTCTAAGTACGAAAGCCTTTTTTGCAGTGTGTTGAATGCATGAGGAGACAGATGACACTGTGCTGATGCTTCAGTCCTGCAGGCCTCGCAGAAGCACAGGTGATGTATCGTGAGCATGACATGATGAAGCCCATGAAGAAGAGGAAGAGGAGGGAATACAACAGCCCATCAGAGGACGACTCTGATGCCGAACCAATGGTGCACTTCTGCTAATTAATTCAGGCCTTCCTAGCGGGCACCTTGATGTCAAAATGACATCAAAAACATGCAAATTTAACACTTTACTTGTGGTTTTGTTATTTTGGTGGTCAAAAGAGCATCAGTCAAGGTTTTGACATCAAAACATTTTGCATTTTTGATGAGTTTTAGAAACCTAGGCTCATTCGAGATACATGCCCAGGGCTACAGTTTTGGGAACAGTTAAATGTGTGCCCGGGGCTATGTCTGCTGGTGTTTTTTTCACTAATCCACTAAAGGCCGCCATGTATATTTTTGACAATCTAAAATACATTACTGGGGCACTTTTTTTCATACGTGTCATTTACATATCCTTCTTGTGCACTTCCATGATAAAATGTCCTGTTTTTTTTAACCTGGTTTCTGGAACCGAACTCAAACCCTGGTGTACTCCACATGCCAAGTCCTACACCATACAAGGTAAGCTACTGAGCAAACTGATCGTGCAGGTAGCTTGAAAAGTAACAGAAGATTTCTGCGCCATCATACCGTCCAGTAGAGTTCGTATGCCAGGACATGTATTTGCAGGTTTCCAATAATGTAGCTCTGGGCACATATTCCCAACGAGCCTGTGTTGTTGTTTCTTAATTTTGTATTGATATCAAGGTTCGCACTGGGTTTGCTGTGCATTTAAATGATCTTGTTTTTCAAGATTGTTCTCCATTCTAATGCAACAAAATGCTCTCTTTTCATTTAAGGACGAGAAATCTGAGGCTTTGAAAATTGATGGCAGACAGATCAAAACAGGTACTTCATGACAGTCCACGAAACATTGTAATAGTTACATTAAACCATCACATAACTTTGCAATTTGTATTTATTAAATGGATAGTTCACCAAAACATAAACATTTGTTTAGTATTTACTCTCCCTCAAGTGGTTTAAAAATGTATAAGATTTATTCTTCTGTTGAACACAAAATGAGATTTAATGAATGTTGAAAACCTGTAACCATTGACTTCCACAGTATTTGTTTGTCCTACTATGCTAAGTGAGTGGTTTAAAGGTTTCTCCTTCTTTTGTGTTTAACAGAAGAACCTCATAAAGGTTTGAATAAGTAAAGGGTGTGAAAATGATGACAGAATTTTTAGTTTTGTATGAATTATCTCTATTGTTACATATAAGTAGCTTAACATATTAGCTTTTATTTCTGAAAATGTGCATGACTCTATTAGTATATCCAGATTTACTGAAATGAACAATGCCAATGTATGGACAGATTGTGCAAAGATTTGTGAATGAGCATACATTTTAAAATGTTACCGTGTTTTTATTCTATTATAACAGTTTATTATAACAAATTATATCATTTAAAAGACTTTATTAATGAATTAATGAATTCCAAAGCACTTATGAAACATATATATATATATATATATATATATTAGTGCTGTCAATCGATAAAAAAAAATTAACTAATTAATCGCACCTTTTTAAAAAAAATTTATCGCGATTAATCGCATGATCACGTTCATCAAATTTGCTAAGCTTCCTAAACTAAGCGTCCTAAAGTATTACTGTATTTCATAAGGATTCTGACACAACAACGCGAAGCATACGCTTTCGTTGCGTTTAATGAGGAAACACGCTAAACTTGGAGGGCTCATGCTGAAAGGCAGAGTAATGCCCTGTCCTTGACAGCTCGCGACTTCACCAGACGTTCTGAGTACATTTACATAAGACACCAATACTCTGATTTTAATATGATTAAGATTATACTCTTATTAAAAAACTACCGTGTAGCCTTAAAAGGAACCTTACCTTAAAGGAACATCGAGTCACGAAATGCGGAGGATTTTCTTTCTGTTCGCCATGCGTTATCAACTGTCGAAAGTTAAAAATGAAACACCCGGAATTGCATGAAACTCTGGATAACTTGTGATGCAACTAATTGTTTTATACTGGAACTTGCCTTCAAAAAGTGCTTCCTTGGTATGAAGTAAAAAAAACCTGAACTGCGTTAATTGCGTTAATTTTTTTTTACGCGTTAATTATTTAAAATTAATCACATGCGTTAACGCGTTAATTTTGACAGCGCTAATATATAGTGCTAATAGCACGCTAATATTACGTGCACCAGATGATCTTCTTGATAATAAACTGTGTTCTAGTGTGTGTGTAAATATGTTGGGGTCTTCTTTGTAGGCTCAGCAGAGACTAAGCTGGAGCCGTGGTCCTGGCCACAGTATCTGGAGCTGCAGAAAGCTATCGCTGCTCCAGTCCGACTCTTCCAGGAGGTCTGACCGCTTTCTTTCATTGATTTCACCCTCTCTTTATCCTACATTAGTGCCATCAAGCGATTAATCATGATAAATCACATCAAAATAAAAGTTTGTATTTGCGTAATGTGTGTGTTCTCACTGTGCATAAATATTGCGCATATATAAAATAAAAAAATATATAAAATACACAAAAATACAAAACCAAAGTTTTGTGTATATAAGCTATAAATACATTTTTAAACATAAACAAATATTTTTTCAAACATATACATGTATTTTAGTATTCATATGTACAGTTGAAGTCAGAATTATTAGCCCCCCGAAATAGTTGTCCCCCTGTTTAATTTTTTCCCCAATTTCTGATTAACGCAGAGCAGATTTGTTTTAACACATTTCTAATCATAATAGTTTTAATAACTAATTTCTAATAACTGATTTATTTTATCTTTGCCATGATGACAGTAAATAACATGACATTTAAAGGCTTAATTAGGTTAACTAGGCAGGTAATTAGGCAAGTTATTGTAATGTAAATCTGCTTAAAGGGGCTAATAATTTTGTCCCTAAAATGGTGTTTGAAAAAAATTAAAAACTACTTTCATTCTAGCCGAATTAAAACAAATAAGAATTTCTCCAGAAGAAAAAATATTATCAGACATACTGTGAAAATTTCCTCGCTCTGTTAAACATCATTTGGAAAATATTTAAAAAAGAAAAAAAACTAAAATGGGGGCTAATAATTCTGACTTCAACTGTATATGCAAAGTAAATAGGCACCGTATATGTAACTTATGTAATTACAAACTTTTAATTAGGATGCGATCAATTGCGACTGCACTGCATTTTGGCTTCAGTGGAGTCAGAATGAACCCTGAATCTTCTTAAACTCTAACCATTTATACCTTTTTAGTTTTACTGCATCTAAATGTTAATGACGTTGCTCATTGGCGGTAGACACAGCTGTTCTCTCTATGTTAATGCAGTTTCCACCTCATTGTATGAGATTGTTCCCAGTACCCCACACCAATCTCCATTCTACTGTTTACTCGTCCGGGTGCTTCGGTTATAGGTGAATTGAATAAACGAAATAGCTTGTAGTGTATGAGTGTGTGTGTTGAGGTGATTCCCAATACTGAATTGCAGCTGGAAGGGCATCTACTGTGTATAACATATGCTGGAATAGTTCGCGATTCATTCTGCTGTGGCGACCACTAATAAATAGGGGACTAAACTGAAGAAAAATGAATGAATGACTGTTGCTTTGGGGTTAATCCAGTTTTTTCAGGGTTCTTGCTGGTTCTTTCTTCACGAGCATATGCTGTTTCTTTATTTAAGATAAAAGATTTTTTTTAAATCTGTATTATTACCCAGCATTGACATGTATGTTTGTATCCGCTGTAGACGCAGAGGGTTCCCCTGATCAGGAACAGCTTCAGGCAGGGTATGAAGCTGGAAGGCATCGACCCACAGCACCCGTCCATGTATTTCGTCCTGACGGTCGCTGAGGTACATTTCAGCAGCTCTTCGTATCTCCTATTCTGCCTGTCATGAAAAGATCTGCCTCTGAGCACTCGTTCTCGTCTGCAGGTCTGTGGCTACAGGTTACGCCTTCATTTCGATGGCTATTCTGACTGCCATGACTTCTGGGTCAATGCCAACTGTGCTGATATCCACCCCGCCGGGTGGTGTGAGAGCACCGCACACAAGCTACACACTCCCAAAGGTCAGTTATAGAGCTCTACACTGTAAGATACACACGCACACTTTTTCCAAGCTGAGTGGGCTTTATGCATGGGGACTTTTAATTTGAAATAAGCCTGTGCAGGTGCTTCCTGTGAACAGTCTTGCTGTTAAAACTTCCAAAGTTTAAGATCTGGCTTTAAAATTACTCACTGTCTGATTGCAAGGCAAGGCAAGGCAAGGCAAGTTTATTTATATAGCACATTTCATACACAGTGGCAATTCAAAGTGCTTTACATAAACTAGAATAAAAGTAAAGAATAAAACAAATAATAAAACTGATTAAAAAACATAAAAACAGGTAAAAGATATGATATAAAGTGGGTCTTACACAGAGAAGCACTGTATTAAATGACATTGTACATATTAAATGTCTTTAGAATACGTACATTTACTTTCTGCGCTCATTGTGCTTTTGTTTAACTGGTCTTTCATCTCGTTTTATGCTTGAAGAACTAAATGAAAGCTTTAGTCTATTTAACAGATTCTGTGTTTATTAAATTACATTATCTGTGCTGTAAATGTCACGATCGGTGGGTGGGGACAGGAGCGAGGACCCAATTGCAGACAAAATTGAGGGTTTATTATAAAATAAAAACAAAACAAACTACCTCGAGGGGGAAAACGTTATTAAAAAGGCGAAAACAAACTTGAGTGGGCTGGCAGGCAAAAACAGGGCTGGACACAACAGGACAGGAAAATAATTGATGACGAACTGGCACAGGACAGCAGACATGAGGAGAATATAAGCAGAAATAAATTACACACAAATAGGTGAACCTAATAAACTAATAATGGGTTAACAAGGAGGGTGGGACTAGACAAATGACGGGAGAGCACATGACACAAAGAGACAACCAACCCAAGCTCATTCTGGAAACGTAGCCCCGCGGACGTTTCTGAAGGCCGCGATTTACGTGGCCGGAGGTATGTAAAGGCTGCGTTTTTTTTTTTTTCGAGCGAACGCTGCGGGGCGGTGTGGCGCCGCTTCGCCCCTTCTCTTCGCGCTAGCCGGCCGACGGCTCGCCTCCGAGTGGAGGGCTTTCCCGATGCAATCAGTTTGTCCGCTTAGCTCACATCGTTGCGTCGGCGGAGCGGAGGCCCCGGACGAGGAGGAGCCGGCCGCGGTGGACGACGACCGGGATCGAGTCCGGGGAACAGCAGGTTCCGGAAATCAGGTAAGACGAAAAACGGAATCCGAAAAATAAGGGCGAGAACGCGGCGGGATCCGAAAACGCGGTCGAAATCGAAGACGAGGGCTTTTGCTTTTTTTTTTTTTTTTCTGGACGGCTTTTGCGAACCGTCGCTCGGGTTTTGGGAAGGAGGAGGAGGAAGAGTAGGGCGGCCAAGTCAGCCGATCCGGCGGCTTTTCGCGCGAGAACGGCGCAGGCGCGAACGGCGCGCGCTCCCGAGAGGCGCCCCAGACGCGTAAAAGCGCGCACAGCAGCCTCTCGCGGATCCGTAAAAAAAAAAACGTCCGCGGGGCTACGTTTCCACATTGAGCCCGGGTTGGAGACAACACAAGCCATGCGCTCACATAAAGCGAGACTCGAACACGCAGCCAATGAGAGAACTTAATAACCGCGTGTTCACAAGCACACACTGTAAACACTGAGCCATGTGCTCCTAGACAACACCAACATAAACAGACGCAAGACACGAGCACACGATTTATGAAAACACCTTACCGTGTTTCATCTCAGCGCCAACCGAAACCAAAACCAACCAGACTGAGATACTGAGAATGAAACAGCGCGATGCCGACATAGCAAAACACAAACATGAGTACAAGAGCGCGCGTCTCAAGTACGCACAGACCTCGCACGCCCGCATGGTCTGAGCGTGCTCACGACGGCGCCCATACAAAGACACAATGACAAAAAACGAATGCTTGACCCGAGAAAACTCTAGCCGAGCACAACATACCGGACAAGACAGAGCTAGTGTCCGGACTCTGCCACCAAAACTAGAATTTACAAGACCAGAGTGGCAGAACCCTGACAGTAAAAGGTTCCTCCTGGCTGTGGAGGAAGAGGATACAGGTATTTTACTGGCCTGTCTGCAGTCCCGACCTTTCTTCAATAAAGAATGTGACGCATTTTGAAGCGCAAAATGCACAACAAAGACCCGTACTGTTGCCCACCTTGCCCCCCAAAAAACATAAAAATCATGAGGAAAAGATTGAATGTTTGTTGTATTGTCTGTAATGAAACACAAGTCAAAGTAAATTTACTTCTTTTCTTTTTTATTTGCGTTTTCCATTCTGTCCCAGTCCTTTCTGATTTGGGGTTGTATAATACAGACATATATCCTATGTCAAGAACTTTTATTTTGGATGCGTTTAATCACGATTCATCGTTGCCCATCATTAGTAATTTTATGTATGATCTTCACTTGCAGGATGTAAAGAAGAAGAGTTTTCTTGGTCCAACTACCTAAAAATCACCCGATCACAGGCGGCACCGAAAGAGTTGTTTATAAGTTCGGTTAAAGTAAGTTTTCAGACACTGAGCCTGCATTGCAGATCTTGACAGCTGATTAAGGGCAGAGCTTGTTTGTGTGTGTGTTCAGCCGGAGACAGACTGTGGGTTTGAGGTGGGCATGAAGCTGGAGGCCGTGGACCGCATGAACCCGTCGCTCATCTGCGTGGCCACAGTCACCGACAGAGTGGCTGACCGTTTTCTGGTTCATTTCGACAACTGGGACGACACCTATGACTACTGGTGAGTTAAGCCTAATTCACACTACATGACTTTAAGGGCACCTACTACGCCCCCTTTTACAAGATGTAAAATAAGTCTCTGAAGTTCCTAGAGTTTCTTTGTAAAGTTTCAGCTCAAAATACCCCACAGATCATGTTTTCTAACTCTTTGAAACCCTTTTAGGCTTCGAAATGGTTCCGTTTTGGTGACTGTCGCTTTATCTTCAAATGAGATTGTGCTGCTTTCAGAAGAGGGCGGAGCTACAAATGCCTATGCATGAGCATAGTGTCAGATCCAAAACAGGACTAATGTTATCTCTGTGAAAAACGGAAAATGTCTCAGAAGTAGGCAGACTATATAGACTACAGACTAATGACTCTCAGTTGCTTACATTATCTTCAGTGGGTATGGCGGAGAAACTCTAATGCTGTCTTCACACCAGATGCGGAAGAAGCGTCAAGCGCGAGTGATTTACATGCTAAGTCAATGCAAATGCGGGAATAGGCGTGAATGACGCTTAACCCGAGTTTCGCGCGAATCGCTGGAGTTCAAAAATCTGAACTTGTACGGACATTCGCTCCGCGTTACACCGACAACAGTTCATCAAACTGGGCTGGGCTTAGTCAGAAAGCCTCCATCATCCAGGTTCAGTTTCTGAAGGATCTGAAAGGATCTAGTGGACTCAGACACAGCCCTAAACGTATGGACGCTGTTTTTCAGCCTTCATAAAGCACATAAACACAGCCCTACTGAAAAATCCAGCTTAAACCAGCCTAGGCTGGTTGGCTGGTTTTAGCTGGTCAACCAGGCTGGTTTTAGAGGGATTTTAACCATTTCCAGGCTGGTTTCCAGCCATTTCCAGCCTGATCTTAGCTGGTCAGGCTGGTAGATGACTAGCTAAAACCAGCTTGACCAGCCTAGCCAGGCTGGGAGCCCAGCCAAAACCAGCTATGTCCAGCTTAAACCAGGCTGGTCAAGCTGGTTTAAGCTGGATTTAGCTGGTCAGTTTCCAGCCTGACCAGCTAAGACTAGGCTGGAAATGGCTGGAAACCAGCCTGGAAGTGGCCAAAACCCCTCTAAAACCAGCCTGGTCGACCAGCTAAAACCAGCCAACCAGCCTAGGCTGGTTTAAGCTGGATTTTTCTACAGGGAGTTATTTTGTTAATAAAATTCATGTTAGCCATTTAGCAACAAAGCTAAAGTCACCAGGCAGACAGAAGCCCTGCCCATCATGCGAATCCGCGTCTGTTCTGAAGTTAATTTTACGTGCGAATGAAGCGGATTTGTCACACGAATTAAGCGGGGTTTGACACGTGAATGAAGCGAGTAAACTCAAATGTTCACGTGGCTATTTATCCATGCGTTCCGCGTCTGGTGTGAACACAGCATTATGGCAGACAGCTGCTTCTCACTTAGGGCTGTTTAGGCTAATGGGGTAGAGATCCCCACTAAGGGGCGGGGCTTTGTCCCTCTGATGACACGCACAAATTGAGAATGTCAATCAAAGTGTTTCTGCAGACTGCTCTATCAAGTGTGATTGTTAAAAACGGAATATTTTTACCATGGGCGGCACAGTGGCTCAGCGGTAAGCACTGTTGCCTCAAAGCAAGAAGATCGCTGGTTCGAGTCTCGGCTGGGGCGATTGTTGGCATTTCTGTGTGGAGTTTGCATGTTCTCTACGTGTTCGTTCTCCGGTTTCCCCCACAGTCAAACGCAGGAGCTATAGGTTAATTAAATAAGCTAAATTGGCCATAGTGTATGTGTGTGTATGAATGAGATTGTGTTTGGGTGTTTCCCAGTACTGGGTTGTCTCTGGAAGGGCATTCACTGTGTAAAACATATGCTTGAATAGTTGATAGTTCATTCTGCTTTGGCGACTGCTGAAATAGAGCCTAAGCTGATGGAAAATGAATGAATGAATGATTGATTGATTGTTTGATTGATTGATTGATTGATTGATTGATTGATTGATTGATTGATTGATTGATTGCGATTGAAATATTCTACCTGCTGAAATATGGAGAAAACTGTGAAGTTAACCTTTAGGTCATGAGACTCTCCTCTGGTCATTTGGTTGTTCATTGAGCACCACAGAGGGAAAAAAACAAACAAGAAAACAATCAATCTCTTACAACTACTCGTATAGTTCTTTATGCTCACATACTCTTTATATCTATTCCTGGGTGAAGTTAATAGTTGGGGTTAAAAGTAAACTCATGTCTTGGGTTTCCTCTGTGTTGTAGGTGTGATTCCAGCAGTCCATACATTCATCCTATCGGCTGGTGTCATGAGAGAGGCCTGCCGCTGACGCCCCCACAAGGTAAATTAGAGGAAAAATTTTTTTTTTTTTAGGTTTCTAAACAATAATAATACAGATATACTTTAATTAAATAGGTCAAAAACTTTAATTTAATAACATTTAGCATGAAGGCTTATTATTTAATACAATAATATTACAATAATTCAACAATAATTAGAATTAGGGCTGCACGATTTTGCCTAAAATGTGAATCACAAATTTTTTTGCGTAAAATTGAGATCACAATTCTTTTGCAAAACATCTTTGCGAGAGAACGCAAAACATCTTTGCGAGGGAACGCAAAACATCTTTACGAGAGAACGCAAAACATCTTTACGAGAGAACGCAAAACATCTTTGCGAGGGAACGCAAAACATCTTTACGAGAGAACGCAAAACATCTTTGCGAGAGAACGCAAAACATCTTTACGAGAGAACGCAAAACATCTTTGCGAGGGAACGCAAAACATCTTTACGAGAGAACGCAAAACATCTTTACGAGAGAACGCAAAACATCTTTACGAGAGAACGCAAAACATCTTTGCGAGAGAACGCAAAACATCTTTACGAGAGAACGCAAAACATCTTTGCGAGAGAATGCAAAACATCTTTACGAGAGAACGCAAAACATCTTTACGAGAGAACGCAAAACATCTTTGCGAGATAACGCAAAACATCTTTGCGAGATAACGCAAAACATCTTTGCGAGAGAACGCAAAACATCTTTGCGAGAGAACGCAAAACATCTTTACGAGAGAACGCAAAACATCTTTGCGAGAGAACGCAAAACATCTTTGCGAGAGAACGCAAAACATCTTTACGAGAGAACGCAAAACATCTTTGCGAGAGAACGCAAAACATCTTTACGAGAGAACGCAAAACATCTTTGCGAGAGAACGCAAAACATCTTTACGAGAGAACGCAAAACATCTTTGCGAGAGAACGCAAAACATCTTTACGAGAGAACGCAAAACATCTTTACGAGAGAACGCAAAACATCTTTGCGAGAGAACGCAAAACATCTTTACGAGAGAACGCAAAACATCTTTACGAGAGAACGCAAAACATCTTTGCGTGAGAACGCAAAACATCTTTGCGAGGGAACGCAAAACATCTTTACGAGAGAACGCAAAACATCTTTGCGAGAGAACGCAAAACATCTTTACGAGAGAACGCAAAACATCTTTGCGAGAGAACGCAAAACATCTTTACGAGAGAACGCAAAACATCTTTACGAGAGAACGCAAAACATCTTTGCGAGAGAACGCAAAACATCTTTACGAGAGAACGCAAAACATCTTTACGAGAGAACGCAAAACATCTTTGCGAGAGAACGCAAAACATCTTTGCGAGGGAACGCAAAACATCTTTGCGAGGGAACGCAAAACATCTTTGTGAGGGAACGCAAAACATCTACGAGAGAACGCAAAACATCTTTACGAGAGAACGCAAAACATCTTTACGAGAGAACGCAAAACATCTTTGCGAGAGAACGCAAAATATCTTTGCGAGAGAATGCAAAACATCTTTGCGAGGGAACGCAAAACTTTGCAAGAGAACGCAAAACATCTTTACGAGAGAACGCAAAACATCTTTGCGAGGGAACGCAAAACATCTTTGCGAGGGAACGCAAAACTTTGCGAGAGAACGCAAAACATCTTTGCGAGAGAACGCAAAACATCTTTGCGAGAGAACGCAAAACATCTTTACGAGAGAACGCAAAACATCTTTACGAGAGAACGCAAAACATCTTTGCGAGAGAACGCAAAACATCTTTGCGAGGGAACGCAAAACATCTTTGCGAGGGAACGCAAAACATCTTTGTGAGGGAACGCAAAACATCTTTACGAGAGAACGCAAAACATCTTTACGAGAGAACGCAAAACATCTTTGCGAGAGAACGCAAAACATCTTTGCGAGAGAATGCAAAACATCTTTGCGAGAGAATGCAAAACATCTTTGCGAGGGAACGCAAAACTTTGCAAGAGAACGCAAAACATCTTTACGAGAGAACGCAAAACATCTTTGCGAGAGAACGCAAAACATCTTTGCGAGAGAATGCAAAACATCTTTGCGAGAGAATGCAAAACATCTTTGCGAGAGAATGCAAAACATCTTTGCGAGGGAACGCAAAACTTTGCAAGAGAACGCAAAACATCTTTGCGAGGGAACGCAAAACATCTTTGCGAGGGAACGCAAAACTTTGCGAGAGAACGCAAAAACTTAGAAATATATATTTTCCTCCCACCCATTTTTTTCTTTCACCCATTATTTTTTTTTTTTTATCACCCAGCCAATTTTTTTCTCCTCCACTACGTCCCTTCCGGGGTTCCGTACATGTCAAACCAAATGACATTATCTTACTAATGTTTTGATATTTAATGCTATTTGTTTTGTATGACAACATGCAAATTGCAACAGTGAGATGAGTGTCTGCTTTATATAACTTAACGCTAGTTCTCTGGCAGATTACCCTGAGGTGGACAGGTTCTCGTGGGAGAGATATCTGGAAGAGACGGGCTCCACAGCGGTCGCTGCTGAAGCCTTCAGAGTGGTCAGTCAAAAAAAATCCACACTGAGTATCAGACGATAATTGAGTTTATCTCGAAACACACACCTTTAGTTGTTCAATTTTAGTTGTTAGCTCAAAACTGTTCTGTTACTAATCTCTATTTCAGCCGGCAATTTAAAGTGTTCCTGCATTTTCTTCAGTAAAATAAATGCAGGCTCAGGGTAAACTGTGATGTGTGTGTGTGTGTATGTGTGTGTGTCCGCGCGTGTGCGTGCAGCGTCCGGCTCACAGTTTCCAGGTTCAGATGAAGTTGGAGGCGGTGGACAAGCGGTGTCCGGGGCTCATACGTGTGGCCACAGTGCAGGAGGTGGACACTTACAGAATCAAGGTGAAGAACTGCGTACAGAAACAACAAAACATACAGTCCCAGTAGAAAATGTACACTACCTTTCAAAAAGTGTAGGATTTCTATATATATTTTTCTAAGAGTAAAGATAATAATAATAATAATAATGATAATAGTGATGAAGTAAAATAGTACTTTGTGCAATATTTAATGACTGTTTTCCATGTTAATATTCATTCATTCATTTTCTTGTCAGCTTAGTCCCTGTGTTGAACAAAACCTTCCTTACGTTAAACTGAAATTGGGGAAAACTTATAGAATATACAACAATTTTATATTACATATTAACATGGGGGGCGAAGCAGTGGCGCAGTAGGTAGTGCTGTCGCCTCACAGTAAGAAGGTCGCAGGTTCGAACCTCGGCTCAGTTGGCGTTTCTGTGTGGAGTTTGCATGTTCTCCCTGCCTTCGTGTGGGTTTCCTCCGGGTGCTCCGGTTTCCCCCACAGTCCAAAGACATGCGGTGCAGGTGAACTGGGTAGGCTAAATTGTCCGTAGTGTATGAGTGTGTGTGTGAATGTGTGTGTGGATGTTTCCCAGAGATGGGCTGGAAGGGCATCCGCTGCGTAAAAAAACACTTGCTGGATAAGTTGGCGGTTCATTCCGCTGTGGCGACCCCGGATTAATAAAGGGACTAAGCCGACAAGTAAATGAATGAATTGTGCTTTTAAGTCTTTGAATGCTACCTTTTCTGTAAAGTCGTAAATTTTGGTGAATTTTTGGCAGGGCAAGTAAAAATCTAAACCACCAGTCAAAATCGGGCCAGTTGAAAAAATCCTTAGTTTTGAACTCTGCAAATAGTTTGAACATTAACACTGTACTGTGCTTACAGGTAAAAAAAAATAATAAATAAAACATCAATTTGAAAAAAAAACTTGAACAATTTGACAAAATATGTAATCTTTTTATCTGCTACCTTGAAAAAACCTCTGATAATAATTAATGGATCTTTTCTGTAATGTTTGGTCATCATACTCTGTTGTTCAAACAGGTCTTTGTAACAAGTTTGCTTATGTGGGTGGGTGTTTTATTATTTAATTTATTTATTTTTTTTGTCATGGAATTTTTATTCTTGCAAATAGCATTTTACATTTTATAACGATCCACAAAACAATCCCCAAATAAAACAATCAACAACTACAAATAAATAAATAAATAAATAAAATAAACAAAATAATAATAAATAAAATAAAATACAAATACAGAAAAAAAAAAATTACCATAACAAACCATATACATACATACACATGTACCTTCACTCAATCCACATCTAAGGTTTTTAAGTGATTAAAGAATGCAATAAATTGTTGCCATTTTTCAAAAAAATGTTCTCCCCTACCTCTGATATTCTATTTAATGTTCTCAAGTTTTAAAAAGAAGACCAAATCTTTGAGCCTAATGAAATAGAGGGGGGTTGTGGGGAGGTCCAAGACAAAAGTATTCTGCGCCTAGCGAGAAGAGATGCAAAAGCCACAATGTCAGCGTGTCTCCGGTTTAAAGGTCGACACTGAGAGGGAACACCAAAGATCACGATTAAAGGGCAAACAGCTAATGTCTAGTTCAGACTGCGTGATTTTAGCCCCGATTTTAGCTCGCCGACAGGTTTTGAGAAATCGCCGACAAATGCCTGAAATCACAGGCAAATCGCTGCTCGTGCACGTGAGTGACAATCACACAGTATGAACGATCAAAGATGCGATCTGAGAGAATCGCAGATGAGTCGCTGATGCCTGCGAGATATTTGGCGTGCTGAATATCTGGAGCTGTCGGCGATTCAAATCATGCCGTGTGAATTGAGTTTTGACTGAAAATAACATCGGCGATCGCCTACAGCCAATGAGAGAGCAGCTTTCACTTGTGTGTGCGTGTGTGTATACCTGCTGCAGGCCAGCGGGAGGCTCGGGGAGAAGTTAAAAGCGCTCTTTTTCGGTTTATTTGGACCCACGAAATGGAGGAAAAACTAGTGGAGGTTTGACAGGACTCAGGAGCAACCGTGTCTGTTTGACGTTTCATACTGAAAGAAATTAGTTTATTATCAACGTTGAGGAGAAACGGCTAATTCCCTTTAAACCCAGGTGAGCAAACATGTACATGTTCCACCCCATTAAAGGCTTCTTTCTCATTATGTAGTTAAGAACAAAAGATATACGACGTGTTTTTGGCTGTGAGACGTAGTTTGGACGAAGTCGTCGGCGATTCTCCCTATAGTAAAGTCATGCAATGTGAATGTCCATGTCGCCGATCCATCTTGCAGTGTAAACAAAGCAGCGACGAAACGCCAGCCCAGATAGTCATGCAGTGTGAAAACATCTGTGACACGACTAGTTTGAAAATCATGCAGTCTGAACTCGGCATAACTTGACCCCCAGAATATCTGAAACAATTTTAAAGAAAGTAATCCAGTAATTTTGCAACTTGGGACAAAATACAAACATATGACTAAGGTTACAAGGTGATAGTTTACACTTATCGCACATATCAGAAATATTGGGATACATTTTAGAAAGTTTGGCCTTTGAGAGATGAGCTCTGTGGATCGTTTTAAATTGTATAAAACTAAGTCTAGCGCATGAAGTGGAGGTGCGCACATTGTCCAATACTGCACTTTACTAATACTAATTTTCATGTTTTTACTTTTAATTTTTCTTATTTGTTTTGCCTATGTTATATGTGGACAAAATATGTAAACAGAATTCTCCTCTTCTTGAATCTGTGTCTTCAAAAAAACTTATTTGACAAAATAAAAACTGTACTACAAAGGCATCCATGGAAAACTGAGGCCACAAAACCTCTCATATTGAAGCACAAATGTTACCAGAGCATCATTCCAGGGACGCTTGAGCAAATGTGAGTTTGCCTCACCATCATTTGTCTTCCCCAGATTCACTTTGATGGTTGGAGCCACTTGTATGACGAGTGGATGGATTCAGACCATCCGGACATACATCCTGCAGGCTGGTGTGAAAGCACAGGACACCCGCTCAAGCCTCCGCCCTGCCAGCCCACTGTCCCCAAACCAGGTGAGACTCATTCAGCTGTCTCGCTGTGACCTGACATGCAGCAAACAAACGCTCAGAGAAATGTGTGTGTTTTAGGTCCCAGAGAGAGCCTGGCGGTCCGACAGCCCAGCTTCTCCATGTCGTGTAAAAGTCTGCCTCAGCCACGCAACACCTCCAAATACAGCTTCCACCACAGGTCACTCCTCGCCTGCCTTCAGTACAGTCAAATGTGTTTGCTTTTCACATCAGTCTAATGTCCTAGCTTGACTCTAAGAGTGGGTTAAAGTTAAAGTTTAAAGTGGACAAGGGACAGTTCAATTCAATTCAATTCAGCTTTATTTGTATTGCGCTTTTACAATGTAGATTGTATCAAAGCAGCTTCACATAAATGGTCATAGTAACTGGAACAGTGTGGTTCATTAACTGGAACAGTGTGGTTCAGGTTTTAGTGTTTAAGTTCAGTTCAGTTCAGTTTAGCTCAGTTCAGTGTGATTTAATCATTACTGAGAGTTCAAACACTGAAGAGCCAGTTCATCAGTGTACAGTGTACAGTGTACAGTGGACAGTGTACATCATTCAACGATCCTCAAGTATGGGTAACACTTTACTTGAATAGGTGTCCATAAGACTGTCATTAAACCTTTATAATCATGACATGACACGTCATGAATGTGAATGAGATTTTGGATGCCCAAATCACAACGCATGTTAGCGCTTAACCATTAGCCTATTAGCAAAATTAGCTTTTAATTCCCTACTGAAAAAAACAGCTTAAACCAGCCTAGACCAGGTTTTAGCTGGTGGACCAGGCTGGTTTTAGAGGGGTTTTGGCCATTTCCAGGCTGGTTTCCTGGGTGTGAAAACAAGGTGTGTGTCTGTGAAACAGAAAGTGCCCTACTCCGGGATGTGATGGTTCAGGTCATGTGACCGGGCGCTTCACGGCGCATCACTGTTTATCCGGCTGTCCATTGGCTGAGAGGAACCAGGGGCGACTCAAGGCGGATCTCTCCGATACTGAAGGATCCCGGAGAAACCTGCTGGTCTTTGGACAGAGAGCCAAAAAGTCCAGATATCATGGCAGGTACAGACGATATACATGTTTATGCTAATCAAGTCTAATTGCATGTTTACCCTGGTGAAAATATACTACAGTCATTTATAGTAAATATTGTATTGTTTATGAATTATTGTATTATTTACAATAATCAGTCTTGTAATATATTTATTAGGGATACTCATAATAACCGATTAACTGTTAACCGAAAGGGTGGGTTTTTAACCGATTAATGGTATCAGTTAAAAATGTATATATATATATATATATTTGGCTGCATAAATGTGCAACAAATATTCATTAACTCGCAAGACAGCAACACGTACAACCACACATGCCTACAGATGTATTTTGCCAAAGAAGTATTGCAGGCGCGTGAAGATGTCCTGTTGTTAGTGTTCTGTATGCTGCTGTTTGCATGTTAAAATAATCAGTATTTTAAAATGCAATATTTCATGTCAGGCACCAAAATAGACTTTTTAATTAAATTCAAATTTAATACTAATCTGACCATTTAACGGTTAATAATCGATTAACGAGCGGCCTTTGGCAAAATTAACCGAAATGAGCATCCCTAATATATATAAATATATATATATATATATATATATATATAATAAAGTACAACTATTAAATATTATATAGTTTTATATACTATTTATATAATGAATTATCCAGCATTCTGAGATACACTATAGTGAACTGATAAACTAATAAATCCTGTAGAATACTTTACTTTTTCCTACAGTAAGCAGTGAAATAATGTATTCTATAGCTGAAGAAATCTTAGTACAGTATTGGATATTTAGCTTGTATCTAGCTGTTATGTTACCATAGCAAATATAGAAACACTACAATAGATTATTACTAAAGTTTTACTTTTTACGCTGGCTGCGTCCGAAACCGCCTACTACTCAGTAGGTACTGCATTGGAATTTAACCGTACTACTCGGCCGTTAGAAAAGTACGTTCTATACAGTATGAATGTGAAAAGTATGAACGTACTACATTCGCCATTTTGTAATGGTCACGACCTGTCTGCGCCAATTACGTCGCTTTACTCCCATTCATGAATTTGCTTGCGGGGCATCATGGGATAGCGCAGCATGCATGGAATGCACACTCTAGAATCTCGCAGGAAGTAGTAAGTCATCCGGGTAGTTCTCGCATACTGTTTTTCGAATTCTATGAATTCGGACATACTACTCGGCTCGCATACTGATTTTAGCGTACTATATAGTATGGAAGTATGCGATTTCGGACACAGCCTAGAATTTACTATAAATTGCCATAGTATTTTTTTTTAAATATGGTTTTGTCTTGCTGTTATGTGAATATTTAATTATAAGATCTTCTTTGCTGTCACCAGGATCGGACGACCCCCTAAATATCGTAAAAGTCAACAAAGAAATTGTCAGAGTGAGTTTTACTCTTTTCTTTTACTGGAAATTTAAACAGTCAATAATTTATCAGGTTCTGAGGATGATTGTGTAACATGACCGCCATAATCCATCACTGCGGTGTTTTGTTTATCCTTTTTATTCAATTATTATACTCTTTAAAGCGAAATGTTAATTTTGCTAGTGCACATTGTTATTCTTTAGGCGAACAAGTAATATGTGCATGTTAATCCACAAAAAAACAAAAAAACACATTATGATAATCTTCAAATCAAAGTCAATGTGAGGATCTGTTTCTACGTTTGATTGATATCAGTTTAACCACACCCCTTTTTCCCTTTATTTTGCTATGAGCAGGGCCAGACGGAATCTGCGGACGTTTTTTGCTATTTCTGCTGAGAATTTTGGTAAAAATCTGCATATTTCTGCGGAATTATTTTGCGAGTATCCAGCAGAGTATCATGGCTAAAACCTTAATATATGAAATAAAAAGTAATCAATTACTAAACAAAAACTGAATAAATTCAGATTTACACATTTACTCAAGTAAATAAACAGAATTAATGATGGGCTAAACATCTGCAGAAATCTGCGGAATTCAGTGGAAAATTGCGGAAAATCTGCGGAATTCTGCGCGCGCAGATTCCGTGTGGGTCTAGCTATGAGGGAATGATGTACAAAAAGAAAGCCCCGCCCCTACTCAATATTCCGTTTCAGTGGGAGGGACATCAACATACTGAAATAAAAGTCTCAGCAACTTCCAGTTCAGACTTTAATTCAGTTTCCAACTCTTTCTCAGAATATACAAAGTAAACTTTATAAAGACAGAAGAAAGGCTCTATGCTATTTTGCAGCTCATTCCAGACACCATTTGTTTACAGATTATTTAATTACAATTTAAGCATAAATGAGAATGAAAGTAATGTAAATTTCTCACTGGAATGTGGACCTTAAGCTGAATTACAGATAAAAGGTGTGCGTGTGTGCGTGCGTGCGTGTGTGTGTGTGTGTGTGTTTCAGGTATGACGTCTGAGGGCATGTACTCGTCTCTCTTCATGACGGCGTTTACTGCTAACTCTGAGCGCACTCTTTCTCTCTGCTGGGAGCAACACTGTAAGCTTCTACCTGGAGTCGCAGGAATTCATGCTGGCCAAGTAGCCACCTGGACTATAGAGGAGGTAAACGTGGCATTTAACTGTGTGGAAATACTTTGTTTTCCCACAAAACCATATATAATAGTTTTTAGAAAAAAAAAAAAAAGTGTATGTGACAAATAAAGGCTTTTTTCATCATCATCATCATCAATACGCCTATTTCACGCGGCCGCCATTTTAAAGAACCAAAGCGAGGCTGCGGTGGGAAGAAACCCAGAAGTATAGGCTTAGCACTGTAAACATTCTGGGGGCTTTGGTGAATCTAGCTCGTTCTGTAGATGGTCTTTAACCTCACATATGAGCAGATCCGTTTCTTCTCTAGTGAATCGCTCAGTTTTTGCGCTTACAGAGTCCACGTTGTAACGAAAGAAAACAAGGTTAGAAAGCTAAGCTACAGGAAATAAGCAAAAGTCAGATACACAGAAATTTCAAAACAAGAGTCCCAGGAATTAAAAGAAGTCATAATATTGTCTTTATTAGTTCCTCTGTGTCTGTTTATTTGCAGGTCTTCGGATTTGTCAACAATCTTATTGGTTGTGAGGAGCAGGCCAGAATTTTCAAAGATGAAGTAAGTCATTTCCTTTATTATTGGAGTTTGCCAAAGAAAGCTTCATTACTGCTTAAAACTTTCAGCTCCAGGAGGGCTGCAGCTTTGGGCAGTTGTTAACCCTAATTAAACCCACCTGATCAAACTAATTGAGTCCTTTAAGGTTGTTTGTAACCTACAGGTAAAGCCGTGGTCATACTAGAGTTTGAGCTTAGGGCAGGATTAAACAAGATCATGTGAGACGATTTTACCTGCGTCATATTCACCTGCCATTTATTTACTTTCAGTCTCTTTGAAACGTCACTGCAAAATGCTGAAGAGACAGCAGCTTCCAGTAAACATTCCGTGTCCTTCGAAGAGAGGCAATATGATGCATCAACTAACTGACATTAGTCTTTAAAAAAGCTTTGAAAACACACAGCATTTCAAACATCTGCATTACAAGCCCGTCAATTAAGTTAGCTGAATTGGTCACATGACTAAACTGCATCATCGTTTTCAAAAGCCTCCCATTTTCAAAAGGTTGTGTGGGAGCGATATTGGGAGAGACACGCTCTGCCTTCCAGGCACGCCCAGTTGAAAACATCCTAGCATTTCAGAATACCACGAGTAACAAAAGCTGACCTGACCTGATACTTGTATCAGAGTTGCAGCAACGTTTTGTCAGCTTGTTCATCGACTAAGAAAATGGTTAATAGTCGCCTAGCAATCTACGTAAACCTACAACACTCCTGTAGATCCTCAGTCCCTCATGGAAACAAGTCTGAGCAGATAAAAGAGCTGTGATGTTTACAGTATATTACGCGCAGGAATCCTCATATTTTTTGGGTAAATTTCTGGTTGTTTTAGTAAAAAAGTCTTCTGAGACATTCATGAATCAGCCTGCACACCCGTCTGTTATTGTGAGGAAAACTTTGTGACGATGAGCATTTCAGAATCATGTAAGAATACGGGATAGTAAAAGTGTCATGAAAAAATAATGTCAATGCTAAGGTGAGTTTTCTTGTGTGTGTGCATGTTTGGCACGTCTTTACTGTCGGTCAGTCAGTCTGACATCATGACAACTGAAATCTAAGTGTGACATTGGAGCCATATTCGTGCAGTCTGACGTTCTACAATCGCTTATGTTTATTAAAAGTCCTACAGTGTGAGCTGGTCTTTATTTGATGATTATGATGATGATGATGATGATGATGATAAGCAAAAAATGTTGCCCCCTGAATTCTTAAGCTGAACCTGACCATCAGATGCAACCCATGCTCATTCTGAAAACGTAGTCCCGCGGACGTTACAGAGGACTATGAACTACTTCCCGGGAGATACGTATTTTTGCGGTTTTAGTTTTCGGGAGTCCGCGAGGGGCTGCTGTGTGCACTTTTTTGCATCTTGTCTCACTCGAGTGCCGTTCGCGACTGCGCTATTCTCACGTGAACACACTAGAGGCCGCTGTTGACCGATTGAATAACTAAATGATTGACTGAGCGACCGTCCAATCGACTGACCCACCCTCCTCCTTCTCTAAACCCAACCCATTTTACCGATTGACCGCCTACCTGCTTACTTCCCCTAAACCCAACTGATGGCCAAGGCCAGACGGAATCTGCGGACGTTTTTTGCTATTTCTGCGGAGAATTTTGGCAAAAATCTGCAGATTTCTGTGAAATTATTTTGGGAGTATCCAGTGGAGTATCATAACTTACACCTTAATATATGAAATAAAAAGTAATAAATTACTGAATAAAAACTGAATAAATTCAGATTTACACATTTACTCAAGTAAATAAACAGAATTATTATGGGCTAAACATCTGCAGAAATCTGCGGAAAATCTGTGGAATTCTGCGGAAAATCTGTGGAAAATCTGTATAATTCTGCGCGTGCAGATTCCGTGTGGGCCTACCGATGGCTTACAAAAGCCTTCCAGAAAAAGAAAAGCCCTCGCTAATATTTTACCACGTTTTCGGTCAATCTGACCCTGCCGTTCACTCGTTCATTTTAGTTTTGGAATTTTGTTTGTGTCTAACCTGGTTTCTGGAACTGCTCTTCCCCGGACTCGAACCAGGTCGTTGTCAGGGTCAGCTCCTCTCTCCGCTGACGTACACGACGAGCTAACTGGACAAACTGGTTGCGGCGGGAAAGCGCTCCACACAGAGGTAAGCAGTCAGCTGGTAAGCACCAAAAGAAACGGCGTCACACCGGCCCGTACCCAGGTAGCAAAGAATTCTGGCCCAGATTTGGCATAAAGCTGGCACAGCAGGCATTCGTCTGGCACTGGCATGCAACATATGGGCCAAACATGGCCCAGGTTTGGCTGAGGTGGCACCATCTTACAGGCGGCACTCCAGACTTGGGCCAGATCTCAAATGTAGTATTTGGCCCAGATGTTTAAATGTACATGTGAGCCACATAAGTTTGGCCTATCTTGACCCACTTTTAAAATACATTTATATTATTTTTGAGCAAAGAAAAAATTCTATCAATCAGGTCGCTTCAAGAAAAAGCACAGCCATAAAGCGAAATGCTTCATGGGTTTATAAAAAACATTGCAGTCATAACACACCAACATATCGGGCCCAGCTCAGCACCAGTTATGGGTTATTAACTTGGCTGAGACTTGGCCCACATATGGTCCATGTTTGCTGCTTCTATGGAAGCCAGAATTGGTCCAGTCATGTACCGTAATTTACTGCGGCATGTGGGCCAAGCAAATGCTGATGGTGTGGGCCAGAGAAATTTTGCTATGGGGGTAGCGTTCCATTAAAAAATGAAATGCAGCCATACGTACCTCCAGCAACATATTTCGCGGTCTCCAGAAATGTTCGCGGGACTACGTTTTTCAGAATGAGCCTGGGTTGCTCAGATAGCAATTTGATCAGAAAAAACTGTCAAGGTGCGACCAGCCCCCTCGACTACACACGCGTCTTTGTTTTCTCTGCAGATGATCGATGGAGAGTCTTTCCTCCTCCTGACTCAAAACGACATTGTGAAGATCATGAATATAAAGCTAGGACCTGCGCTGAAGATCCACAACGCCATCCTAATGTTCAAGAGCACAGACGAGGGCCTGAAGTGACCGTTGTTTTGATCTCCACATGCCATAACGATCCATCCATCATCACGTGTTTGGTGTTTCACATCTGAACCCACCAGAGAGAGAGAGAAAGATAGAGAAAACGGGACGGACTGATGACAGAACAGTCCAGCTGAGCTCCGACGCTGCTGCGAAAGCGTTTAGCTAAAGAACATCTAGACCTGAAACCACCGCGCAGGATTTTTCAGATAGTGTTTCTTTTGTTTTGTATTTGGAGTGTTCACTGAAATCCATATTCGTTCTCAGTCTGTGGTGATGATCGGTGCACAGAAACATCAGGGCAGATTTCAGTGTATTGGTGCTACTGTACCCTTTATTAGATCCCTGATGATGCACTTTACAGCAGGAGCAGGCAGGGGGCGCTGTACTTTACCAGAGCATGAGCATTGCTCGCCCTCGGTAGCAGTGCTCCTGACGTTGTGGTGTTGTTAAATGAGATTCTAGTTTCAAAATAAGCTATTTTGCAGAGACAGACTGGATGGCGACGTCAGTGTAGTTATTTTTCAACTGTGTGAATGGAAAGCCAGAGGGGGGAAGTAAATAGTAGTGAACTAGGGGGGTCTGTGTTTCTCTCTCTGATGGGAAAACTTTAATAATGTACAGTTGAGTAACTGTGTTGTTCAGTTCATCTACATGAATAAATGTTTAATTGAAGAGTTGCCGTCTGCTTTCTGCTTGATGTTGATTGACAAAGCCCTGTGGGCATGAATGCTGTGTGTTTCTGAGCGACCGGAGTCGAAATTTTCATCTGGCAGATGATAAAACAGGCAAGAAAAGCATCACTAAGATTGGTATCAATTGTGATTACTTAAAATTAGTTACTGTAATTCACCATCAAGGACCGCGCTACAACTGTTGCTTTAGAAACTTTATTACGAGTTGTTTGAGAAGTAGTTTATGGAGATTGAGAAGAGAAGTATGGATGGTTGTTGAACTGGCTGATTGGGGAGTCTTGTCTGGGGAGACTCAGAGGGCCCTATCATACACCCGGCGCAATGTGGCGCAAGGCGCGGCGCAATACTTGTTTGGTAGTTTCAGCTTGGCGCAAGAGTGGTTTTGAGGCGTTGCGCTACGCTGTTTAAATAGCAAATGCATTAGCGCTCATGTGTGCGTCCATAGGCGTTCTGCTCTAAAAAGGAAGGCGTTCTGAGGCGGACCGCTGGCGCGTTTCTATTTTGAGAAACTATAATAGATTTTTCATTAGACTAAAACAAACCCGGTCTAAACTCCAGCGCAGAGTTGCGCCTCACTTACAGACTGCTTAATACGCACAAGAGAGCAATAGACAAATATCTTTGCATATGAAAAAATGTAAATATTAAGGATATATATAGGATATTATAAGAATAGATATAGGATATAAATATAAAGGATTAAAATATAACAAAACAAATTATTTTCTAGCCTACATAAATATGAAATATCACTGCTTTTATGTCTTCTTCATCTCGGGAGGCTTTTTCAGTTAATTCATAACAATTTGCTTTTGTATAATGTTATTATTATTAGCAGTATTATTTATTATATCCATATTTATATTTGTTTTATTAAAAACAAGCTTAGATTTGCCCACCTGTCAGGTTTTAGACCATATGGGGCACAGCATGTGTTTTAGGATATAACTCAGGTTTTCGAGCTCATTTTGTTGATATTATTCATTTATTCGTTTGCTGGAAATTAGAACTGAATTTAGAAACAGTTTTGAAACGAATATTTGCGCTTAACAAACGCAATTATTTATTTATAGACTAATTGATGTTTGTGCGTAAAGGTTTCCCTATCCAAGAGCGAAAGTGAGAGTGATCCGTTATCTCTCATTCTTACGCAGTAGATGCTCTGTTTAACAGTTTTCTGTTAAAAAACTGTTAACTGTTTGCTTGTGAAATGCTCAGTTTTTCCACTTTCACTTTTCCACTTAGACTTACTTTGCGTCCTGTAAATAGCGAATGCGCTCTTGGCACGACGCAGCTGGCTCTTAAAGGGAATGGGAGATGAGACTCTGATTGGTTTATTCTTAAAACACACCTATAACTCATTAAGAAAATAAACTCAACCCTTTTAGATCATGCGCCGCGGCGCAAAGCAGATTATCCCATCCGTAAATTAGCAAAAATGCGTTCTGACACGCCCTGAAAGCGTTTGCGCCCTGCGTTTTGCACTCTGCGCATGGACCTTCAAAATAGAGCCCAGAGTGGGGGCTTTGTCTCGTAGGTTAAAGTGGAACCTTTAGAAGACCCCTCCAATGCAGCCTGTGGAAGAGGAGAGGGATGTTAACAGGTATTGGGAGGGGAGGGAGGGGGTGTAGGGGATGAGTGGATGACTTTAGAGGGGAACTGGGTGAGAGGGAGCGAGAATCTGAGACAAACGGTTTAGGGAGGGTCCACTTCCTGTAGATAGTAGACGAGGGAAGTTGATTGGTTTAGGCGTGGCCCCGCTACTGAACTTCTGTTAATTCATTAACTCCATTTAAAAAGAAAAGGAGAACTTTTGATTTGTTGGCAGTGGTGTAAAGTAACATATTACAAATATCACAAATTACTGTAATTGAGTAGTTTTTCTCCAGAATTGTAATTTACTAAGTAGTTTTAAAAATGTGTATTTTTACTTTCCCTTGAGTCAGGGCCGGAGTGGGACTCCTTTTCAGCCCTGGAGTTTCAAGCCAGACCGGCCCACCGACTGACTATATTAAATAAGGTCATTTCCATTTCTGTTTCTTATGACACTATCATGTCTTTTTCAAGAAAACAGCTGCTTTAGAACTTTAAATGTTCAACAGCCCTCACAGTATTATATGACAATAAAAATAACATAACATATATAACAATAAAAAAAATTAAAAAAAAAAAACGATAAATTAAGTGAGATTCGAACACAGGTTGGCGGCGTCTTAGAGCAACATGTGAACCACTAGATCACAGTGGCGCTGTTCTAGTGGGAGAAAAAAATTCTGATTTCTCAAGTTACATCAGCTGTATGAATATAGTGAATCATCTGATTTTCATTGAGCAGGTGTATTATTCATTAATATTAATTACTCGAATTCTTATATCCACTAAGGTGCCGCTGTTTGGGGTTTAATGATGATATTTACATCATTACCCTGCAGGCTGCATTTTGCTCACGGGGCTGTGAGACAATAAATAAGAAGAGCGGAGCTGCGGCAAATTAATGAATAAAAAGAGTGAGGCTATTGTCAAATACATAAATAAATGAAAAAGTGCGACTGCTGAGAGTGCTAGGGACACCAGCCCTCGCGGCCAAAAAACTGACCGGCCCACCGGGAATTCTCTTGGTCCTCCCGATTAGCCAATCCGGGCTTGCCTTGAGTACATTTTTAGTGCGGTATCAGTACTTTTACTCTCACTACTTTCCTTCAACCTGCAGTCACTAGTTTATTTTTTCCTGTCTATTGGGATTAGAAAAACAGTCCTGTGATTGCTGTCCAATCAAATCACACATAGAAGGTAAATCCCATCATAATGAACTACCTCAAGACATGGGCGATTTATAAATGCAGCAAACTGTTTGGACGCATTGAAAGTGTCCAAGAAGATGTCCAAAATCTTTACACGCATTGACCCAGAGACTGTTTAGATGCATGTCGCTGATGAGAAGATGATGGATGTTTTCTGTATGATGACCAAAATGGCCTTAAACACCCAGCAAGCTCAATACATCAACATGATGTCAGATTGATGTTCTACTCCAACATTGTGGGGACGTTGCATTTTGTTTGGAAATAAAAATAGGGTTGACGTCAGAAGTCAATGTCAGGCCGTCACCAACGTCCAACTTAAAATCAACCAGATATCAATGTCTAACAATAATGTTTCAGTTTGACGTTGGGTGGACGTTACCACTATGACGCCTATCAGACATTGGATTTTGGTTGCCATACCAGACAAATAAATATCAGCATTTGACGTCAATATAACGTTGGTTTAAGATGTTGACTTGACGTTGAATTTTGGTCACTTTCAAACACAACCTAAAATCAACCAAATATCAACGTCATTAGATGTTGTTATTGGACATCAAAATAACGTTGTCCTTTGATGCTGGCTAGACATTGAATTTTGGTCACCTGACATTACAACCTAAATATAACCTAATATTAACGTCTTACGACATTGTGTGCCTGCAGGGCAATAACTCAATGCCCCCCTGAATTATTCGCCCCCCTGTTTATTTTTTTCCCCAATTTCTGTTTAACGGAGAGAAGATTTCTTCAACACATTTGTAAACATAATAGTTTTAATAACTAATCTATAATAACTGATTTATTTTATCTTTGCCATGATGACAGTAAATATTTTACTCAATATTTTTCAAGACACTTCTACACAGCTTAAAGTGACATTTAATGGTTAACTGGGTTAATTAGGTTAACTAGGCAGGTTAGGGTAATTAGGCAAGTTATTGTATAATGATGGTTTGTTCTGTAGACTATCAAGAAAAAATGCTTTTAGGGGCTCATAATTTTGACCCTAAAATAGTTCATAAAAAATTTAAAACTGCTTTTATTCTTGCCGAAATAAAACAAATAAGACTTTCTCCAGAAGAAAAAATATTATCAGACATACTGTGAAAATTTCCTGCTTCTGTTAAACATCATTTGGAAATATTTAAAAAAGAATAAAAATTCAAAAGGGGGCTTATTTGGTATATTGATCTATATATATATATATATATATATATATATATATATATATATATATATATATATATATATATATATATATATATATATATATATATACATACATACATACATACATACATACATACATATATATATATATATATATATATATATATATATATATATATATATATATATATATATATATATATATATATATATCTTTTTTGGTATAAACAAATTTAATTTGCCAGTTATTTACAGAAGTTATCACTGTAAGCTATTAATAGAAGTTTAGCCACGAGTAACACTAAGAAACGCCCAGTTTTACTGTATTAAACCTCATATAAACTTCTGGTTAATAATAAATGGTTTGAACTGACTCTAATCCTGTACGGTTTATACATAAACCTCAGTGCGTCATTAGGCTGAAATATAAACATCCAGGCCTATTCCTGAGTATTTTTAAGTTGCGAGCACTTGTAAGTTATTAAATGTCCTCATAAGTTGCTTAAAGTGATATTTCATGATATTTCAGCCCTCACAAGTATTGCCAAATGCATACACAGGTTATCTAAATGAAGACACACCACAGGCTGCTGTTGTGTTTATATGCAGCCAATAAATACTGACTCTCCCTGAAGCCACACCCTTCAGCTCTGCCTCTGTACTATGAGAAATGGACAATGCTTTGCCTATTATCTTTTTTTTTCTTTTTTTTTCTTTTTTTTTTTTAAGTGTTGTCCAGTTTAACTCATTACCTGGGATCTCCAAAGCCAAGCTGGGTGCACACACACACACACACACATAAAAAACACTGACTCACCAACATAGACACACACAAGCACTCATATGTACAGAAAGACACTATAAGGCATACCAGCAGGCACATGCAAGCACACAAACAAACATGTATACATATATAAACATACAAATACACACACACACACACACACACACACAATTACACACACATGCAAACACAGTCTCACTGACAAACTAACAAAGACACACAAGCAATCATCTGACTGGCTCACACACACAAACACACTCACATTGGAGTGTGTGATTGTCTCATACAGTACTCTCTCTCTCTCTCTCTCACACACACACACACACAAACACACTATATTTCTCTCTCACACAGACAAACATACACACTTGAGAGGCTAACTGTGTGCATTTGGTCTCTGACTCACTTACACACACACACACATACACACACACACACACACACACCTGCACGCAGACACACACAAACATGCATATACACAGTGTCATACACACACATATATACAGACTCACTCAAACACAATTATACAACTACACACACATACACATACAAACACACAGTCTCACTGACTCACTAACAAAGACACACACACACACACACACATTGGAAAGGCTTTCTGGCTCACACACTCTCTTGCTCTTTCTCTCACATAAACACACACACTTTCTTTTTCTCTCACACAAACACACACACTTGAGAGGCTAAACTGCGTACATTAGGTCTCTCTGACACACACACACACACACACACACACACACACACACACTCTCTCTCTCTCTCTCTCTCTCTCTCTCTCATATCTAGTGTCCTGCACACATGGGTTGATCATTCACTCGGGCCTTCAGCCAAAGCAGCTGCTCGACGGGACGTTTCGCGAGCAGAAAATGATGCACTTCCACAAAACTCCATGAGCTGAACATCTTCCACACACACACACACACACACACAGGTAAGATGATTCTCACCATACATGTGAACAGATTCTGCCAAACGCATGTTGTCGTCTGTGTCTCCTGGTTTATTCAGTTGTGGTGTATTAATACACACCGCAGTGCACACTGTTTGTTTTTGTGTACACCAATCTGCTGTTTGCACAATTTATAATTACAGGAAGAATCTTTAATGTTACTATTATTTTCATTATTTGGGGTCATAATTAAAATGTCTACTACACGTTTGGTGTTCATTGGTGCTTTTGAACAATACTATAGTGAAGTAACTGAACTAATCTGTTGTGGTAATTCTACAAACAAATATAAACACATTATCTATGTGCTACTGTAGTTTTCTAAAGCTTTAGGGTTGATGAAATGCGCTGTAGTAAACAAGTAAAGTATATTAGTGTTTATCAGTTCACTAGATAATACTACAGTATTGCTTTAGCATTAATAAGGGTAGAGTTGGATTATATTCACACTTTCTATTAATATTTTATAAACCTCTTAAGGCCCAAGGTGTTTTTTACATGCATTTTTATTTCTCTTTGCTGTTTAGGCTTAATAGAAACTAATTAGAATAAAAACCTAAGCATCATCTTTTGATACGATGTACTTTTAGAAAAAAAATATGTCCATATATGAGGATTCGTGGTCCGAATTTACATAAAACACTTTTTCCTGACAGTTTTTTAATGCATATTTAACGTGGATTTTTTTAAACATGTTTGTACTATTAGAGAGTAAAAACTAATTTTTTTCCCATTTTGAACAGTTAAAAATAGTGTTTGGGACATTTTATATGCTGCAAAACAGTTGCAGGATGACGCTGTGTGTCTGTAACAAAATATAAAACATTCAAAGTATTTTAAACAGCCACTTAAGAGCTAAAATGTGCTGTCCACATACCTGTATGTGGAGGTTAAATATATGAATATAAATACAAAATTCTTTGCAAATTCTAAATAGGAAAATCATATTTAGCAAAAAACTATTAAAGTACATTGTTCACAGTCAATTAAATAGTGCTAATGTTGTTTTGAAGTCATTCTTGCATGCTATTTTTGACCGAACACTGTCAGAAATAAAGGTACAGGAGCTGTCACTGGGGTGTACCTAAAATTTGTACCTAAAAGGTCAATATTAATACCACAAGGGTACATATTAGTAAATAAAAAGTACAAAAGTGTTCCTCTGAAAATTTTTAGGTACTATATATATATATATATATATATATATATATATATATATATATATATATATATATATATATATATATATATATATATATATATATATATATATACTTTTGCGTTACAAATATGGACCTTTAAGTACAAATACCTTTTATAAGATACCACCCCAGTGACGGCTCGTGTACGTTTATTTTTGAGAGTGAACATTCAACGTAGCATTGTAAACAACCGTGTCACAAGTTGTTAAAATAGAAACAACTTTACCTCAGTTTAGCATTTAGTGTTGTGAATACTTATAAAACAATATAATATTGTTCAAAAACACTATAGTATTTAATATAAATTGCTATATCTGGGCTGACACGAACAGCCTAATGATTCACTGTTTTACTTCATCGAGCGAACAACAACAGCGTATCTGAAAGCTAAACAGTAGAGATAACCTTTTGGAGCGTGGTGTTTATTGATAGTCCTACTCTGCAGGACAATTGCAAAGCTGTATTTACCGTGTAAACTTGTCACTAAATGTCCTTCATGGGTCTGCTGTGTCACAAAAACCTGAAGATCCAGTTTTTTTCCCTAGAGTCGCCAGCATATGAGACATTAAACCCGACATTTGGGAGAGAAATTGACGAGACTGTCAACGACGGAAACACAAGATGGCTTATTACGATCCAGTAAGAGCTTTTTATTTCTCTATATATATATATTTTAACAGCTTCAGCGTTTATGCTAGTGTGTATTCACACCTTTAACCTATTTAAATGTCCCTACAGACCCCACCGTCTCCATCAAACGAGGTCAATCTAGGCGCGTCCGTCAACCCTCAGTAAGATGTGTTTTGTTTTTATTAGCGTCCTGTAAAGCTTTCGTACAGTATGTGCAAGTGATGGATTTATGTGCACGGATGGCCACTTGTGATATAGTGACTGCTAAATATTATCGTCATTTCTCACTTTTATTGTCTTGTGTGCTTCAGTGCCAAACCCACTGACTTTGACTTCCTGGCTGTGATTGGTAAAGGGACATTTGGGAAGGTGAGGCGCGTCTGATGCCCCTGTCTGATTAACTGCGTGCCTTATGACTTCACTAATCATTAACGCTGCAGAAGGAAGTCCGCTAAGGTTACCTTGATGGAAGATTGTTGTTATTCTAGCGGGATTGTTTAGAGGAAGGAATTGGTATCACTTTATTTTCATGAGCAGAGCACATGTTACAATGCAACCTCATGCCAATTAATTATCATTAGAGTGTCTGCTTAAAGGGACAGTTCACCCAAAAATTAAAGTTTATACACTATTTACTCACCCTCACTCCTTTATGAGTTTCTTAATCTATTGAACACAAAGTGACATGTTTTGATGAAAGCTGAAAACCTGTAGCCATTGACTTCTTCCATAGTAAAAGCAAATACTGTTTGGACGTCAATGTTTACAGCTTTACAGCTTTCTTCAAAATGTCGTCTTTTGTGTTCAACAGAGGAAAGAAACTTAAACGGGTTTGGAACAAGTAAATAATGAAGACCTGAGTAAATAATAAAGATGCAATTTAAATTTTGTGGGGTGAACCGTCCCTTTAATTATATATCTGCTCATTCTGATGAAACCTTGCATGTGTGCTCAGCATTAATAGACCTTATGTTGATTGTTATTATCCATTTCTCAGTGAATATATGTTTTAATAAACAGTTATATTCTTCAAAATAACATTTTGGTCACCTAAAATATTTAGGAATGGAAAGATGGTACATTAAAATTCAAGTTATTAAATAAATAAAAATTATAACTATATTTTATGTTTATTTTTTTCCTATTTGCTGTTTCAATATTTTAATATTTTCCCACAATATATTAATTTGGGTTTACTATTTTTTGTTAGGATTTTTTGTTAGATTAGTAGTTTCGACTTTAATACTGACTAATTGAATGTACAGAAGTCAGAATTATTAGTCCCCCTGAATTATTAGCCCCGTTTATTTTTCCCCAATTTCTGTTAAACGGAGAGAATATTTTTTTCAACACATTTCTAAACACAATAGTTTTAATAACTCATCTCTGAAAACTGATTTATTTTATCTTTGCCATGATGACAGTAAATAATATTTGACTAGATATTTTTCAAGACACTTCTATACAGCTTAAAGTGACATTTAAAGGCTTAACAAGGTTAATTAGGTTAACTAGGCAGGTTAGGGTAATTAGGCAAGTTATTGTATAATGATGGTTTGTTCTGTAGACTATCAAAAAAATAAACAGCTTAAAGGGGCTAAACATTTTGACCTTAAAATGTTTTTTAAAAAATTAATAACTGCTTTTATTGTAGTCGAAATAAAACAAATAAGACTTTCTCCAGAAGAATAAATATTATCAGACATACTGTGAAAATTTCCTTGCTCTGTTAAACATCATTTAGGAAATATTTAAAAAAGAAAAAAAAATCACATGGGGGCTAATAATTTTGACTTCAACTGTATATGCACAAATATATTATTGTAAAGCATTCTGTAGAAAATATAAGATTTAAAGAGAGATCTTTAAGGATTAAATTTTTTTTATCAAGAAAAGAATGTGCTAAAGGGATCATCAAAAATAAAGTGACACCCCAAAAATAAGGGAAAAATAAACAAATGGCATTCAATTCAACACAACATCTGAACTATCACATTGGTTTGCAGGTGCTCTTAGCAAAACTGAAAGCAGATGGAAAATTCTACGCCGTCAAAGTTTTGCAGAAGAAGGTTATATTGAAGAAAAAAGAGGTTGGTGTTTATTTGTTTCATCTGGCTTGTTTTTCTCAAATAACCAATCCTTAAGCGAGTAATGTTTGAGTTAAAAATATAACAAACATAATATGAAATATTAAAGGTATAGTTCACCCGAATAAATAAACATTTCAAATTTTACAATTTATTTATCCTTCACTTGTTCCAAGCCTATTTGTGTTTCTTTCTTCTGTTAAACACAAAAGAAAGAAATTTTGTTGGACACGCTGGAAACCTGTAACCATTGACTTCTATGGTAATTATTTTCCTACTATGGAAGTCGAAGGTTACAGGTTTTCCAGCTTCCTCATATATATATATATATACATATATATATATATATATATATATATATATATATATATATATATATATATATATATATATATATATATATTTGTGTTCAACGGAAAAAAAAGAAACTCAAAGGTTTACAAACCACATGAGGGAGAATAAATGATGAGATACCTTTCATTAGTTAATTAATCACAGGTTTACTTAAATACAGATAACATGTATCTTAACATATTAATATACTGTATATAAGTACATATAGATAAAGTAAAAACTCTTTTTTTGATTATGAAAGACTTTGGTACATTTATTTGTCATTAAAGTCCTTCAGGATATTGCATCTGCACAGTTTAGCCTTTATTCTAAACAAAATACTGGGTTGATTTAACCCAATGTTTGGTCAAATGTGGACAAACCCGACCACTGGGTACTGTTCTATTTTAAATTGTTTTTGAACATTATGGGAAATTTACTTACGGATGAAACAAGTAATTAAAGCATTATGAAAAAAATGGTTTAATTGTGTTAACGTTTTCAGCATGTTATTAAAAGGTTGCTTGAGCAAAAGGTGTTGGGATAGTGTTAGATATTAAATGATGATGACAATGACAGAATCTAATCTAATCAAACTTTCACCCTGTCCTTTGCACCCTGGCATTTTGTTACATGATTTGCTGGCTTTTAATTTATTACAGTCGCTGTTGCTGCAAGCAATATTTACACCGCAAAAAGCGATTAGCTCACTTTATTCAAATATGCTATGAGTGTTGGCTTAAAATGATCAAGCAAATAAACCATCTGCTACAGTTTAGTAAAAGATGCAGTAGTTTATCAGTTTATAACTATATTATTTTTAAATTAACTATAGTAATTCATTTTAATGTAAGACATTATTGTTTGTTTTTTAAATTTTACTACAAAACGATTTAAACTATGTCAACATTAAGATCCTGAATTAGTTTTTTACACTTAATCCTACAATTAGACAGTCTATTATGTTTTGTTTGTGTATGTGGTTACATGAATAAAGTCATAAGTGTTTAACTAATTCGTTTCATTTACATAATTTCCAAAACTGCACAGATGTTAAAAGGATTGAAACGATATAATAATGACTGAAATGGGAACGCCTTAAACCAGGGATCACCAAAATCGTTCCTGGAGGGAACACTGTCAGAAAAAAAGGTACAGGAGCTGTCACTGGGGTGGCACCTTTTCAAAAGGCACACATTTGTACCTAAAAGGTAAATATTAATACCACAAGGGTACATATTAGTAAATAAAAGTACAAAACAGTTCCTCTGAAAATCTTTAGGTACTAATATATAATAATAATATATAAGTATAAAAAATTACAGTGGGTTTACTCACTTTTTTAAAGAGACAGTTCACCTGAATGGAAAATTATCTTTGGCTCAACCAGCACTCAAAAATAATGACATAGAATTAAATTAAAATCACAGATACACAAAAAATACAGATTATTCCTATCTCAAAACAGGTTAAACACTTGCTGAATTAATCATTTTAATTGTTTTTGAATGTTTCCAACATTCTTCAACGTAGGGCTGCACGATATTTCAAGAGTTCACACTTTGCTGATAATTGGTAATAAGCTGGTTAGGCATGCTGTCCCGGGAGAGAGCCCTGAGCTCATGAGATGCTCGAGCCCGGGGCTCCCTCCTGTTGCAGGGCGAGAGGGGAGTTTGAGCTCGGGTAGATTCAATTCAATTCAGCTTTATTTGTGTTGCGCTTTTACAATGTAGATTGTGTCAAAGCAGCTTCACATAAATTGTCATAGTAACTAGAACAGTGTGGTTCAGGTTTTAGTGTTTAAGTTCAGTTCAGTTTAGCTCAGTTCAGTGTGATTTAATCATTACTGAGAGTTCGAACACTGAAGAGCAAATTCATCGATGCATAGCTCTACCAATCCTGAACCATGCGAGGCAGTGGCGACAGCGGAGAGGGAAAAAAAACTTCACCTGATGGGAGTGAAGAAAAAAAAACCTTGAGGGAACCAGACTCAGTTGGGCACGACCATTTTAATTTCTCCGCTGGCCAAAAGTCTTGTGCAGAGCTACATTCGCCGTGGTTAGGCAGGAAGATGGCCTCAACGAAGACTCATCTGTCCCTGGAACGTCGCTGGGTAGATCTCTCGAGAACCTCTTAAAACACTCATTAAATGCTCACAGTCACAGGCCTGAAAAACACATGATATTCTCACTCTATTATGGTTAAACTTGACTCAACGGGAGGGTGATGGGAGTGACTCAACAAATCAAGTGTAATGCCAATGTGCACATTGCGATATTGATGCTGAAACAATATATTGTGCAGCCCTACACTGAGATAGCCCTGTACAAGATGCTGGCAGGATTCATTGTTCCCTCACTGAAAGCTCCTCCTGAATCTGCTGCAAAGTGTTTCGTCACTGTCGCCTCGTCCTGTCCTAATAGTGTCAGCTCATATCTGTCTTCTCTTGTGTGTCTCTATTAATGCTACGTTGTGTCCCGCAGCAAAAGAATATAATGGCCGAGAGGAACGTGCTGCTCAAGAGTCTCAAACACCCGTTTCTGGTCGGGCTGCACTACTCCTTCCAGACCTCTGAGAAGCTTTATTTTGTCCTGGATTATGTCAATGGTGGAGAGGTATGAGGAAAAAAACACGTCTTGTGCAGACAACATTCACTGATAAATTACAGTTTCCTCATTTTGTTATGATCACATGACCTACCCTCGTGAGTTGCGTCGCTTCAATCCCATTTATGAATTTTCCTCATGGGGCGTCATGGGATAGCACAGCGTGCATGGGATACGCACTTCAGAATCTCACCAGAAGTAATAGGTTTTCTGGGTTCTTCTCGCATACTGTTTTCGGCTAGCATACTGATTTTAGAATATTACATAGTACAGGGGTTTTCAAACTGTGGATGCACAGTAAACAAAGGTGGGTCACGCAAAGTCACATAGCTATATTTACATTGCGGTGAATCAAAACCAGTACGATTGACGGCAATAACTCAAAAACCTCTAACCCTAAAATATCTAAAGTGTGTTTCCTACAAAAACACAAAGCTGGTTATGTTTCACAGCTGTTTTTTTCTTTTTTTTTCGCTCGACATTACGACCACTGCTCCGTTTGAGCCCTCGCAATCTGCGTTTAGCCGGTAGAGCTCGCGCAGAGCGGAGCTCTCAGTAAGGGACCGTCGGAAAAGTGCTTATTTTTTTTCTTTTCGTTTTTTCATTTTTTTTGTTGTTGTTGTTTTATTTGCTCCGTCCTGCATGTTTTATTTTAAACACTACTAATTTTCTCTTAAATGAGCACAAACAGTTACTAAAGTAGTCAAATGCTTCATTATAGATCTGTGCATTGTTACATGAACACAGGGGCGTACTGGCCATCTGGCAATTCTGGCAAATGCCAGAAGGGCCGGACCAATTTTTAAATGTGGGCCGGTCAGTTTTTTTTTTTTTTTTTTTTTTTAATAAATTGTTTTTACGTGCAGGAAGCTTTTATTATTATTTTATTATTATGATGTTGATAAAAAAATAAATATAATAATAATAATAAATGTTAAGCATTTGGCCCAATCGGTGACGGCCGCCTGATTTCAAGATTGGCCGACCCAATCCAAGATTAAAATCTGGCAAGAATGTCATTTTATTTTACCATCTGTACACCAAAATAAATACTGAATGTGCGTGTCCGTGGGTGGGGCTGTGTCGGTGTGGTAATGTGGGCTGATGTGGTTACAGTGCCAGGGCTGAATTTTTGTCCCAGTCCGCCCCTGCATGAACACCTCTGTTATCAAACAAAACACAATGAGAGATTAATTTGCTGCTCTTCACTAAATAACTATAGTAACTTTAATCAATATGCAAATACAATTAAAAGTGAAGTAGATTTTATAGCTTTATTTAATTTCTGGATAGGACATTGATTTTAATAGGCTAAAACTTTTATTTTATTGTCAATATTTTCTAATGTTTGCTATGTATTCTATCATTTGAAGCTATTTGTTGTCCCATATTTTTTACATCCCAACGTTGACAGATTGCTAATCAATAAATAGCTATAGTGCTATATAAAGCTATAGTGCTATAAATAGCTCTAGTGCTATCTGTTAGTTTTAACGTCAGCTAATGTTATGGAAGGGCATAGATGTAATGGAAAATAGTAATAGTAATGTAAGTACCCCCATCATTCCTTCCTCAAGCAAATGTGTAAATATTAGATCAATTCAGCGATAACGTTAATTGCATTGGCATATTTATCTGACGTTTTCCCAGCTTGTAGTAGTCGATCAAAAAGCTATTTAGTTTCTTATGACTATACACTAGCAGTGGAGTTTACTGCGATGTGACGGGGCTTGATCATAATCCAGGGGTTTGATCAAAGGTTGATCATATTCTCTTCTGAAAAAAAAGAGGATCTTTTTCAACAACAAAAAATATCACAGTTACAGCCAGCATCCCACAAAAAGCACTTCGAGCCTCATTTTGTGCATTTCAAATCACAAAATCCCAAAAGCCGCACACCATATATTTATGACTGCTTTGAATGGAGACATTTTTTGCCCATTTTTCCATATTAAAATATTATGGTGGGTCTTGAGATTGAATTACTTGCCTAGGTGGGTCCCAGAATAAAAAAGTTTGGGAATCCCTGATATAGTATGAAAGTATGCGATTCCGGATGCAGCCAATGATGTTTAGTGAAATAGCTCAGTAAAAGAGTTGACATTAAAGACACAAGGCCTCAAAGCCTTCCAGAGTTTCCCACCAGAGGAAATGGCATCACTTGAAGCAAGTCTATCAGTGCTTTACAGATTGTTTTGCCTTTTTATAACCAGCAAAGTTGACCAGAATGTAGAGACACAAAATATGTTTTTTTATTTTATATACAGTATATTTTATATATAATTGAATTTGAATGTGTGATTCAGAACCAGAGACGGTCAAAAACAGGTATAATGGGAGTCTTTAGGTTAATATCTACAAGATAAAATGTCTCGAAATACATATACAAACATAACTTTTAGAGCTACTTGATCTAATTTGTGTTACGAGTCAAAGCTGTTCGTAAGTTTGTAGGTTCATTTAGGAGACACAGAATGTATACAGAACATTTTAAAAGCACCCATATATTTGGAATAATTCATAAAGTTAAAGTCAGAATTATTAGCCCTCCTGAATTATTAGCCTCCCTTTAAACATTTCCCCCTATCTCTGTTTAACGGGAAAAGAAGTCATCATATTTCTAAATATAATAGTTTTAATAACAAATTTCTAATAACGGATTTCTTTATTCTTTGCTAGATATTTAAATTTGACCACCTTTTTTTAATACACTAGTATTGAGCGTAAAGTGAATCGAAAAAACCTTAAAGTGTTTTTTTTTTTAATATATGAAAAACTTATTTTCTTCTAGCTGAACTAAAACAGTAGAAAAAAAATATTATAGGAAATACTGTCGTTTGGGAAAGATGTGAAAAAGAAAAAAAATAACAGAAGGACTAATAATTTTAACTTCAACTGTATATAAATAACCATTTAATAAAAGCAATAAGCTTCATTAAGCCATTGTTTACAGCGAATTTTTAACAAATGAGAGCATTTAAGGAACTCTTCTCCGCATGCACTTTAGCTGTTCTAAATTTACTGTAAAACATGGCATCTTAGGGCAAAATGCAGGGCGCAAACACTTTCAGGGCGTTTCAGAACGCATTTTTGCTAATTTACGGACGGGAAAATCCGCTTTGCGCCGTGGCACATGATCTAAAAGGGTTGAGTTTATTTTCTTAATAAGTTATAGGTGTGTTTTAAGAATAAACCAATCAGAGTCTCATCTCCCATTCCCTTTAAGAGCCAGCTGCGTTGCGCCATAAGCGCATTTTGACGTAAAGTAAGTTTACTTTCGCTTTTGCTCTCGTGGGTAGGGAAACCTTACCGCACAGACATCAATTAGCCTATAAATAATTAATTTAGTTTGTTAAGCGCAAAGATTTGTTTCAAAACTATTTCTAAATTCAGTTCTAATTTCCAGCAAACGAATAAATGATTAATAATAACAAAGTGTGGTCAATACTGAGTTATTTCCAAATACACCTGCCATGCCCCATATGGTCTAAAACCTGACAGGTGGACAAATCTAAGCTTGTTTTTAATAATACAAATATAAATATGCATATAATAAATAATAATGCTAATAATAATAACATTATACAAAAGAAAATTGTTATGAATGAACTGAAAAAGCCTCCCGAGATGAAGAAATCATAAAAGCAGTGATTTTTCATATTTATGTAGGCTAGAAAATAATATGTTTTGTAATATTTTAATCATTTATATTTATATCCTATATATATCCTTAATATTTAAATTTTTTCATATGTAAAGATATTTGCCTATTGCTCTCTTGTGTGTATTAAGCAGTGTGTGAGCGAGGCGCAACTCTGCGCCGAAGTTTAGACCGGGTTTGTTTTGGTCTAATGAAAAATCTATTATAGATTCTCAAAATAGCAACGCGCCAGCAATGCGCCTCAGAACGCCTTCCTTTTTAGACCAGAACGCCTATGAGCGCACATATGAGCGCTAAAGCATTTGCTATTTAAACAGCGTAGCGCCTCAAAACGACTCTTGCGCCAAGCTGAAACTACCAAACACGTATTGCTCCGCGCCTTGCGCCACATTGCGCCGGGTGTATGATAGGGCCCTAAATGTTTCTCTCCTGTCGCCCTCCAGCTGTTTTATCATCTGCAAAGAGAGCGATGTTTCTCCGAGCCGAGAGCTCGTTTCTACACGGCTGAAGTGGCCAGTGCCATTGGATACCTTCACTCTCTCAATATAGTTTACAGGTCAGTACTCTGCAGACATTTTCTTTCATATGACATTATTGACTTATTCTTCAATGCGGAAGTGTGCTCGTTTTTGTGATTGTTTTAGAACTTCTGGTTCAGTTGACTATGGGAAAAATGACTAGGAATAATAAACAGCATAACACGGTCAAACTACTCACTTAAAAAACAAGTGTTTGCATGACTAAACAGACAAAATAGAATAATATAATAAGAACATATCAGTTTGCTTCATCAAGTAGCGTAACGAGCTGTTGTTAACGTCTAAAGCAGGGGTGTCAAACTCAATTCCTGGAGGGCCGAAGCCCTGCACAGTTTAGTTCCAACCCTGCTCCAACACACTTACCTGTAGGTTTCAAACAAGCCTGAAGGGCTCAATTAGTTTGATCAGGTGTGTTTAATTAGGGTTGGAACTAAACTGTGCAGAGCTGCGGCCCTTTTGGAACTGAGTTTGACACCTGTGGTCTAAATACTAATGGAAGTGAATGAGATCGAATGTCTCGAGCCAAAAAGATTCAAACAGCTGTGCCCTCTCGTACACGGAGAATAAGGTGAATAATCTACATTACTCTTACTCAAACATCTTCATGTTCCCATCTAGAGATCTCAAGCCAGAAAACATTCTGTTAGACTACCAGGTAAGAACATTATTGAGGACTCCTGTAGTATACGCATAAGGTCTAGCAAACAGAGTTTGATGGTGTGTTTCTCTTCTCTTTCAGGGCCACGTGGTGTTGACAGATTTCGGCTTGTGTAAAGAAGGTATAGAGCCGGAAGGAACCACAACCACCTTCTGCGGCACTCCAGAGGTGGGAAAGACATTCATTCATTCATTTTCTTTTCAGCTTAGTGCCTTTATTAATCAGGGGTCGCCACAGCGGAATGAACCGCCAACTTATCCAGCACATGTTTTACGCAGCAGATGCCCTTCCAACTGCAACCCATCACTGGGAAACATCCATACACACTCACACACTACAGACAATTTAGCCTACAAATTTCACCTGTACCGCATGTCTTTGGACTTTGGAAACCAGAGCATCCGGAGGAAACCCACGCGAATGCAGGGAGAACGCAAACTCCTCACAGAAATGCCAGCTGAGGCTCGAACCAGAAACCTTCTTGCTGTAAGGCGACAGCACTACCTACTGTGCCACCACGTCGTGGTCAGTGGTGGAAACCAGGGCACCTGGAGAAAACCCATGCCCACTCAGGAAGAGCATGCAAACTCCACACAGAAACTGACCCAGCTAGGGCTCAAACCAGCAACGTTCTTGCCGTGAGGCGATTGTGCTACCCACTGTGCTACCATGCTGCCCATTAGATGTACTATACTCAACTATTTATAAAGCTGTACAATAAAGTACAGAAAGCAGTTCAGATGTGTGATTCAGTGCCTATACCAGTACCTCACTTCTTTGTGAGTGTATTAAAATGAGCAAAGTTGGTCCTAATTTACATGCAGCCTTATAAAGAGAGCTGTGGGGTAGTACTTTTTTTTTTTGGAGATACTCTGCCAATTCTATACCCTTGAGCAGGATACCATATTTCCAGTGTGTTGCATGTATAGCTGAGAGATAATCTGGTTTATATGTGAAATGTGTTGTGTGATTCTCAGTATCTGGCACCTGAAGTCCTGCGGAAAGAGCCGTATGACAGGACGGTGGACTGGTGGTGTCTCGGCGCTGTGCTCCATGAGATGCTTTACAGCTTAGTAAGTCTGTTCATTTATACACTCGCTTCCTTCGCTTAAACTTAAAGAGCCCCTATTATGCATTAAAAAGGGTCATATTTTGGTTTTGGGGGTCCCCAACAACAGGATGATATCAAAAAGCACTTTCATGGTCTTATAATTTGCATGTATTTTTACCAAATTATCCCAGCGACTCCCATCAGATTCGTTCAGTGATTCTTTTGTTCCCTAACCCCTCCTTTGCGTGAGGCTAATCTGATCAATGACAGTCTGTTGCGAATAGTGGACAGCATTCAACGCAAGACAGAGACATTGAGTTTCTCAACATGCGTTCTTCAGCGGTCAAGACCGCAAGTACGGAGAACGCGTGAAACTTCCCGGATGTGTTCTTGATATCGAGGACGCACTGATGCAGACTTGAGCACCAAACTCGCTCTGGAAGTCCCAGAAGTCGTTGCGACTGGTGGTGGGAAGCGCTGCATTTTATCTAGATTTATTATTAAAGTTCATAGATATGAATTATTTACCTCAGGAGTTTCCCTAAATGAAACGGTGAAAGTAAACATTACCATGGACATCTTAATAAAGGAATAAACACATTAAGGGTTGTTTGTTTGCTGAAATTCGTATTAAAATCTGTTTTATTTATATTGTGCAGAGTATATTTATAATGTTTTATGCAAAGTATATATTTGAAAAAAGGGGGGAAACAATAAATCGTTGTATGAGTGCTGTAATGTTTAAATAATTTCCGTTTAAAACACGTGAAGGTCATGTGACCATCAGGAAGAACGCAGCATCTCATTTCTCAAAGGACGCGTTCTCTGCCCTCGCGGTCTCCTGAGTTCGTTCTTCCGAGGACACCTGGCAAGACCACTCTCCACAAAACACAAGTCTGTTCTCTGCGTTCTTGGAATTGAGAAACAGCCAGAGAGAAAAATGCCCACCACAGTCAGAGTGAAGTGTATGCGTGAGCATACCTGCCAACACTCGTTTTTCCTGGGAGTCTTCTGTATTTAAGACCAATCTCCCGCCACCCTTCTGTATTGTTATTTTTCCCGGAAAACTCCTGTAATTTCAAGCATTCCCCCCCATTTGTTCACTTCCAAAATCAACATTTCCAAATCATTTACTCCCCCACTTGTAATCCAAGATGTTTATTTCTTTATTGCTTCAATCAAAATCAAATGACGGTTTGGTTGTCTCAAGGGTTTGAACTTACAAACTGCAGGTTCAAAATGCTAAGTAACGGGTTTTAACTACTAAAACAATATGAAAATCTGAAATAAATAAATTCATATACTTTAACCACAGCCACAGCCTGTAAATGTAGCCTACAGGGGAAATACCAACCTACGTCACACATGACATCACACGGGTTAACCGCGTATAGCGGTTGCAAAAAAAGACCAGTTGCAATAGGAAACATGTCGTGGTGTGCTGTAGGATGCCAAATTCGCAAGTCCTAAAATAGAAAACTTTAATTTTACCGTCCACCACACTGCTTTAAATGCCAACCGCGGACGTCTAAGGCTAACAGCCATCATAAGAGCTGAATGGAGTGAGGACCTAATTAAAAATGCTCGACTCTGCAGTTCTCATGTTATATCAGGTAAGTTCACGCTATGCTAAATCATATACATTACTCTTTGTTGATTGGCGTAATAATTTCAGCAATAAGTTAAATATGGTTAATTAAACTGCGGACACTGAACGCTTAAAATGAAATGTTAAAGTGTACATTCGCATAACCTGCCATACAGGGGCAGTTCGCTGTCAGAATGCAGTTGTTTTGCTTGTTGATGATTACCCAGGCCTTGTACAGCTCTGTCTTCTTTCCTTGTCTATGGCTAGGCAGAATCTCGGTTTTTAGCACTACATGGAACATTATTTCTGGCACATGACCACACAGAACAACGTTGTTGGCATCCAAAGACTTGTAGGCCTTTAACTTCTCTCTTGTAAAATCACTTGGAGTTTCAATGAGAGAGTTGTATATTTGGGGCTGGATGCTTCATTTCGTCTTATCCAATATCCATTGGGGGGCTGCTATCGCAAATGGACCTGTCAGACGAACGCTGCTCACTTTAACGTTCATTTTGCTGAATAACTGTGCTTATCACTGGGTGACGAGCTGTTATAATACGCTGAAAGCATTATGTAAGTAATATATATATAATATGTAATCAATATAACTACTACTGTATATTACAACAACAAACTCTGTTCCGCTTCGGATATCCTTCCCTCGCTGTAAATGCTTGCTCTCCCGTTTTTTTTCTGCAACCTCAATGCATGCGCATCCCGAATGCTTACAAACTGGTAATTCGTCTATAGTTATAGTTTATTTAATTTCATTTTCTTGTCGTCTTAGTCCCTTTATTAATCCGGGGTCGCCACAGCGGAATGAACCGCCAACTTATCCAGCAAGTTTTTACGCAGCGGATGTCCTTCCAGCCGCAATCCCTCTCTGGGAGCATCCACACACACATGCATGTCTTTGGACTATGGGGGAAACCGGAGCACCCAGAGGAAACCCACGCGAAGACAGGGAGAACATGCAAACTCCACACAGAAGCGCCAACTGAGCCGAGGTTCGAACCAGCGACCTTCTTGCTGTGAGGCGACAGCACTGCCTACTGCACCACTGCCTCGCCCTATAGTTATAGTGTTATTTTTAAAGCTGCATTGAAACTGCAGATTGAAAGTTCAACCGACTAAGCACCACTGAAGTCCACTGCACTAATGTCCTCAAAAAAAAAATCCCCAAAAAACAAAGATTGCGGCTGACAATGGAGTGAGTAAATGATTGAGAAAAGTTGAGCTGCTGTAATGGGATACACTGATGTTTTTTTCTGTACAACTGTGATGAGCAGCCTCCATTCTACAGCCGGGACGTGTCTGAGATGTACGACGCCATCTTGCACAAACCTCTGCATCTGCCGCCGGGAAAGTCCGAGTCGGCCTGTCTGCTGCTGTACGGCCTGCTGCAGAAAGACCAGCACCGGCGGACTGGAGCCATCGCTGACTTCGTGAGTGACCGCCTGGTGTTTTGTTTTTGTCACTGTGAAACTGTTTATCAATTCAACATTATCGCTGTTAATGTGTCAACTGTTGTGGTTTTTGCAGTTGGAGATTAAAAACCATGTGTTCTTTGCCCCCATAAACTGGGACGACCTCTACCACAAGCGAATCAATCCTCCATACAACCCCAATGTGGTAAGAGCTCTTACAGACTCCCTCTGGGCTTTAAAGAGACTGTTCACCCAAAAACAATTTCCTCATCATTTGCTCACACTCAAGTGTTGGAAGATTTTACAAGTTTCTTTTTTTCTGTTCAAGATATTTTGAGGAATGGTGGGGGGAAAGCAGCCATTCGTTATGTTTGCAATCAAAGATGCAAATTAGACTGGAATATCTCATATAAAAGTGAATAAGCAACGTTTACATCCAATGAGTCAAAGAGAACAAAAGTGTACTTCCTGATAAACTGGTGCCAAACTGAAAAATTGGAGTTTGCTGTGGTAGGAGAAGCCACTCTGGGACTTCTGTAATATATGACTTGTGGCTTAGAAAACCTTTTTGGGAGTGCAGATGCTTAAGAGAAAATAATAATAATATAACAATACAAATTTTTACAACCCAGGCTCATTCTGAAAATGTAGTCCAGCGGACATTTCTGGAGACGGCGAAATGCGTCCTGGGAGGTACGTATTTTTGCAGTTTTTGTTTTCGCAAATCCACGAGAGGCTGCTGTGTGCTCTTTTTCGCATCTCAAATGCCTCTCGCAAATGCCGTTTGCGCCCGTGATGTTTTCGCGTAAATCCACCAGAGGCCGCTGTCGACCGACTGAATGATTGACTGGGCGACCGGCCAATCGACCGACTCACCCTCCTCCTTCCCTGAACCCAACTAATTTTACCGATTGACCCGCCCACCCGCTTACTTCCCCTAAACCCAACCGACGGTTTACAAAAGCCATCCAGAAGAAGAAAAGCCCTTGTCTGATTTTTACCACGTTTTTGGATTTTACCACATTCTCACCCTGCTGTTCACTTGTTCGTTTTATTTTTTGGATTCTGTTTTTGTCTCAACTGATTTCTGGAATCGCTCTCTTCCGGACTTGAACCCAGTCGTTGTCATCAGCGCGGTCAGCTCCTCTCTGCGTTTCAAGTCTGCTAATGTACACGATGAGCTAATCGGACAGACTGGTTGCTGCAGGAAAGCCCTCCACAAGGGGCGTCGCCCCTTAGGTTGCAAATAACGGTACAATGTGCTGTGCGTCAAGTATGATGACAGTAAATAATATTTGACCAGATATTTTTCAAGACACTTCTATACAGCTTAAAGTGAAATTAAAAGGCTTAACTAGGTTATTAGGTTAACTAGGCAGGTTAGGGTAATTAGGCAAGTTATTGTATAACTATGGTTTGTTCTGTAGACTATCGAGAAATATGTAGCTTAAAGGGGCTAATAATATTGACTTTAAACTGATTTCAAGATAATTAAAAACTGCTTTCATTCTAGTCAAAATAAAACAAATCAGACTCTCTCCCAACCCAAGCTCATTCTGAAAACGTAGCCCTGCAGACGTTTCTGGAGAGCGTGATTTATGTGGCCGGAGGTACGTATGGCCGCATTTCGTTTTTTCGAGCGAACGCTATAGGCAGTGTGACGCCACTCCTCTTCTTATCGCTTGCCGGCTGTGACTGCTCACCTCCGTGTGAAGGGCTTTCCCGCTGCAACCAGTTTGTCCGCTTAGCTCGTAGTGTTACGTCGGCGAAGTGGAGGCCCGGAGGAGGATGAGCCAACCGCGGTGACAACCGGGTTCGAGTCCGGGGAAGAACGGCTCCAGAAATCAGGTAAGATGAAAAACAGAATCCAAAAAAATAAAAGCGAACAAGTTTGTGACGGGACGAGAATGCGGCGAAATCCGAAAACTAGGTCAAAATCGGATGATGGCGTTTGCTTTTTTTTTTTCTGGACGGCTTTTGGAAATCGTCACTTGGATTTAGGGAAGGAGGAGGAGGAGGGTGGCTGGGTCGGCCGATTGACCAGCCGCCTAGTCTATCGTTCAGTCATTCAGTCAGTCGGACAGACGGTCGCTCGACAGCGGCCTCCGGCGGCTTTTTACGCGAGAACAGCGCGGACGCAAATGGCGTGCGCTCCCGAGAGGCATTCGAGACGCGAAAAAATGTGGCACAGCGGCCTCTCGCGGATTCGCGAAAACAAAAACTGCACAAATACGTACCTCCTGGGACGTATTTCGCAGTCTCCAAAAATGTCCGCGGGGCCACATTTCCACAATGAGCCTGGGTTGCTTTCTCCAGAAGTTAAACATTTATCAGAAATACTATGAAAAATTCCTTGCTCCATTAAATATCACTTGATAAACATTTGAAAAAATAATAAGTATTTCATGGAAGGGCAAATAATTTTGCCCTCAAATGTAGATCTGGCATTTAGACATCAATATACATTCAATATATGACAACTATATTGCTTTAATATGGGCTACAAAGCACTGTATTTTCCTAAAGATTTGAAGCGCGTGTGCTCCTTTGGAGAAAAACTTCATTCTTGAAACACAGCAGGTTGTGTCATAATAAGTGTGTGTTGTTTCTCCAGAGAGGCCCGGCAGACCTCCAGCACATTGACCCAGAGTTCACCAGAGAGATGGTGCCACACTCAGTGGGCCGCACGCCGGAGCCCACGCCCAGCCTGGCCACCAGCAGCTCCAACGCCTTCACCGGCTTCTCCTACATCTCTGGAGAGGATGGCTTTCTCTGAGAACAGATGGAGGTTTCTGGACACACACACAAAAACATGAACTGTGAAGCAGAAATACTAGAAGAGCTCTGAGAGGTCGGACTCATTCTGCATCCGTAAAACACACACTGTAAAGAATATACGGAAATTAGCAGTTTTCCATATTGTATGATTCGTGTTTTTATTTTTCCACATTTATTAATGCTTTTGAATTGCATTATGGGATCTTAATCTTACTTCCAACATTTTTAACCTCCTAAAATTTAGAAAAAGTGGCTTATATTGACATTTTCAATAGTTTAAAGTGATATATTGTACAGCTGAAGTCGGAATTATTAGCCCCCCTGAATTATTAAACAGCTTGTTTATTTTTTTTTCTCCCAATTTCTGTTTAGAGAGATTTTTTTAACACATTTCTACACATAATAGTTTTAATAATTAATTTCTAATCACTGATTTATTTTATCTTTGCCATGATGACTAAATAATATTTGACTAGATCTCATTTGAATTTAAAGCGACAGTCACCAAAACAATTTGGATCAAAGCATTAAAGGGACGGTTTCAACGAATTAAAAAACATTGTTTGTCATTTATTTTAAGCTAAAACCTCAAACACACTCTAGAGACATCAGACACTCAAATTACTTTTTGTAAAAAAAGGGGAAAAAGGTCCGTTTTAAAGCTGAATATTAAGCATTATTAGTTTTCAGTGTCACATAATCCTTTAAATATTCTAGTGTCATGATCTGCTCAAGAAGAAACATAACTATTGTTGCTGTTGTCAGTTTGGGAAGTTGAACACACACAGTACAAAAGTACAAATACATGAATTTAATTTTATTCATAACAATTTATCAAGAGTGAAAAAAAAATACATTTGAAATGTGAAAAATATTGCAAATAAAAGCTATTATTTTGAACATCCATTTTTTAAATCAAGAAAAAAAAATCATTTCAGCACAAGCAATTATTAGTGAATTTGTTTCAATAAAAACAGATCATAATAGAAGAGCAAATCATCATATTACAGTGATTTCTGAAGGATCACTTGACACTGAAGACTGAAGTAATGATGAAACAATTCAGCCTTAAATTGCACTAATAAATTACATTTGAGACTACATTTAATACACGAACAGTTATTTAAAACTGCAATAATATTTCACAATTATTTAGACTATCTTATTTAACATTTATAAGATGTTTAACAAAATACCAATAAAGAGAAGAAAAAATTAGACAGAATAACTGACAATAATCCCACCCCCACCCTCAGAAAAAAAAGAAAGAAAAAACAGAAGGGATCGTCTCTGTTACCAAATATATATATAAATATATACACACAACATATGTAACATATTGACCTTATTCTAAAATGCAGAAGTGCGCCTGTTTTCGCGATTGTCTTAGAACTTCCGTTTCAGTCGCCTATGGGAGAAATGACTAGGAATAATAAACGGCAAAAAACGGTCAAACTACTTGCTCTACAAACAAATGTTTGCCTGACTATACAGACCAAGTAGAATAATATAACAAGAAAATATCAGTTTGCAACATCAAACAGCGGAACGAGCAGTTTTTAATGTCTAAAAATGAATGGAAGTGAATGAGACCGGAAGTCTCGTGCCAAAAAGATTCAAATGGCAGCGCCCGCTCGTTTGCGGAGGATAAGGTCAATAAACAAGAGATGACAATACTCACATATTTACAAAGCCAGTGACATGAATATAAAGGTTAGAAATAAAGATGAGAGTTTAACTTAAAATGCTAGATTCCCAAGAGTCTTAAGATAGTTCCCCATGTGGTTTCAGCTTTTTTATGTGATGTTTTAAGACGTAGTCGTTCCACTCGTTCAACCATAAGAATATTTCACAGTTTAACAGTATGTTTCATCAAATGAATGCAGCCTTAGTGAGCAGAATTGCCTTCTTTTAAAACATTGTACTGATTGTGAAAATTGTAAACGTTTGACTGGTAGTGTATGTGTATGTATACACAGTTGAAGTCAAAATTATTAGCCCCCCTGTTTATTTTTTTCCCTGATTTCTGTTTAATAGAGAGAAGATTTTTTTCAGCACATTTCTAAACATAATAGTTTTAACAACTCATTTCTAATAACTGATTTATTTTATCTTTGTCATGATGACAGTAAATAATATTTGACTAGATATTTTTCAAGACACTTCTATACAGCTTCAAGTGAGATTTAAAGGCTTAACTAGGTTAATTAGGGTAACTAGGCAGGTTAGGGTAATTATGCAAGTAATTATATAACAGTGGTTTGTTCTGTAGTTTATCAAGAAAAAAATATTGCTTAAAGGGGCTAATAATTTTGACCTTAAAATGGTGTTTTAAAAAAATCAAAAACTGCTTTTATTCTAGCCGAAATAAAACAAATAAGACTTTCTCCAGAAGAAAAAATATTTTCAGACATACTGTGAAAATTTCCTTGCTTTGTTAAACATCATTTAGAAAATATTTTAAAAAGGAAAAAAAAATTCAAAGGGGGGGCTAATAACTCTGACTTCAACTGTACATGTGTGTGTGTGTGTACACATGTTTTATTGTGTAAGGACACTGCAGGAGACATATATTTGTTGATTGCACCACTGGAAAAACAGCTAATTGCAAAATCTGTTGATTTCTGATCTTGCTGGTCTCTGTGGATCTGATCTGCGTGCCTCAGGCCACATCCACATCCAGTGCGCTTTATCTGATTTCTGAAACGAGCGTGGACAAATCACACACTTTACGCAAACCGTCCTGTAGTCAGTGCTCTTTTATGAAAACGTCGCATAATCAAATCTACATTATATATGATCTGTGAATGTTATATGACTGTGCCTTAATATGAAATCATGTATTAATGCCTACAGTAAGTCTTGAGAAGTGTAACTGCATTGAAAAATGGCATTACACTTATTTTTTTCCTCATTATAGAGACATTCTGCTAATATAAATGTTACATATTTTTGTTAAACGTTGAATAAAATCAGTGAAAGAGGTTACAGTGTGTGAAACATCAGAAAGAATTCACTGTAGTGCTACATTTTCCTCTGCATGTGGCACTTTTGTTTCTGTTTGACACAGGAGTAAAGATTTCAGGCAAGAAATCACATGTAGAAATCTGGTATATGACATACAAGTTCCTATTTGGATTTCATTCATTCATTCATTTTCTTTTCGGCTTACCCCCTTCACTAATCTGGGGTCGCCACAGTGGAATGAACCACCAACTTGTCCAGCATATGTTTTTATGCAGCGGATGCCCTTCCAGCTGCAAACATCCATTCACACTCATACACTACGGACAATTTAGCCTACCCAATTGACCTGTACCGCATGTCTTTGGACTGTGGGGGCAACCGGAGGAAACCCACGCGAATGCAGGGAGAACGTGCAAACTCCACACAGGAATGCCAACTGACCCAGCCGAGGCTCGAACCAGCAACCTCCTTGCTGTGAGGCGACAGCACTACCTACTGTCCCATTGCGTCACCCATATTTGGATTTCACATACATAAAATATGTCAAATATGCAACATATTTCAAAATGTTTACAGAACCATCGGATATTACAAAGACGAACATATGTATTCAAATATTTAGCTATAATTGTATGTGTTCATATATAAATATTGAGATTTGGTGATTTGAACATTTCCCAGCACTTTGTTGTGGCTGGAAGGGCATTCGCTATGTAAAACATATATTAGAATAGTTGGTGGTTCATTCCACTGTGATGACCTAAATAGAGACTAAGCTAAAAAAATTAATGAATGATTGATATTTGAACATATGATCTCAATAGTGATGCTATGGCGCAGTAGGTAGGTCCTGTGTGGAGTTTGCATGTTCTCCCTGCATTCGTGTGGGTTTCCTCCGTGTGCTCCGGTTTCCCTCACAGTCCAAAAACATGCGGTACAGGCGAATTGGGTTGGCTAAGTTGTCCGTAGTGTATGAGTGTGAATGAGTGTTTGTGGATGTTGTCCAGAGATGGGTTGTGGCTGTAAGGTCATCCGCTGTGTAAAACATATGCTGGATAAGTTGGCGGTTCATTCCGCTGTGGCGACCCCGGATTAATAAAGGGACGAATGATCTCTAAATTTATATATATTTAAACTTATTTACATATTAAAATGTATATATTAAACAGCCATTTTTGCAATATTCTGCAATATGTTTCATTTATAGCATATATTTTATATATGTGAAATCCAAATATGAACTTGCCTTTCATGTGTAAATCATGTATATTTCCGTGTATCAGATTTCTACAGGATTGCACTCTTACACTATTTTGAAATATATCTTTTCAGTATGACTTCAATGATGATTTTAATAAGATCATACATTGGTCTAATGTTAACTGGCATAAATTAAATACAATAAGCTGTTCTAAAATGAACGGTTTACAAGATAGTCTGTGACAATAGACACAAACTGAAACCAGTTGATGTAATATTCTGATTTAAATAAAGATTTTGACTTTAAGATTGTTAGAATATTATTTTTATATACATTATAGATTATTTGCAAACTAGCCCAGCCGAGGCTCAAACCACCAACCTTCTTGGTGTGAGGCGACAGTGTTAAACACTGAGCATCTGTGTCGCCCCCAGCTGCTGATATATCTCCTAAATTTTGAAGTATGTGGGAAAACAGACAGTAAAAAGGGAAAACAAACGTTCAGCGCCATCTAGAGTACAATTAAATACACTTTTGCCAAAACACAAAACTGTTCCTGAGTGATTTCTTCAATATCTACTAACACTGGTAAATGTTTGACAACACACTTGGAATCAAAGATTAGTTTTTTTGTATTTACTTTTAAAAAGTTTTCATCACACCACTCAACAAATGAATCAATTTCAGAAAAATAAACAGAAAGGCGATTTCGCTGCTGCGCATTTATACGCAAACACAAGAGTGTGCTGTTGTGAACGGCTGTGCTGCGCAAGGCGGAGCGCAGATATGACGCACTAGAACACAGAAGCTGTGCGCGCGGGCTCACTGGGCAGCAGTTGGAGGTTACACAAGTGAGGCGCACAAAACCACACACACAAACAAGAGTCTGCGGACGATTAAACATAACAACACCCCACAAAACTGTGCGGTTTCCTCCTGAACTATCCGTTACGTTGTCGCAACCTCTGGACGACTTCGGAGACATGCACAGGTAAGTGTTTGGGTAAGAATGTAATAACGTTAGTGCAACTGTAAAACTATTTCATAAACTGTTACACTGCTCTCATTTGTATCAAAACAAACAGCAGCCAAGTGTCCATGTACATAAATTACTGCTCCGATTAAGCAATTTGTCAGCAAAAGCAGACTAACGTTTGCCGTTGATCCAACTGCCGTGTCGAGGATATTCGGTATATTTTGGTATGAAATGTGCTGTGTGCAGATTCTGTTTTACACAAAAGATCTTGTCGATTAATTCTGAATTATTCGTTATTACAAACCTTAAAATGTATACTGAAAAATGAAAGCTCAGTGTAGCGTTTAACGTCGTGAGTTGGTGGTCAGTTTTCCTTTAAACTTAGCTAAAATGCTAACCATGAGTTCAGTCAAAAAGCGCTCACTGTCGTCTGTGAAGTGCACTAACATCAACTTTGGCTTTTTATTGTGTTAAGAACAGTTTCATCACGCATATAGTTTGATGTTTGTTATCTGTAATGTTAACTTACGTCTTTTTTAATTAGTAATTGTAATACGCGATACTCGCTAACGGTCGTAGATGTGTCCCATAATGCAGCGCGGTGGGGAAAAAAGCAACCGAGATTAACTAAATCTACCCGCATGCAGACCTACACCCAAGTTAAGTCAGGGTTCAACGCTAAGGAGTTTTTCTACTGGTCTGATCAGGCCAGTGGTTCAGATTTTTACCTTCCCTGACAAAATTTTACTGGCCCTACCAAAAAAAAAGGGAAGTTAATAGCTATTTTTAAGTCGCAGATTTTAAATAATGTGTCAACAAAGTCTGTGACTCTAGAATTTCAATACCTAACAAATGGTTTTGAAAAGAGCAGAGGAAAATTAGGTATTTAGTTGCAGTTCGAAATTATTTAATAAAGGTGGCTGACTTATCAAACTGACGGCAAACTGTGTGAAACATCATTCATTTTTTAGTTGCGTTGTTCACATGTAAATGTCTGCTTCCAGGACGTCAGAAACAGACCTTTTCTTTTAGCCTTATAATTTGATGTTGCCGCCATGTTGCTGTTTCATCGCTGTACTGGTTGTCACCTGGTTACAGAAAAAAACCATGCTCAAAACATCAAATCAGATAAGAGGAACCGGAAAGCAATATGGTGATTAAGACATCACAGAGAAGGTAGTGTTTAAAGACTTAAAAGCACAAACTTAAAATGCACGCAATTGACAAATAGTCGCGGAAAAATTTAATGTTAGTGACAAAGCAGCACTGTCCCGATCGGCCCAGTAATGATCCTGTCTACTGTCCCAAGCGTCTCTCACGCTGGCCCTGGGCCACCGGGCAGTCCTTATTGTTGAGCACTGCAAGTTATTATTATTTTTATTTTTTATTATGCGAAAAATTTGAATATATGATCACAGTACATTAAAAAGAAAATGGAAAGACGCAAGGGAAGTTTGTTTATATAGCACATTTCATACACAGTGGCAATTCAAAGTGCTTTACATAAACGAGAATAAAAAGGCAAAGTATAAGAAAATAAAAAAATAAACAATAGAAATGATTAAACAGATTAAAATGTGGTAAAACAGATTCTAAAAGAATAAAAAAAAGAAAATAACAAAAAAAGGAAAACATTTTGTTAAAAGAAACAACAACAAAACAAAAACAAATAGAAGGGGTGTACAAAAAAGTGTAAGAACTCTGAAAAAGAGAAACAAAAAATAATGCCATGGGTGATATAAATTACAACAGATAATTTTAAATCTGTCTTTAAGTATGGTCATAGTAATCTATTAAAGGTTATAAAATACAGTCAGCTGGGTATTATAGATGAGAGACAATACTGTAAGATTCACGTAGTGTTATTGATTTTAAAGCATTACATTGCCGGAGTTTGAGATTGTATCCAAAAACATGTTCAAATCTTTACAAAAATAAGAAACAAAACAAATTACAGACAAAAATGTGCATTTGTGCATAAAAAAGACTGCCAGTAAAATAAATAAATGTTTCAGAAAATATGTATCTTTTACTTTAAATACATGATAAAACCAAATAAAACATCCATGTATAACAAAGAAAAAATACCTTAAAGATCGACACATATACATAAACAGAATTCTTTCCAAAAAATCTTAACATTGGCACATTCCCAAAAAAGATGATCGACAGATTCATCTAATATCCCACAGAAGGAACAAAGGGGATCCTTCTCAAGAAGCTTTTAAAAAAAAAAAACCAACAACAACAAAGAAAACTATCCACTTAGTGATCACAAGTAAATAGTGATGTATGCTGTTTCTGTTGAGGCAAACACTAAACAACCATTAAACAACAATATAAATTTCACATTCACAGATATGGTATGCTGTAAATAAATGATGGTTTTATTCGTTGTAGTAAGGCAAATCTTTCCAAATTTTAGGTTCAGTAAACTTATCCAGTGGTTCATTTAAGTCATCTCATAGAAGTGCAGCTGCTTAAAAGGTAAGGAATGTTGCATGTTTGATTTGATTCATGTTTTTCTCTGTTCCCTTATTGAGCCTTAACAACTAATGATCAATGTCATTAAAAAGCATGCATTCAGTCTTGCAAGTTGCTGGTTTATTGAAGTATATAGCAGGATTCTGCAGTTTTACTGAATAGGATTGAGTAGGGCTGCACAATATATCGTTTAAGCAGCAATATCACAATGTGTGCATCTGCAATAGTCACAGTGTCCGGCCACAAAAAAAAAAGATAATGTTTGTAAATTTAAGCAAGATTACATTAATATCATTAACTGTATATTACTCAATATCTGTACCTAAATACTGTTAAGCTTTCCAGAAAACTATAATTCACTTTATTATTTGCTATATTTTTGTTTGTTTATGCTGGTAATTTAATTGTTATATTCCAAAAAATCACCCCAATCATTCTAAAATTAAAATTGTTTCCTAAAAAAGCTGTTTAAGTCAATGTATTCACATCACAATATATATCAGTACAAAAGTTAAAGTTAAAAATATCATAGTGTTAGATTTTTCCAATATCATGCAGCCCTATTATTGAGCTTAAATAATGGGTTCCTTTGTGTGCAGTAAATTCAGAATAAACTCAAATGCCACATTTAGGCATATTAATCACAATTCTGCATCCTGTTTCATTCCTCTCTGGATTTGCAGAGTAATGGAGACTAAAGTAAATCTTAAAACTAAGTGTGGGACTGATCTCGAGTCTGAGATGGATGAGGATATTGAGCGAACAAAGAGCAAATGGACATCAGCAGAGGTGAGCTTATTAAATTATTATTATTATTTAATTTATATTTTTATAAAAAGCTCATTTTACAAGTTTCCTAGAGGTAAATACTTGACTTGAACCATTTTTGAATCCATTCAGCAGATGTCTCGATGGGGTCACAATTAGCTTAGCCTAGTATATTGAATTTAATCAGATTTCAGCATTAGCATTTCATTCAGAAAGAGTTTTGATAATTGTCCTCATCTAAAGCTCGAGTCTTCTGTAGTTACGTCGTGTAATAAGATGAAAACTTGATCTTTAAATAGGAAAATTATTAAAACTTTTTTCTTTTTTTGCTAATGGTCAAATCCGATTCAATTCATCATGCTAAGAAATCGGCTGAATAGATTCAAAAATGGTTTAATGTTCAACTTTAAGAGACCTGTAAAATTAGACTTATACAATGTTCCCTTTAAAGAGTAGGGTTTTTTTGGTTCATGAGACTACAATTTTTTCATTTAAATTTTATTTATTAAAAAAATATATTGGTTATTAAGTTAACTTTAATTCCTTATAAAAAAGAATATTCCCCTTGGTCAAATAAGATCTCTTGAGATTGAGCCTTTGCTTACAAACAAGCTTATTTTTAAATGAAATAAACTTTTGTTTCATGGCTTACCTTTTAGGATGAAAGTCTTGCAGCCCTGGTGGGGAAGTATGGAAGGAGACAGTGGGAACTGATATCATGCTCTCTACCTGTGAGTGATTTTAAAGTATACATTTATAAAATACTAAAAGAAGTGTGTGAATATTTGTGGTTGAACATTAAAATCAATGCTAAATTCAGTGATCCGAACTATCATCAAAGTTAGTATTTTAAGTAAGTGGGATACATGGACGTATAATAAGTTGTATGAAATAAATGCTGGCTTTTCACATAGATTGTTAACACATTTTAAGACCAGATTTGATCAAGTTACTTTGACCAGATGTCATATTAGACATTCAGAAGTTTTTCCAGGATATATGTTAGAGCTTTTATCATATATATTAAAATAAAAAAATAATATCTAAATGGATCTTGTTGTTTTTTCATAGTTTATTTTTAATCAAATTGATTTTGTGATGACAACACTCGTTGTTGTTGTTGTTGTTGTTGATGTGGCCTTGTGGATGTGTATTTACAGGGACGCACTGCGCAGGACTGTAAATACAGATTCACGGTTGTCTTAGATCCTGAGCTTGTTAAGGGAACCTGGACTAAAGAAGAAGATGAAAAGGTGAATAAATAAATGAAGTGTTAAAACTGGACAAGCATAGTTTACAAGCACATTAGTGTTCAAAAAGTCACATAAATGGACCGAATAAAGCTTAAAGGGGTAGTTCACCCAAAAATGAACCTTTCCTCATCATTTACCCTCCGTCATCTGGTTTTAAACCTTTCTTTCTTTTGTTGAACACAAAGGAAGATCACTTGAAGAATGGTGGTTGCTGACTGAGTTTCAGAATAGGAAAAAAAACTATGGAAGTCAATGTGTGCCATCTACCAGCATTCTTCTAATGATCTTCTTTTGTGTTCAACAGAAGAGTGAGCAAATGGCAGAATTTTCATTTCATTGCATCAAAAGCTATCTAACCCATGTTTTCTTCTTTATGTGTAGCTCATTCAGCTGGTGTCCTTGTATGGTGACAAGTCATGGAGCATAATTTCAAAGAACCTAAAAGGGCGAAGAGGCAAGCAGTGCAGAGAGCGATGGCACAATCATCTGGACCCGTCTGTCATCAAGACACCCTGGACGGCAGCGGAGGATCTAATAATCATAAAATGCCATTGTTTGCTGGGATCCCGTTGGGCACAAATAGCAAAGTTTCTCCCAGGAAGGTATTATTGCTTTTTTTTTTAAATATGTTGTTTTTGTAATAAAATTTGTTAACTTTTTTCTGGTCATAAACCATTTAAAGAGACAGTTCACCCAAAAATGAAAATTTACCCACACTTGTTTTAAACCTTTATAAATTTCTTTTTGTTGTTGTTTTTGAGCACAAAAGAAGAAATTTGAAGAATGGTACAAACCAATTGCAGAATGCTGCACAATATGACAAAAATCTCAAATCACGATATAATAGTACTGGGCTGATAAAACGGTATGTGATATGGTTGATCGCGGCAGGTCTCTCATCAGTAATCATTAGTAAGCAAATCGGATTAATTCAAACTCAAGCACTATAATTCAGCTGGGCTCAATTATCTCTGAGCTCAGGGTTCTCTCCAGGGACAGCATGCCAAACCTGCTAATATTATCATGCAATATTTAAGTGTGAATTTTTGGAAAATGTTTCCCATGAAGCGCCACAGTTTTATTAAAATATGTCCTTGGAAGAAATGCCAATAAGCTTGGGTTATTTCCAATCAAGATGCATGGCTTGGGAGCGACGTTAAAAAAAATATATATATTGAGAATGCGGGGTGAATGTTATATATAAATGTTAATAATGTATGCACTTGTTATTTGCTTTTTCTCAGTTTAAAGTCCTACTGTAGATTGTAAATTGTTATAGTAGGGCTCTGGAACTGACCAGCATTTGGAATGTTTTGCTAGGACTGATAATTCGATCAAGAACCATTGGTATTCCACCTTAAAGCGTAAAATGGAGAGGGGCACCTACAAGATGGAGAGTCTTGATTTGAGTGATCTTGGACACCACCAGAAATCCAAGGAAACATCTACTTCGTCAAGTCCTGAAAAGGTATCGTATGGCTTTACCTTGCACTAGAGGCTGTTCTTAAAGTATTGAAAGTTGATTAATTAATTTAGAGAAATTTAACTTAAATAAACTTAAATGCTATTTTACAAGGTATTACATTTTGTGTAAATGTAATAAAGCTTACCTTAAACTACACTGCATCCCAAAATTGGCAAATTAAATTATGAAACTGATAAAATCCTGCTAGACTTGACGTCATGCTGCTTTTTAACAAAGCCAACACAGTTATTCCTGCTGTTCTTTAGGTGCCACCTACTGGATAAGCATTTTTATTCAGTATATAAATAACGTTTTAGTTAAAGATTAGATTTTTACAATCATATTTAGTAAATATACTGCAAGCTCAATTGTTGGCAATGTTACTGGTTGAAACTTAAAGTGGCGATGAGGTCAGAGTCTTAATATAAAAGAGTATTAAATAAAAGGTATTGAATTTTTCTCAGATTCCTGTATATACCCTGAAATCCAAATTTTGGCTAGCACTAGATCTTGACATTTTTTTTACATCTTAATAATTAGAAATGTGTGTTTCTATTTATGTTTTATTGGCATACAATGGATCACAAGAGTCAAGGTTCAGATCATATGGTATTTGTGTCAGTAATTGGACAGTTTTTAGGATCTGTGCAAAAAATAGCAGAATAACTAGAAATGTGAACCTACACTGGTCTCACAGTTCGGTTACGATTATCATGTCCTCGATTTGGTTCAATTTGATATTGGTAACTTCATCAGTGACAGTGAAAGACTGTTCAGCAAACTCACAAGCAGTGATTTGTGCACAATTATCTACTTTTTAAGTAGTAGGAGCATTTTATTTACTCGTCCTCCTTCGACATAGTATTTACAGCGACATCGCACATATCAGATAAATGACATCAGTATGTAATAACTGGTTATGATCTACTACTGAACCGATATCGAAATCTCCCCATCTGCATCACGGTGCACTAAAGAAACAATTAATTTTGACACCCCTAAAAATAACTGCTAAATAATTTTAATTTCACACCTTTATTAAATTTGAACATATGCCTTTCCAGCATGTGTTTTACAAAGCGAATGCCCTTCCAGCTGCAACGCAGTACAGGGAAACTGTGGACTGTGGAAGAAATTCACACCAACACGGGGACAACATGCAAACTCCACACAAAAATGCCAACTGAACCAGCCAGGACTCAAACCAGCGACCTTTTTGCTTTGAGGCGACAGTGCTAACCACTGAGCAACTGTGTCACTCTTATTCTTAACAAAACTGGATTTTTTAAAGTGAAATATGGATGAACTATGAAGTACTAGTGTCAATTGGGCGTGTTGATGTTTTAAATGTCATGTCAGACTATTGTATCACTGCAGTTGAAGAAGTAAATGTTGTTAAATGGCTACGCAGTCATTTTTAATGTTTGATCTTAATCCACAGTTGAAGAGCACACCAGAACCATTGTCTAAAACGAAACCGACGAAGAGCATGTTTTTAGAAAACAGCCTGAAGGCCAACGGTCCGCCCCTCTACAATTGCTCCTCTTCACCCTCCAGCTCCAGCAGCCCTCCCACTGTGCCCCCTCAACATAAAGCATATGTTGATGATGTTTTGCAAATGATTGCTGAGGACATGCTACCGCTAAACTTTTGTGAAGGCTGTGGGTTTCGTAAATTCATGAGTTCCGTTGGCCCTCAGCACCCACAGCTCTCGCAGCAGATGATAGCGTCACACCTGTATAATGAAGTGGAGAAGACCATCAAACCTCGGCTGATCCGGCAGCTCAGAAACTGCATATCTCTGAGCGTAGGCCATAATGTCGTTCACGTCACTGCCGACATCTGGGCGAACGAACACACAGAAACTCTTCTAGCCGTCCAGTTGCACTTTCTCGATGACGACTGGAACCTTCACAGGCCTACTGTGGCTTTTCGTCACTTGTCGAGTAAAGAATTGAATACAACAAGAATTGGCGAAGTTGAATCGGTTCTGTTAAGCTACGGGCTTTTCCCCCATAACATTGGTTATAGTATGATCCACGAAGCCAAGAACACTATTTCTACACACGATCTCTTCTGTGACTACAAAATCATGTATTCTGCACAGAAGAACGATCCGGACGAAGATGAATTATTGCGTTTTCTTGACGATCAGGTCGCCATCGATGATTTCTCCATAGCTGAGATGTCATCCACCAAACATCTGGACTGCATAACGACTCTGCTTCATTGCGTAATAAAGGGCGCATTGAGGAAGTCAAGAGTGGTTGAGCGAATACTTTTTGAGGTACAAAGTGTAGTGTCTTTTTTTCGCCGCAGTCCCTACTGGCTAGATGTTCTTACCAAGAAGTGTAAGCTCTCGCTATGCGGCTCTTACAGCACAAGTAGTCTTACCTGGAACTCTACCATCAGTATCATTCGAGAGATGATGCAGGAGTCAGTTTGGGACACCGTGATGGCTGTTCTGATTCAGGCACGCACCGAGGCAAACCACTGTCACATCTCTCCACCAGCAATTCATGTTGCGCGAGAGCAAGTCGTGGATCTGGTTACCTTGCTAGAGCCTTTTGAAGAGGTGGTCCAGTTGCTTCAGGATGATGGCATAACCCTGTCTCTCATCATCCCTTCCATCATCGGACTCGATAAAACACTAGAGATCAAGGACACAAAGTTTAGCCTCTTTTGCTCAGCCTTGCGCTGTGGACTTCGTACTTACTTCCAGCCTCTAATATTGCGAAGCGATCTGTTGCTAGCCACCGTCCTGGACCCACGAATTAAGCTGCAACCCTTCGACTGTGAAAAAGAGCAATTCAAAAGCACCTTGCTGTTTGTTCCTTCTAAACAGCGCGTGTCTTCGGTTGTAGAGTCGGCATTAGGGGACGCATACACTGCTGCAGAAATGAGCTGTGACAAAACTGCGGATTTACAGTCGTCAATAGTGCAGGAGCTGCATCATTATTTATCAGAACCCTTGGCGGATGGCAGCGTTTCTTTACAGGACTTCTGGAAAGGAGCGGCACGCTTCTCTCAGCTACAAAGCGTTTGCCGGACACTGTTGGCGGTCCCGGCTTCTTCAGGAGGATTTCGGAGACTGTTTCCTCTAGCGTCTCGTATTGTTCGTGCTCAGAGAAGCCGGCTGCCGCAGCATACGACAGAAAGACTCCTGCTGTATCGAGAGTCTCTGAAGAACAGCGGCAGAAGTGAAAAACATTGAGCTTTTTTTTCTTTTTAAAATAACTACAAATATATGATTTTTTTATTATTATTAAAATTATGGAGTGACTTTTCATGATCATGTCACAATAAAACTGTCATTGTCAAGCTTCATCTGCCCACCATTTCTGATTGTCTGTAACTTGATTATCTTTGGTTGATATTGATTCAAAACAATGGACAAGCATTGTGCAGTACTGCAAGGCACTATTTCAAAACACAGTCAGCCAAACAAGCATATGCAGAGCAAACTAAGGGTGCCTCCACACCTGTGAATCGATTCATTTGTTCCGAAACAGGGATTACAGTGTTGCTCTTTGTTCTTGGTGTGGTTCGCTTTCACATGGCAAAGTTTCTAAACGGACTTAAATAGCTAAAACAAGTCATGTGCGTGTAAACTCTCCTTACATTGGTCAGGGTTTCATGGTTTATTTTGCAGAGTCCCGCTCAGCTGTCATGCATCCTTAATTTAATTTATGGCAATGAGCATTAAGACATTATAAGCGGAAAGTGGTGACGCCCACAGACATTGTCACTAGATATAAATCAGAGATTAGACTCTCATATAGAGTTCTTGGCTAGACTGCAGTTCAGTCAATGTTCCTAATGGATAAACAGCTCCTGTTAATAGTTCAGCATGCTTTCACTGTCGTATTTGACATGAAACACACATTTACCAGTAGGAATGACATCTCGCCCTACTCATAATTCTCTCTTCATATAGCCGTATGTGCCTATTACATATGTATAATACACTGTGAAATAGCCGGGCTCAGATCATTTTGCTTTCTCACTACAATCGATCCGCTCTAGAGTTTGTTTCAATCGAGCGGAGACCACCTCATTCAGGCGATCTCGGACCGGTTGACTTGGTGCGGATCCGAGCACGATTGCTGGTTTCAAATATGCCAAACGAACTGCGCTAACTGGGCAAGTGAGACCGGTTTAGAAACAAAAGTCTAGGTGTGAAAGCACCCTTAATCATTTATGGTTTTCACACAAAATGCATGCAACACATTTCCAAATTCCCAAACACTTCCTGCATGCTCGAAAACTTGTTTAAAAACTGTTAACAGTTTCGAAAAAGACTAGTGGTAAATTCTATGCATTTTGTGCTTTTTAAAATGTATTTCAAATAGAAAGTCTTAGCAGAAAATAACAATCATTCCAAGCTGATCGCAATTTCAGCTGATAAACTGCTCCTATTCCAATTTTTTTTAATGTATGCTGTAAGCCATGGTTTACAGTCTATGGTTTCCACTGACTAGTACAGTATGGTACTGCATGGGTCAGTACAAGTCACCTTTATCAGGCTTGCATTTCCACTACCAAGGGTAGCCTTTTGGTGGGTGTGTTGTACGACAGAACGTTTCAGTCTATGTCAATTCTCGCCTGAATAAATGTCTACAGTAAAACTGTACAGGTACATACCCTATGAGAAGCACTTCTCTCAAAACAGATGCTTTATGCACATAAATACTTGTGTTTAAATGTTTATTACTAACTTTTTTTATTAACGTAATTTGATTACAACTGCAGATCAATGACAAGGTTTTCTGTTTCAAAAACGCGAGACGAACACCCAAAGCACACGATAAGAAATGACTGAATCAGCTGCATATTGTGCGCGAGTGTTGCTGTCCATGTTGTTATGATTGTAATATTTAATAACATCTTGATATTCAAGATTTGTTAAGTCGTACAGCTCTGGATAAGTTCTCTGTCGTCTTGACAACACAAACACTGCTGTCACCTTAACCGAAACCCCGCCTCTGCTTTCATTTGATTGAAGAATGAAAAAGACGCAGCTGACCTAATGGGATTTTTCTGCTCAGGGTTAACTTTTATTTAAACTGTGAGCACATGATAACGAGAGGCGTACAGGGCACGTAATCAGCGCACAAAATACTCGCGGCCATTCAAAAAATGTCCTCCTCAGCACAAAAAGCGCGTTCGGTGATTGGCCCCTTATGCAGCCAAACTTTTAAAATATTGAAAATAATATTTTTTAATCGTTTAACTAATACCATTAATCGTTTATTTTGAGCATCCCTAGTCTAGACTATTGTTTTAATTTCTTTCCCTCATCAACGCTTAAACAACCGAAAACACTTTTGTTCAGTACTGCGCATGCGCACAGACGTAAGAAGTCTTTACCTGCCTCATACATGCATGTTAGCTGAATTGGTCACATGACAAAATGTGTCATTAGCTGTTTCTCAATTCCAAGAACACAGAGAATGGACTTTTTGCTAGGTCACCTCGGAAGAACGAACTCGGGAGACCACGAGAACAGAGAACGCGTTCTGTTAGAATTCAGATGCTGCGTTCTTCCTGATGGTCACATGACCTTCACATGTTTTTAATGGAAAATTATAGAAACATTTCAGCATTCAAAGAACATTTTGTTTTTCCCCTTTTCAAAATATATACTATACATAAATACTCTACAAATATACGTTGAACAATATAAATAAAACAGATTAATACGAATGTTAGCAAATAAACACCCTTAATGTGTTTATGCCTTTATAAGGTTTTCATGGTAATGTTTATATTCACCGTTTCATTTAGGGAAACTCCTGAGGTAAATAAGTTATCTCTGAGCTTTAATAATAAACCTTTATAAAAAGCTGCGCTTCCCACCTCCAGTCGCAATGACTTCTGGGACTTCTAGAGCGAGTTCGGCGCTCAAGTCTGCATCGATGCATCCTCGATATCAAGAACACATCTGGGAACTTTCACGCGTCCTCCGTTCTTGCGGTCTTGAGTATTGAAACTAAACTTTGGCAGTTGATGATGACGTTACACGAGGACGTAAAATCGCTGTAGAACGCATATTAAGAAACAGCCATGGTCTTCAAAAGCCTCCATTTTCACAGTCCACACTGCAACACGAAAATGGCATTTACAAAGTTATCCGCTTTTAACAGCGTTTTCAAAAAGATGTTTTCGTTTTCTAAAAACGCAGTCTCAATGTGGACTTAAGGCCAAAACGGAGAGAAAAATATGCATTTTTAAACAAAAATGTATTAGTGTGGACATGGCCACACTCTCCTGTCAAGCTTTAAAGATCACAACACACAAAATAGGGGGCAAAATTACACGAACGCCACATTTATAAAAGAGACCCCTGAACTGTTTGGTCAGGAGTCATGTTAGTAATGCACACTGTAAACGTGGCTTCAGTATTGCACAATGCTTGTTTGTGGTCAAAACTGTACTCCTTATTACTGGCATATGTATTAAAGTGTATGAACTACAGAGAAAACTTTATAATATTTTTAATTATATAAGAATATAAATATTTTCAGCTGGAAAAGGGAGTTTAAGTTGCCAAAACTGCTCTTAGAGGAAGAATTAAGCAGTGGAAAACACTTACAATGCTTTATTTTTATTGTCATGAGGCAACTGAGATCTGTTTTCACAATGAAATAGCTACTGATTCTGAAAAATAAACAATAAACTCATCCTCTCCTTTTCACAGGCATTTTTATTTGTTTACATTTTTCAGTCTTTTATTTTTTTATCTTCAACACAGTATCAGCCCAAAGTGGTCAACTTTTACTGTACACCTTATGTTCATGTGATTGTTCATGTCAATAAGAACTCCTGAACATATTTACTACTAGCTATATTCAGCAGAGTATTCAATTTGCTCTGTTTCAAGAGCTTTTTATTTTGACTTTAGTCTACAAGTTTGATTTAGATCATGATGTTATCTGTTCTGACATGTAGTGTTAAAGCAAAAGGATTTTTTACATGCAAATGACTTTGTTTTGGTCTTGGTTGAGCTTCACTGATAAAAAAAAAATATGGTAATTTCAACTTTTAAAATGTAAAAATCGGTTACCTGGTAAACAGTGTGTTTCTTTAATATATACGGTTAATAACTTTAAATTGACATTCCCTCCATGACACTTCACTTTTTATGGCTTTTTGTTGACAATCTATGGTTGTTTTTAGTGTTTTCCTCATCAGTGAAAACGCAGGTTGCCAGATCGAAGTGGCCCGAACCACTCTAAGGAAGGGCAGGGGGAACTCAACTGTTTCTAAATGCATTTAAAGTGATAAATGCGGTTTTCTTTCTACTTAGACAATTATTTTAGTTATGTATACATATATTTTTCACATTTGAGAGTTTTTATTTTTAACAATTAATTTTTTTGGGGTGGGAGGGTTGGGGTTGACAACCTAAATATGGTATTACATTATGTAAAATTAAAAACTGAAATGCTAAAAAACATATGAAGCATTATGTAAATTTCAATTAATTGAATAATTTATTATTATTATTATTATCTTACCAATTTATTTTTCTACCCACTGGCATCTGTTTCTACTTTGTTTAACTGAGAAAATTACTCTCATTTTATTTATTTTTATTACGTTCATAACTGTTGTGAGATGTATTCTCTTGTACTATGTTTGTAAATATGTAGAAAAAAATAATCTTAAAAAAAATGAATGAATGAAGACAGTGCAGTGGCGGGATTTTTAACACCATGTTACAACAGTGCCACTCCCACCTGCCGGTAGAAACAGGTACTGCTGAATGCAATGCGCGTGATGTATGTGGTAATTTTAAGTACTTAACTTGGATAACAAAATAAATGTCATACCGCCTATTTTTATTTAAGTGCAACATATTCCAAAAGATGAGGGGCTTTTGACAATACATCAGCCCTCCCTTCTAATATGTAACTGTTTTAAAAATGCATTTATGTGGTGAAAAATTGTCTAATTACAATTTGCAGGACAGAAGAACCTGCTGGTGAAATTTTGACAGTGCAGTTGACAAAACCAGAAACTCTTGTGCTGACGTTGTCTTTCCGGCGGTGACGTCAGATACCAATGATGGCTGCCTCCACGAGACTGGGACCAAAGGTGTTGCTGCTGGTCCACCTGGGTGTTTTCAGCTGGTATTTGTTCACTATCTGGAGCAACTGTTCCCTGCAGACCGCAGACAGACACCCGGGTTTGCGCTCTTATGGAGGGCGCTGGAAATATCTGACGTTTATTAATTTGGTAAGAGCAGTTGTGTCTGAACCCGTCAATGTCACCGCTGTCAGCTGTGGAAACGGCGTGTTTTCCTCACGTTTGGTCTGCTTTGT